TCCCTCATATGGGACCTTGACCACAGAAGGAGACTGCCTTTTATCCCAAATGCTGAGGAAAGCAATTGGGAGGGCTTTGTGTTTCTGTGTTTTAATTTTATGGAGGAATCATATACTTAAAGTAAAATGCATAGATCTTAAGTGTGAAGTTTGACAAATTTATGTGTCGTAGGAGTTTTAAATGGAGTGGAGAATGATGTCATTTTGTTTATATTTTAAGGAGACCCCACCAATAGCAGTGTGGAGGATGGATGGATAAATGGAAGGACAAGCAGTATTTCTATCTTGTTAGGTAAAATAAAATGCTCTAAGCAGGCCATTTTGTGGGAAACAGTGAGAGAAAGTGGCATTTGGCACTATTCTTCTGCTGTCCTTGCCCCAGGAAAAGGCCAGCTAGAGGGGCAAGAGGAGTGAGTTTGACTCAGGTTTGTGCAGTTGGCTTTGGCTCAGCTCTGCAGGGGCTGCAGCCCTTCCTTGATAGAGGTTTTCTCTCAGACAAGGCACTCTTTGATTGAGGTGAGCAGATATGGCCTGGCTTCTGCCTTCTCACTAGACCCACCCAACTTGGCTTTCTCTCTGCTGAAGATGTCAATCATGTGCTGTTTGTAATTGGACAGGCATGTGGATGTTATGTGTTTGATTCATGAGTTGTTTGAACAAAGTCTTCCATCAACCTTTTCTGGTACCTGGATTCCTCCATTCAAATGTCTTGTGCCTGAATATTAAAGTACCATGAGTTGCTACTCTGTATGATGGGAGGTGGCAGTAGTTGATTGGATTGCTTCCCGGTGTAATGGTGGAACAGGATATAGGACAGGTAGGTTTGGAGAGTTGTTCTAGGATCCTGAGTTACCTGGGATGGAGAGGTCAGGTTGCAGAGGGAAGATCCAAGGTCATAATGCTTCTGAGACTAGGACAGGGTATGACTCAGCCCGGGAATAGGGAGAGTAGCCACAGAGAGGAGACGGGATATACAGTGCAGGAGAGCAGGATGAGCTGGCTCTTTTGTCTGTCTTCTTTCATTTGATGCTGATGACAACCTGGTGAGTCATAACATTACCCCTCTTCTCATGATCTTTCACTTTTTTTCTTGTAAACAAATTTGCATGTCAAGTTAATAGTAAAGACAGGATTCAAAACCACCTTTGCCAGTCTTTGAAATCCAGGCTCTGACCACTCTCTTTTTGAGAGATATTAAGACCCCATGCCTGTCTTTAGGACCTGTCTACACAAAGGCCAAAGGATGAGAGCCTGGTTAGGAGCCCCTTGACCTGGAGGCAACTGGCACGCAACAACATCATTGAAGCAAGGAGAAGGGACCCTTGTGTATGAGAGGCAGGTACCTCTGAGTGCTTCCAGCCCACAAGGCCCCTCCAGTCTCCAGCTCTCCAACTTCTCCTCCTCCCTTTGCTCTCAGAGTACTCTTTCTGGCTGTGCCAGCCTTTGATTCCAGATCTTGTGTGCGCCTGCTTCAGGCTGGGCCTCTTGGCTCAGTCTGAGTTTGTTGTCTCTGTCCTGCAGGCGCACTGGTGATTAGGGAAGGATGACTGTCCCTGAGCTCTGCCTGAGCCACTCTGTGTGAGCCTTGTTGGTAGCTTCTGAGGGAGCAGCTTGATTCCCTGGGACTGGGTTTCTGACCCATCCTCCCTAAAGGACATCAAGGAACTCCAGGGTCCTTACCTATAGTCTTGTGTCTTCCCAGAATCCCCTTCCCCCCCACTACCACCCACACAGTAGTGTGAGAGAAGTATAAATTCCCACCTCTGGAGGCTTTCCTATCAATTTCTCTCAAGCCCACAGCCATTGTGAACTATGGAAATACCTAGAATCTGTTATCTTATTCCCAGTCCTCCTGTGGCTACAGGTCAAACTGCCATCCTTTGGCCCAGGGTCATTGTCCTGGTTTCTAACAGGTCTCTCTGCTCCCATGTTGCCCTCTTCAGGCTGCCCTCAGCATAGCTGCAAAGTGAGCCTGTTTAGTGGGCAGCAGCTGCTGTCCCCCACAAGTAGAAGTATGGCTCTTGCCCTGGCTCCAAGGGGAAGACCCTATTTGACTTCCCTACATCTTCCTTAGGTCTTGTCTCACCTCCCAGACTGTTATGTACACCTCACACCCCACTTCCCAGCCCCCCCCCGCTCTCCTGCCTTGCTACAGAGTTTACCTCTGCACCAGCTGATGTACCCCATATTTCGCTGGCCCCTCACACTAGAATGTAAAGCAAGCAAGAATTTTGTCTATTTCATCTCTTGCCAAGTGGAACCTATCACACAGCAAGCTCCTCCATGAGCCAAGATAAGGATAGATGAATGGATTTTCTCATTTTATTTGATCTGGAGCAGCTTTCTTACTATTTCTTCTTCCTTTAATTATTTAATTAGAGAGATTTTTGATTCTGGAATATTTTAGGGAAAGGAGATGGGAAAAAGAGAAGTTACACTTCTGCTCTCCAGAAGAACTGAATCAACAACGGTGCACTGACCTGCATACCTTTCTTCTCCTTTTCTTGTCCCAAAGCCCATCTGTAAGTTACACTGGTTCCCCTACCAGTCTTACCTTACTGCATTAGTGAAGGCTCTGAGACAGCTTTGTCATTTCCTTTTTAAAATTTGAAATAAAAACAATATGAAAGAGTGGCTGCCATAACAACATCACAGACTAGGTGTATTAAATGATACACACTTTCTCTGGAGGCTGGAAGTCTGAGAAGAAGGTGCTAGTTGGCAGATTTAATATCTTCTGAGGCCTCTGTCTTTGGCTTGCAGCCTTCACATGATCTTTTCTTGGTACATTCATGTATCTATGTCCTAATCTTTTATAAGGACACTGGTCATATTGGATTAGGGCCCACCCACATGACCTCATTTAACCTTCTTCAAAAGCCCCATCTCCAAATACAAGTCACAGTGTGAGGAACTGGAAGTTAGGACTTCAGCATATGAATGAGGTGCACATGATTCAGCCGGCAGTGCCACATTGGTTTTTCTTAATATATATATGTCATATTAATATAGTATAATTACAATAATGGGTTTATTATGTAATTAACTTATATTTCTTGTATGTAGTTATAATATGTTATAATTATACCATTTCGATGTAATCTATTTGTGTATAATTATGTATAATGTATAATTTCTCCCCTTAAACTATTTGAAAGTATATTGCACCCACTCATACTTCAAGATTTATCTTCTAGGAATTAGAACATTCTCCTTGGCATATGTCGATGTCTCTTTTTTTCTATTCACAGGGATAGTCCCCCTGAGGCAGAAAAACCATTGAGCGTGATGTGGCTCTGACCCTGACCAGAGGACCATTTTGTCCTGAGCCCCAGCCCCCTCAGTGAGACTTGGCATGCTTGCATGAAGGATCTGCTTTCAGGAACCATTTAGGCCAGCAAACCTCTTGACCTCAGCTCTAGATTCTTCAGCATTGTTGAGGTTTTTTGTCTGCAATGTGTCAAGAAATGACAGACCCCCTTGAAGTTCCACCAGCTTTTTGGTCTCTCTATATTAATATGTCTCTCCAAATGCCGGACTTGTTATTTCAATTCTTTACAGGCAGTTCTTGCTCTGCCAAATGTAGATTGTCTGTATTTATCCAGAGAGTAGATTTTATTGATTTGGATACTATTTTCTCTTTCCCTGTCACCCTCCTCTTGCAACTATTGGCAGCTTAGTACTCTGCCAGAAGTTGGTTCTTATCTGCTACCGATTGTAACAAGGCATCTTTTGTGGGCTTACATCAGTCCCTATTTCTTTTTTTCAGTACTTTTGTGGGGTGAATATCATACAGTTGGAACTTTCAGTATTTGTTTTAGTAGATAAAAACATTGTGGAAATAAATACTTGATGAGAGCTTCAGGGGGAACATACAGCCTTTAAACTTTTTGTTTCCTCTGGTTCAGATGGTTGTGTCTGCAGACAACCCAGGGTGCAGGTGCAAATCTGGTGAGGCCTTTGCCAGTTATGGTCAAGCAGTTTGCTGAGTGAGCATTCTACTCCTGCTGACTCTTCTGCAGCCAGAGTACTGCTACCTAATGCTGCAAGCACAGCCAGAATCCATCCTTCTGCAGCCAGAGTACTGCTACCTAATGCTGCAAGCACAGCCAGATTGTCCATCATCTGCACAATTATTTCAAATGAACTCCAGCAGATCTTTGAATCTGCTCAAAATCTTCCCCGACTCTTCTTCTACTCTAGGATTCATTCTAGACTCCTTGGCCCACCACTGAAAACCCTCCCTCATGATCCCTGCTCAATTTGTCCACCATCTTACCTCTATTTCTCTAGTAGGTTCTCTTGTTATCTGCTGTATTGAAGCGAAATTATGTCAAACACACTCTGCCATGCTCTGTCCCTGTACCTATGAGCTCCTGGTGTTGGCTCTGCCCAAAATATATCTTCTCTCTCCTCCCTGGTCCGTTTGGACCACCTTTCAGGACCTGGCTTGACAGTCTCCATTAGGAAAGCCTGTTCTAACTACCACCTTCCCTGCAGGCAAGCAGGGCTGGTCATCCTCTTCTCTAGCACTTCCTGCACTGTATGGTTATATGTTTGTCCCCCTAGTTGCTAGGCAGCTGACTTTACATTTGTCTTTCATGCCTGGCTTGGAGTAGGTACACAGTAAACTGGATTGATAGTTGGATCTGTCCTTGGAAAGTGCATATCCCAAAGTTAGAATCAACTACATTTCCTTTGTTGTTTCCAGTAATTATGTAAGTGAGCCTTGTCACAAAGAAAAAAAAAATCAGTTTTTGCACATGCTGTGAGGAGTCATTCTTTATAAGTTGCTAGTTCTAAAGAGTTCATGCTGATTGTCAACAATACAGGGCCTCTGTAACCTTCACTGGACTTACTGTATGTTGTCACATGTTGAGAGAGAGAGAGTACCTTAACTTAGTAGTGTAAACAGTGATAACCCAACTTATATGTGACTTATATGTGCACTTTGCTTAGTTATTGCTTTGAAAACTACTAACGTCTGTCTGTTCTTCCAGTCAAACGTTTCAGAGAACCAAAGCATGAAAGACGACCTTGGAGAATCTGGTATGTACTGAAGTGTTAACTCATCCCTACAATGCTTTTGACTGCTTGGAGTTTTTTGTTTGTTTTGAGGAGAAGTGTTGGAGTGGGTAGGGGATGTAATAGGAGAAGTTGCATATAATATTGCAATTGCAATATTATATATATATTATATATATATACATATATATATATATATATATTTTTTTTTTTTTAGTGGTACTGGGGTTTTGAATTTGGGGCCTTGCACTTGCTAAGCAGGTGCTCTATATGATCATGCTTCTTCCAATTTTGGAAGATGGAAAACAATCCAAATACATTAGTCTGTGCTGCAGGCTTCTTGATCTCTATCTACCACATTTATGTTATGCTTAAGTATTGGATTCTGTAGTCTATATCTGTAAACAAAATCATCTAAGTTTGGAGATTAGTCAGACATACCTATGTAAATGCTTCTCTCTTCAGAAATAGTCTTCTTTGGTCCTAGAATAAAGGAAAACTATTTATGTACTCATAATGCTTCAGAAACTAAGTATATGGGTTTTTTCTCCTTACACCAACCAATTTTTCCATCAGTTCACACACCAGCTATGTGTCCCATAATTTAACTCAATTCTGACACTAACTACCTGGAGTAAGCATAGTCCCCACAGGTTGAGGGCTCAGTCCCACAAAACTGCCCCCACTTCAGATGCCAGTCACAATTAGTGGGTCCTCAGGGAAGCCACACTTCTTCCAACTTGGCTACAAGGTCAAGGGTTCCCATACCTTCCTCAAGCTTGGTTCACAAATCTCGGAAAAACATTATTTACATATTACTGGCTTATTATAAAGGATACAGATTGTGGTTACTTTTCTTATCACTGTGACAAAATGCCTGACATAAACAACTTACAAGAGGAATTACTTGTTTTGGCTCATGGTTTCAGAGGTTTCAGTCCATCATCATGCTGGGAAGGGCATGTCAGAGCAGAGCAGCTCACATCACTGTGGCCAGGTTGCAGAGGGAAGGGCCAGGAAGGGGCCAGACCAAGATAAAGCCCCCAGTGACACACCCACAGTAACCTACTTCCTCCAACTAGAACTTACCTCCTACCTTTCACCTCCTCAATAATGCCATCATGTTATGAATCCATCAAATCCATCAAAGGATTCATAGGTCAGAGTCCTTATGATCTACTTGTCTGGGAAATGCCACCACACCCAGACACCCCCAGAAGTGTGCTTTACCCTTCTAGGTGATTTTTAATCCAATCAGTCTGACAATTACAATTAACCAGTACAGAGATAAACAGCTAGATAAAGTAAATAAAGTCTGTAAAATTCCTGAGCACAGGACATGGGGTGCGCCATTCTCCCTGTGTATAATTTTGTTCACCAGCTCCAAAGTGCTCCAAACCCTATACTTCAAGGATTTTTATAGAGGCTTCATCATGTAGAAATGATAATTAATTCAATCTCTAGCCCCTCTCCTTTACCCACAGGATAGGGAGCACTGAAAGTTTGAAGCTTCTGATTATAACTTAGTCTTTCTGGTGATTTTTCTTGTCCTGAAGCTCTCCAGAAGCCACAAAGAATCACCTCATTAGAACAAAAGTGCTCCTATCACCCAGTACATTCCAAAGGAGTAGGAATCCTTTGATTGGCACTGGGATCACAAACCAAAAACCAAGGCTGGAGGTATGGCTCAAGCAGTAGAGCACCTGTCTACCAACCGTGAAGCCCTGAGTTCAAACCCCAGTACTGCTAATAAATAAATAAATAACCAAAAATCAAGCAGGCACAGTGGCTCATGCCTATAATTCCAGCTACTTGGGAGGTAGAGATATGGGGATTGAAGTTCAAGCCAGCCCAGGCAAAAAGTTAGCAAGAAACAAGCTAGAAATGGTGCTGTATGGCTGTAATCCCAGCCACTCAGGAGATGAAGCAGGAGAATCATTATCTTAGGCCAACCCTAGGCAAAAGTATGAGACTGTCTCTGAAAAATAACTAAAACTCAAAAGAACTGGGGACTCAAGTAGTAGAGCTTGCTTAGCTAGCATGAGACCCTGAGTTTAAGCTCCAGTACTACGCGCACAAAAAAATAGGAAAAATTAGCACCCATGGCACTCATGAAATTACAAGGGGTTTGGAAGTGATCAGGAACCAGGAGCAGAGACCAGGTGTGTGCTCCTTAAAGATATTTAAACAAATGTCTAATACATATTTATATTGTTTGTAACCCCACAGTGGCAGTTTTTCATACATAATACGGTAGTAAAGCTTCAGAAATAGATTCCAAGCACAAAACTCCAAAACAGTAAGTCACTTGGAAAGAGAAAGTTAGCTCTTCAAGACAGCATGGTGTCCATGAGAAAAGCTGCCTCGACTTGCTCCTGCTAACAAAATAGTCATTTCCCCTTCAGAGGAACCCTTAATAAATCACTGAGATAAAGGTCCTTTATAAAATGTTTAGGTATGTACTTGCTTTATAAAAAGGCATTACTGCTGAATGTTGATAATTCTTATTTTTATTTTCCCCTTCATTGGTTCTCTCAAATCTGGGTATTTAGCTATTGCCTCAGGACTGGGGAGAGACATGCTGAAGACCTAGATCTGGGACTATCTGTGTCTCATACACATTGTCCTTTGATGACTCCCCATTGCTGCTGAGTTTAGGGGACAGTTTCAGGCCCAGGTTACAGAGTCAGTCTGGGTGATCTCTACAATTGGCTATTACCCTCCTGTCAGATGAATAACAAGTGTTGGTTCTATTTTGTGCAGGTTTTTAGATACTTCCAAACAAGCCATAGGGATGCTGTTCATCCACTTTGCAAATGTATACCTAGCAGATCTCACTGAAGAGGACCCTTGTTCACTGTAAGTGTATTTCAGTGTGAACATAGTCTGCCTTCAATTTAAAATGCAAAGTGACCTTGCTTTCTCCTGCCAGTACTTCCCCTCTAGTTGAGGAGTGCCCCTCCTTTCTTTTTGTTCCTCTGGAGCTCATCCTGTGTATGCTGACATGACCTCACATACCCAGAAGTCAGTTTCTCAGGGTTTTGACAGTTGCCTGGTGCATTGGTTTTCTACTGGTCAGTCCAAGTTTTGTCCTTTGGCTTTCTAGTACCCTTGTGTCTCCCTGGTTCCCAACCCCAGGCAGGGCAAGGTAACACTGTATGAGTGTCTCTGTGCCAGAACAGGACACAAGGGGCTTCCCTGTGGAATCAGCCACTTAAGGGCATAGTTGTTGCTGACCATTGTTGATCTCTTTGACCTAAGGATCATGGGTTGTTCCACCTTGTCAGTGCAGAGTGCCTTCCACACAGAGCCCAGAGCAATCTGTCTGAAACTTTAACCAGACCCTGAAATGCTGTCTTCCTTGCCAGTAGCACCTGAATGGTCCTTCTCAGAGTAGATGGAATGGCAGGGGAGGCTTACCTTTATCCCTGCCTAATCTCCTGCTTCCTTCCATCTGCAGAACAACTCTACTCTATATATACTTTGATCATGCCAACTTTCCAGTTGGCCCAAAGAGTTATAGCATTTACTTTCTCACAGCACAGGAATAGTGGAGCTGGACTTGAACCAGTCTGATTGGCTCCAGGGCCCACATAATGCCCTGCCACCTGCCCATCTCCCCTGTGTTGAGTACAAAGTGTAGAACTTGCCCTTTTTCCCAAGGGCAGCATACAGTAGGCTCAAGAAGTATTTAACAAGTGCATGGATGAATGTAAAGCCAGCATGTACATCTGTTGTCCTTATTATTTTCAGGCTGAATCTCAGACATGAGAATTCAGGTGTAACTATACTTTATAATAGTTAAATATAAGAGAGAGCCATAGCCTCAGGCCCGAGGAGAAATTGCTTTCTGGAAGCTAGTGCTGTTCTTTCTATCGCTGGTCCAAGAGTGACCCCTTGTGACTTTAAAGAGAAGGGCAGTGTGGAGAAAATTTCTGCCCCTTCCTTCTCCATGCTGGTTTTTTGGCCTCTGGGGACCGAACACAACATGCTCCCTTTGATATCAGAGTGCTGTGCATGTCAGAAAGCACTGGCTGGGGCAGAGAGCTGCAGGTCTTCATAAAGTGTCTCAGGCTTTAGCAGCTTAGAGGCTCCTGAAGCCACATCCCAGTGTCCTAAAGCTGATCCACAGGAATTTCAGAGCCATGCAATGTCACACAGGGTCAGTACCTGACTCAGTGACCTTGTCTCCCATTTTATCTGCCCTAGAGAGCTGGGGCCTGTGGTGAGCTGTGTTCAGCCTCATCTAGGTACAGGGTCCTGAGGGAGAGCAGATAGGCAGGGGCCTTTCCTTAGCAAGGGAAAAGGTTTTGTCAGATCTCCCATGCTCATGGATTGGAAGAATCAATATTGTGAAAATGGCTATCTTACCAAAAGCAATCTATATGTTCAATGCAATCCCCATCAAAATTCAAATGACATTCATCTCAGGGATTGAAAATCTACCCTAAAGTTCATTTGGAAGCACAAATATGGACCACAAATAGTCAAGGCAATACTGAACAGGAAGAACAACACAGGAAGCTTCATAATACCTGACTTCAAACTATACTACAGAACCATAGTAATAAAAATAGCATGGTACGGGCATAAAAACAGACATGCAGACCAATGGAACAGCAAAGAAGACTCAGATGTGAATCCACACAGCTACTCCCACCTGATTTTTGACCAAAGGCACCCAAAATATATAGAGAAATGAAAGCCTCTTCAATAAATGCTGCTGGGAAAACTGGATATCTGCATGCAGAAAACTGAAACTAGATCTATGTCTTTCACCCTGTACAAATATAAGGACCTTAATATAGACCTGAAACTTTGAAAGTAGTGCGGGAAAGAGTGGGGAATACACTGGAACCTATAGGCATAGGCAGTAATTTCCTAAATAGTACTCCATTGGCTCAGCAACTAAGAAAAAGGATTGACGAATGGGATTACATGAAACAAAAAAGCTTCTGCACAGCAAAAGAAATGGTCACTAGATTGAAGAGGCAACCTACACAATGGGAGAAAATCTTTGCTAGCTATATCTGACAAGGGATTAATAACCAGAATATATGGGGAGTTCAAAAAATGGAACTCCCCAAAGAATCAATGACCCAATGAAGAGAGAGCAACTGAACTGAACAGAGCTTTTTCAAAGGATGAAGTCCAAATGGCCAATAACACATAAAGAAATGCTCAACATCCCTGGCAATGCAAATCAAAACCATATTAAGATTCCTATTAAAATACTTCCATGAATGAAGAACACAAACTGCAACAAATGTTGACAACGATATGGGGGAAAAGGAGTCCTCATGCATTGTTGATGAGAATGTAAATCCCACTGAACAACAGACACCTAAACAAGAATGTAAAACAAGTCATGCTAATGGGAGGAGAAGGGTAAATAAAGTAAGGAAAGTGAATATGATTCATGTACTTTATAAGTATGAATATGGAACATTCAAACTTGTTGAAGTCACCATAAGAAGAGGACTAAGGTAGAAAGGAGAATAATGGAGGGGATGAACTAATTCAGGGTATAATACATATTACATATGGAAGTGTCACATTGCAACTCCCTGTACAACCATCATAAAAAAACAAAAATGTCTTTTTCAAAAAAAGTGAAGAACAGGAAAGTACAAGTCCTGTCTGGAGGTTGGTGTCAGTGGAAGAGGGGAGGGCATTAAGAAAGGGGAGGAGGGCAAATATGGTGGAAATACTATGTATTTGTGTGTGAAAATGGAACGAGACCTGTTGAAACTCTTCTAAGAAGGCAGTGGGGGGTGAGGATGAAGAGAGGAAGAGTGAATCTAAAATATATTGTAAGCACTTTTATAAATGTTACAATGTGCCCCCAATACAGCTATAATATGCTAATAAAAAATGTTTTTTTCAGGCAGGTAGAAACTCTGGTACTCCATTTCTTCCTCTAATCCTCTGGCCTTTACTGAGGACAGTAAAGCTTTCTTTTAAAGTGTAAATGCAAGGGGTGGAAAAGTACCTCGGTGGTAGCTCACTTCCCTAACATGTATAGACTTCTGGGTTGGATCCCTAGTGCTTCAAAAAAAGAAAGAAAAGAAAAGAAACAGTGTGAAAGTATCGCCTTTAAAAACCCAAAAAGAAAAGAAAGTGCAAAAGTATTGTTTGCACATGACTGCAGATAGAGAAGAGCAAGGGCCATGTGGCCTTCCCTGTTTGTCTAAGAGACCTTGGAGACCATTTTCCTGAACTGCTCTGAGACAGTGGCACTGTTCTGGGGGCCTTAGGTGTGCTGGGCCATTCAGGAGTGAACAAAATCAATGGGCATATTTTTGTTGTTCATCAAATTTTGTTTTCCTTTTGATTTCCTTGGCTGCTTCCAGGTACTCTCTTCTGTTGAATCTTGTCCTGGCAAGAACATTTGAGATTTTTAAAATTTTTTTTTGTCCCTTTCCCACCACTCCTTTAAGTTGGTATTAGCATCTTGTTGTCAGGCACCTGAAAGTGAAAGCCACAGCCTCTGTAGCCTCTTCTGTAGCTACATTTAAGGCTTCCAGTCCCCCCACTACAAGACTAGGTGAAGGCTGGGTAAGTCAGTCTTGATTCTGACCTTGGTAAGCACTGCACTGAGGGCCTAGCTCAGTGGCTCTTGCTCCCTGACCATGCTGGTATGCCCTTTCCTCCTAGGTACCTCATCAACTTTCTTCTGGATGCCACTGTGGGCATGTTGCTCATCTATGTTGGAGTGCGTGCTGTCAGTGTCCTGGTGGAGTGGCAACAGTGGGAATCCCTGCGTTTTGGCGAATATGGTAACATGCCACGGATACTGGGTAGCACGTAGTGGGGACTGCTTGCCCTTTGCAGCCCACCAGGCAAATGGATCTAGAGGTTTGGGAGCTGGTGACTGTGTGGGCCTGAGTGTCACCCTCCTGTGGGTATGGGTGCCAGCTTCATGCTAAGACTCTCACCTTTGTGGCAGGGAAGGTGACAGGAGCCAGGCGATACCCTAGAATCAAAGAGAGGATCAGTTGCTTGCCCCTTCTACCTTGCAGGCGAACCTACTTGCAAGGGCTACAAGGCCACATCATTTTGCCTAGCTTCCCATAGAGCTCACCCCACCTGCCCCCCTATTAGAGGGGATAGGCAACTCTCATTTGTGGAGGTGGTCAATAGTGAGGTCAAAGCTGTGCCCCTCTTTCTGCTGTACACCTGTGCTTTTCCCATCCACTAGGCCATTTCACTGGCAGAGTAGAACTCACAACAGCCAGGACTAGCTGTGATGCCAGATTGCCTTGCTTTCTCCCAACTATGAGCTTGTCCCCTATGTGGCATCTGGATGAACCAGTCACCAGGGACAAAAGGTTCATCCTCATTCAGAGACAAGGCTTAAAACAGGTGACTTGTAGATGCTGGTCTGTCTTGTCAGACCCTGTGGAATACAATTTGGGTAGGAAACTGCCTTCATGCTGGCTCCAAGCATGAGGAACAGCTGGATATGGCCTCCACACGGCTGCTGGTAAGATGCCCTCTTTGGGCTCTCTTCTAACCCCCCACCAGGGTTTCAGGTCAGGGTTAAGGGTAATGTCAGCTTTTTCCTGCTTGCCCTGTGGGCCCTTCTGTCTGCAGGCAGGAGTTCCTCTCTTCTCAGGTTGGAGTAGCATCGGAGCTTCACCATGAGAGAGCATCCAGCACAAGAGGATAGGAATGTGGATAGAATTCTGGATCCCCACACCACTTTCTTGGTCAGGCCTTCCAAAGAGCTCACAGCTCTGGGTTCAGGTGCCACTCACTCCTAGATGGCTGAAGATGCCCCAAGAGATTAACAGTTTAAAAGGGCAACTGATTAGTGGAACTGGCTGCGAGTGCCATGGGTATTTCTAGAAGTCTTAAGTAATTTGTCCCCATGGAGGGGAGATGAGCTCATGGGAGGGCTTTTCTTAGCCCAGATACTTGATGCTAATGAGTCATTGACTTAAGATAGTGTCTAACACATAGCATGTGCTCTGGGGCTCTAGGGAAGGTTCTGAGATTCTCTGAGTCATCAGTTCTTCAGTTTTTGGGATGGAAATGGACCATAGCACATGTGGACCAATGTGACATCATCTTCAATTTAGGATAGACATTCAGAGGAATTAGGTGATGCAGCCAGTCAGTGAGTGGTTGGGAACCTCTTGCCCTCTGCAGCAGTATTTCTAAACCCTCCCCCCTTCTCCATGAATAGTGCTCATACTGCTCCTCTGCTGTTGAGGTTCCTTCTGAAAGGCAGGATCCTCAACTCAGTTGTAGCTGACCAGAACTAACAAGGATCCCTGAGAGTCACCTATGTGACCTGTGAGTGGAGGTCAGATCTAGTCCTTATATATCATACATTAAGGTACCAGTCATTCCCAGACATGTTTTGTCTGTTTGCCCAAGAGTAGAGTGAAAGAAGGCAATGGATATGTTTATGCCTCTTCCTCTCCCCATTTGGCCTGCCTCTGCCCTTTGTCTCACCTCAAGTCACTGCCATTGGGAACCAGAGTCTTCAAACCAGGGCATATCCAGAGAAAGCTGCCCTTTGTCAAGGACCCTCCCAAGTCCTCCCTCCCCAGACTGTCTCCTCAGTTACCTATTGTTTTCTAGTTATTGATTTATATTGTTTCTGTTGCTACTTAAACAGATTAACCCAGACTTAGTGGCTTAAGGCAACCCAAATTGATTATCTTATAGTTCTTTCCTTTAGAAGTCCAATATTTTGTTGAACTAAAATCAAGGTGTTTTAGGACTGGATCCTTCTGGAAGCAGTATGGGAGAATGTTCTATTGCCCCTTTCAGCCGCAAGGCTGTCTGCATTCCTTGACTCTTGGCTCCCTTCAAAGCCAGCAATAGCAGATCAGGTTCTTCTCACATCACACTGCTCTGACTTTGCCATGACCTTCCACTGCTGTCTTCTACTTTAAAGTGTCCCTGTGATTACATTGGGTGAATCTAGATACTACTGATACTCTGTCTTAAAATCAGCTGATTAGCAACTTAATCCCATTTGCAGCTGTGATTTTCTCTCTGTTACCATTAGGTAACATGACATATGCATAGGTTCTGAGAATTCGGATGTGGACATCTTCGCAGGATCATTATTCTATCTACCACACCTGTGAGCCTGCCCATTGTTGAAGGCAGGAATTTCATGTAGGCTCCACAACTCTCTTCTCAGAGAAATGAAGAATAGGGACTTGTTTTCTAGGTAGCTTGCTTAGTTTCTAGAAGAAAAGATCATAGGAGTTGGAACATAAGCCATACTTACCTGGTCTGAAGGTATGAGCAGTTCTAAATAATATGTGTTGTCTGCAGTTAGATAATGAATTTACTCTTTCCATGAAAATGAGATTATGCCTCAGTGCACTGCTTCATGGGCTTTGCTGCCTGCCCAATCCAGACTCTCCCTTCCCAGAACCTCTCAAACAGACAGTATTCCTTTCTTTGGCCCCTATTCCTGCAACTTATCCCAAGGGAATGATTCACTGAAACCAAACACCATGTTACTGAATAAAAAAAACCACCCATGTCCCTGCAGTAAAAAGCAAGACACAGTGACCATGCCTGCCATGTTGCTTCTTTAGAGATGAGATTATGGGAAGTGTTTGAAAGACTCTCAAGGGAAACAGAAATGAGCAAACTGGCACACAAGCACTTAGTCCAGCTGTGGCAATGTGTGACCTGGGTGCAAAGAAGAGAATGTGTCAGAGCAGGACACAGGTGCTTTTTTCTCTTTTTATCATGGCTTTAAACCTTGTTTATTTATTTTTTTATTTAGCAATGCTGCCTAGCAGTGCTTGCTAGGCAGGTGGTCTATCCCTCAGCCATTCTACGAGTCCTAAATCTTCTTATTTTAACATCAAAATGAAGCAGAAGGAAGCAGGACCTCAGTTGTGTAGACAAGAAGAAAAGCATTTTCTTCTTTTGTCAATCACAGTTTGAGAGCAAATGAAGTGAAGATGCTTTGAGCAAGCAGATGTTCTTGTGACAGTAAATAAATGGTGTCACTTTCTCTGCTGACTTCCAGACACACCAGTCCTACCTCAGAGACAATTCCCAATGGTACTTCCTGCCTGGCTATCCCCAGTCTTAATATTTTTAGCAAATAGTTTCATCTGCTACTTTGGGGAACTTTTTTCAATAAGATTAATGGAGCATTGCAAAATTCCATTAACAATATTGCAAGGAGGTATTGTACTTCTGGCTCAAATGCCATATACCAGAAGTGAAAGTAGATAGAAAGGCCTCAGAGGAGGCAGCTGTTGCATTTCTGTATGCTTTCTATGACTCTTCTCCGGCATTTTCCAGAAAAGGGAACAGCACAGCCTGGTGTTGTATCCGTTACAGCTGCATAAAGGCATTCACTTGTGCTTCTACTCTGTGCAATTGGCAGACCAGGGGCAGGGCCTGGGGCCTCTGGCTTGGGTGCCTGGACAGGGATTGCTATGAAAACATTAGGATCAAATGAGAAGCTGGAGACTTCTTTTTATGTTGTTCTCTTCTCACAGTCTGGATTGGAGCCTTTGCCTCCCCTGAAATATTAGCCTGTCCCCATTCTGGCCAGTGAAACTCAGGTACCTCTTGACAGAGCTTCCAGTTTGAGTCCTGGAACCCACAACCCACTCTCCCTGGGTCTTCCACTTTAGAGAGGTGTGTGTGGCTCCCAGGGGCCCTTCCCAAGGTTTTGCATCTCACAAGATCATTTCCTAGAGGAGCTGGTCATCCTTCACCATTCATTGTGTCCCTTTTGAAGCATTCTGGAGACACGCCAGGGCCCAAGTGTCTGCCAGAGTAGATGGTTGCGCCCTTCCATTTCTCAATCAGGGTGACCAATAGGATCACAGATGGACCTCTGTCATAGCTGCAGGACTTAGCCCATCACTCCTATCTCCTTCCCTTGAGGACTTCTCTCTTATTTGTCCCTAGCCAGGTGTTTTGGGGTCACCTATACTAGACAGTTGGAATCTGAATTTCTCCCAGGTCAGATTTCTGTTTTCAGGGATAAAGGCAGCAGAGATGACTGGGGAGTGGAATAAGGGGCAGGAGGTGGATAGGTGGGAGATTAACGAACAAAAAGATCGATTACTGCCTTCATAAACACAGCATCAGTGTGCTTATGGACAGTGGAAAGGAAGGCTAACACCAGTCACTGGAAAAATCAACAGTGGATAATAATAGCAGTCTTGCTTCATGCAGCTTTGACTGCCAGCAGACAGAGAGAGCCACGCCTTTCTGAGCTCCAGCAATGAGCACTTACTAACTTTAGTGCCTTTTAATTCTATCTTGGAATCTCTTGAAAGGAAGGCCATTCTAGTATGTCCAAATTAGGAATTCTCTGATTTTATTCAGAATGCTGTGTTTGTCTGTTAGGGATGAGATGATTTTTAGGGTTTGGAGGGGCTTATGAAGTACCCTTAGAGCCAGGATCCTGGGGTGTAGTTGAGGGTATAAGGACTCATGGGGAGCTATGGGAGAGTTTCGGGGGGAAGGGGGGGTCCCGCTTAGATGCCTGGGCCCATGTGACTAAGCACACTCTTATCCCCACAGGAGACCCTCTGCAGTGTGGGGCCTGGGTCGGGCAGTGTGCCCTTTACATTGTGATCATGATCTTTGAGAAGTCAGTTGTCTTCATTGTCCTCCTCATACTCCAGTGGAAAAAGGTTTGTCTCATTCCTGCTTCCATAGCTCCCTGTTAAGCTAAGCAAACAGTATTTCCCCCATCACCCACATGCCCCAGCCTGGTTAGAAAACCAAATTTATTTTTGTTTTAACTCCATGAATGGGCCCTGGATTTGGTCTGATTTGGCAGCTGTTTACAAGAGCATTAAGGTGTCATTCTTTTACTTGGTATCCATCTGCTTCATTTAAGTAAATGTCTACTCTAGATTAAGCCTTGGGTTATATAAACTCAATGGAAATACAGTCCCTGCCTGTGGGTTGCTTATGGTCTGTTTAATCCTCAGGCTTTGCTATTGTGAATATCTCTAACATTTGCAAATGTTCCCATACACCTGTCTTGGCCAGTGATTTAACTGAGCCATTAGGGATCACTGAGAAAGCTTTCATGGTTTGTGACTACCTACCTACATGCTGATATGTGGCTGAGCCCTGCCTCGGCCCTCTGACCCCAATGCTATGTAGATAAAACTGCACTTCTCATCCCCACATGAAACTACTGAAGAGCCTGAAACATGTGACTCAGATCTTGGCCTCCCTTTGGTTTTATTTTTGTCTGGGTTTTACTTTTTTAAGAAAATAAGCCAAGGTGTTTCAGAGCTATTGTCCTGTAGGAAGTGGTTATAGTATAGGATTTCTGCTTAGAAAGTGGTCTGGTGCCTCTAATGAGCAACTGCTAAATTGCCTCTCTTCAATTTCCTAAAGCCCATGCTCCTCCCAACACCCAGGGTGTCAAGCCTCTCCCCACTTGGTGTGTGCACTGGCTCTGGCTCAGTAGTTGTAAGTCCACTGTGCTTTGCAAGTCCATACCAAGGGGAAAGCTGATAAAGCACTAACAGCTCAACATGGTTCCAAAGGGGACTTTTAACAGATCTAGGAGACTATGTCACCATGGACATTAGGGGCCGTTCCCATCTTGGAGAACGTACAAGCTAAGCCCCCTCTTAAGGCTTCCTGCACCATACCCCTGTGGTTTCCCACCTCACTAAGTCTGCTTCTGCTTTTTTTTTTTTTTTCAGGTGGCCCTACTGAATCCTATTGAAAACCCAGACCTGAAACTTGCCATCGTCATGCTGATCGTCCCTTCTTTGTCAATGTCAGTGCCATGTTGTATGTTTTACCCCAGATTGTGCCCTGCTCTTCAGTGTTCCTGTTCAGAGTTCTTTTCTAACAGAAAAGTCACCTTAGAGTTCTTAAGTCTTTCTTTCAGTGTGACTAGTTGCTACCTCCCCACTCTCACCCCCAGACTTAGAAATGCTGGGATTGCTTCCTCAAAAGGCAGGTCCCCACTCCAGGGTCCCTATCAAGATGAAGGGTACTGGGAGCTCTTGCCTTCCCTGCCTGGAAACCTCCCACCAAGGCATTCCACCAAATGTATGATTCCAATTTGTTAGGTCAGAATTGTTTCAAATGTGCCCTATTCATTTGTTCCTGGGCTCAGATCTCAGAGGAAAACTCACAAGTACAATGGCTAAAAGTCAGGAGCCAGTGATATCAATGGTAAAGAGACCAAGGCACATACACATGGCAGAGTGTGTGACCAGCTACACAGCGTCTGTTGGGACCCAGAGGCTGGTGTCCAGAGACCTTGGTTCCAGATCCAAGACAGGCTGCCCGTCACTTACTACAAGAACCCTTAGGTGAACAGGACAGGGATTTTCATGATAATAAAACTGTAGCAAAGGAAATAGAAATTGGGAATCTCTCTCAAAGCTTCTGGGAGATTGTAGAAGGCTGGATGAATTTCCTTTTTCCTCTAGTTCTAGATTTTATAACCTGGAATGGGGGTGGAGAAAGGTGGGTATGGAGGCCACTTTGCTTTGCTTCAAAGATGGCTTATTCTAGCATAACCTGCACTTTTCCTTCCCACAGGCTTTGATGTTTTGGGTAGTAGACAATTTCCTCATGAGAAAGGGGAAGACGAAAGCTAAACTAGAAGAGAGGGGAGCCAACCAGGACTCAAGGAATGGGAGCAAAGTTCGCTACCGAAGGGCTGCATCCCATGAGGAGTCTGAATCTGAGGTAGGGACCTCCCTAACTCTCCCCACCGACCTGGCTATCTTACCACTGGCCCTAGAGATCTCTTGTGTTTGCATGTTGTCTCTTGATGCATTTCATCTCTTGAGTGCTGCATAACAGCACCAGTCAGAGGGAGGGAGAAGAGGCTGAGAGAAGAGCAGCCCAGATCTCACACATCTAGCCAGGGGCCAGGCCTGCTGTCTCATGGGCCTTCTAGTACAGGAAGGTAGAACACATAGTAGGTACAGCTTGCCACTGATAGGCCCTCTGCCAGTGGAGAAAGACAGGCAAGGGAGGTGCTGCCTTGTTTCTGGGAAGCTGGCAAGGACCCTTGTGGGTCTCATGATTGACCCTCAAGCATTAAAGTGCTGAAAGCCTTGCCCACTACCAACAAGCAAGAGAAATGTTGCCTATGCCAGCTGGAAACTTCTAAAATATAGGAATAGGTAAACTTTGAAAGGGCAATCTCATCTCTCCTTACCCCTTAGTCTCCTAAATTCAAAGGTTTGGACTTCAGGAAGAATAGCAGTCATGAGCAGCAGTATTCAAGTGGTCCTGAGCACTTCCTAAACATCTGTGCCTTGGCATGCAGCTGGCTGGCACAGAGGGACCTGGGGAAACCCCTGATTCCCCAGTGCTGAGCACTGCACTCCTTGTGGGAGCCATAGAATGGCTGAGACTGATGCCTCTCAGGAATGAGAGCCCCTCAGACTCATGAATGGTAGATGCATAAATAACTCATCCTCACACTAGTAGTGCATTCTTAGACTGAGGCATAATCAAAGCTGCATGAGGACCTCCCTGGGGCAGTTGGGAGGGAGTTTTAGAAAATGAACAGATATGATGGACAAAGGGTAAGCTCACATCTTCTGTAGGTTCATTTTCCTAGAATCTGGCACAGGGCATGTCACATGGTAAGGGTTTGTGAATATTTGATGAATGACAGTCTTAAAGGTGAAAGAAGCAGTTCATAAGCATTCACCATTACATAATTTGGCATTTGGATAATAAAGTGAAATTCACATTGGTCAGGGTAGCTTTTTTTTTTCTTTTTGGCTATACTGAGGTTTGAACTCAGGGCTTTGCTCTTGCTAGGCAGGTACTTTATCACTTGAGCCATTGTGCCAGCCCCAGAGTAGCATTGTTTTCCAGAATCTAGAATGGAATGACAAGAAGCAGGGTCCAGATGGAGTCTGAGTTAGATGGCAAGGCAATCTGTGATCCAGGCTGAGGAATTGCAATATGCTTGTACAGGTGGTAGAGTAAAAGTTTAGGCAGGAGCCCTCAAGGGATCAGTCCAGGAGAAAGGTGGTGAGCTGTTTGTCCTACCCTGGAGTAGAAGTTTGTGTTCCCTGGCACAAGTAGGCTTTGGGTCTCTCCACCTGGATGTGGGCTGTTCTGGTCTTTCTGTGATGTTGAGATTGAGGCTGGCAGGTAGGCAGGGAATGAGCATGTTTGCCTTGAATGCCACAGCTGCATGGCTGAGTTGTTGCAGGGACTCAGCAAAGCAAGTGCTTTTCTTTGCCTTTAGACATGATAGAGTTGGTTCAAGGCAGCCCCTCTGGAATCCTAATGCCTGTGTATACCCAGTGGGCGATTTTTTATTAGGTTGTTTTGGGATTTTTTTGCTATTAAAAGGGGATTTTCGGTTTGCGTCTTCTGTATTTAAGACAACTTCAGGGCCCTGGGACGCCATATGTCAAGATGCAGTTTTTTGGTCAGGATCCTGCTGAGTTAGGTCTGATTGGTTTGGGTCCAGCTGGAGGTTGGATGGAGAAATGGAGAGCACTAGCAGAGCCAGCAAGTATTGACTTAGTACTAGTTTCAGTGGACAGCATAATTCGTGTAAGGGGAGGTTCTTCCCGCCATTCTCTTCTAAAGAAACTTGAGAGATGGGGACGTGGCTTAAGGGATAGAGTGGCTGCCTGGCAAGTGTGAGGCCCTGAGTTTAAACCCCAGTACCACCAAAAAGAAACATGAGACTTAATGCTTCCAGAGGGGCCCAGGGTCCAGGAAGGAAGAATGCAGAAGGCACTGCTGGTAGTGTCTCAGGCCATGCCTCTTTGCTACCTCAGATCCTGATCTCAGCCGATGATGAGATGGAGGAATCCGACGTAGAAGAGGATCTCCGCAGACTGACCCCCCTCAAGCCTGTGAAGAAAAAGAAGCACCGCTTCGGGCTGCCTGTATGACACATTCCCATGCTGGGGGTGACAAGTTGGGGACCCAGCTGGCTGCTGGGTCAGTAGATGGTCATCCTACAGCGTCATCCTTTCCCTCCTCTCTCTGTCCCTCCTCTTCTACCTCCACTCCTCTTGCTGTCTCTGCTCATTCTCTGCCCACGCCCAGACTACTGTGACTGAAAAAAAGGGAAGAGGAACCAGTGCTCAAGGGGGTTGTGGGCATCTGAAGGGTCCCCGCTCAGTTGCACTACAAACACTGACCAAATATGCAAGAGCTTTGTTTGTTTGTTGTTGTCCTGAACAGTGTTGTGAGGGATCCCAAAGCCCCTATCCTATGTCTGGTTGGATGGTGGGAAAAAAAACGGCATACACAGACTGCAGTGGGTCCTCACACTGAGTCTGCTAGCTGTGTGGACACATGACGTGCTTGGGGCCGACAGTCACTCATTGACGAAGTTGGAACCAGAATGCTTTCATACTCAAAATGGCTTTTGTAACTCTTGATTTCTAAAGCCTGTTTTATGAGCTGCAACAGTGTTAATGTTTTTTGAGTGTGTTCATTTCCTACAAAGTACCTATGGGACAAATGGGCAAAACAGATTTTTAAGTCTTCCGTATGCTGTTTGACTTTTTATATTTTTAAGTTATATTTTTATACTATTGTATTTAAAAACTCTTTTTAATCCCCAAAGAAATGGATTTGTTTGCCTTTCATGGGATATGAGCTGGTGGGAGGAAAAAGTCGGCAGTTTTTTGCTGGGAATGTTGTTAAGTAATGCCTGATAAGATAAGTAAATGATCCTGTAGGAAGGTAGATAGCCTTTATCTGGAAATGAAACCTAGTGATGTGTGAAGGTCAAGTCAGAGCATGAGGCAGCTGGTTTGAAGGTAGATCTGTGTGCCCCAGTGTGAATGGAACAGGAAGGGCTCTGCCAGGGCCCACAAGCTCATTGGTATTTCTGCTGGCAGATTAGAGAGCTTGGTTAAACAGTACTGAGAGAGGATCCCAAGAGTTAGGTCTTTGTGTCCAGAAGACTCAAGACCTCTGCTTCTGTTTGTTCCCTGCCTCTCTCCGGTGATCCCCCAAATTTCAAGTGTCAGAATGGTTCCAACTTCTGCCTCCACTGTGGCAGCCTACAGAGCCATCCTCTGCCCTGATGCCTATGCTGCTTGCACAGCAGTCTGAAGAATGTCCATTTGGCTAAGCAAGCCTATTTTCACACCCTCTAAAGCTGCAAGGTGGCTGGGGCAGAGTGAGTAGAGGCAAGAGAGCTCACCAGCTAAATCCACAGACAGCATAAGGTGCTTCTAGGCTGTGTCCCCCTCCTTGAGTGGTGGCACCCAGTCCTCAGCATAGCCACAGGCCCCCAGGGCTCTTGGAGTTTGCTGAATGGTGGTGAAATGGTCTGACCCTAGCACTATCCCTGTAGTGGAAGGTGGAGGAGTTCAATAGTCTGTCAAGCCAAGACACAGCCACGGACGTTTAGGAACAGAAAACCACACTGCTATGTTACCAGCTGGAAGGGAGATGGCTCAGGCTTTATGTGAGACAAGTACAGGGGAGGCGATTGTACTCAGAACCTTCTTTTTAGCTCTGTGTAACAATGTGTTTTATTTAAGTGTACAGATCTGAATATGCTTGTGGCAATATGAGCTGAGCTGTTAGACCAGGCTTTTGGGTCTGTCCTTTGCTGTTCATGGTCCTGCCTGTTGTGGACAGGATAGCATGCCTAAGGGAGGCCCTTTCAGACCATCTTCCTCCAGGAATGTAGGTCCCACTGAGAGGAGCAGGGGCCGTAGCCATGCAGTGGGAGGTGACTCTACTGGCATAGGTATTATGACAGAGGAGGGGAGAGCCTGGCAGCAAGTGGCATGGAGACTGTCTGGATCCTGCTCTCATTTCCTTGCTTCATCTGCTCCCATTCCATGGCTGTGGTCTTCCCTCCCCCCGCCAATCTGGTGGGCTTGGAGGGTACAGAAGTAGCAAATGAGTATGGGTTTCCCCCCCTGTATCCTGATCTTCGATAAGGGCTTTAGTCTGAGCTGCAGCTGTATAGCTGGCTCAGCAGGAATGGAGGTCTAGCAGCTGTCCACAGGGGGCCTCCTGGTATGCAGACTTGGATGGAGTAACATCACATGTTTGGTCTTACCCTCCTGTGTGGATGTATGTACACACACAAGTCTGTATCCCTCTAGAGAGTCTTCAGTGGTCACTGAAGACTAGAGAGTCTTCCGTGGTACACTGTCCCACAGAAGTGGATGCAGAGGGCTGTGGTTAGGGCTTCCTCCTGAGCTGTCCTCCCTCCCTGGAATAAATTTCTTCGCCACCTGCTCCGAGGTGCCTTATTAGGTGCAGCCCTTCACTGACTGATGGCATGTATCACTGTGTCAGAAAAATAATGGGATACCCACAGGGTATTGTGTGCTGTTGATCTGATTTGTCCAAATTTGGACCTTGGCCATGCTACTCAGTGGAAGCTTGCAAGTCAAGGTCATGAACAAGTTTCTTGTAACTAATAGAAATAAGCTGATGAGGCAGTTTATCTGACTAAAAGAGATGGTGGTTATTTTTATTTCCTTTGGCTGTTGTTAGGAAATTGACAATGGCAAAGGAGAGATGGTGGTGAGATCCAAGTGGATGTGGCTTTTCAGTCTCTGCAGCCTGAAAATGTGTGAAGTGAGGGTCTGTGGCCCCTCAGCCCCTAAGCACACTGGTGGCCTCCTGCCTCAAGCTTTAACTTGTGCTCTCCCCAGCAACAAGGAGTCATGAGTTAATATCACCTCTCATGTCTCTTTCTTCAGGGAAAATATATATGCCTGTATATACTGAATGCTGCCCCTGGACCCTAGAGGGAGCAAAGCCTACACAACCCTCCAGGTGACAGTTTGCTGGCTTTTTTCTAGCCAGGCCTAGATAGGTGGCCTGGGGACTTCCTGCTGCCCAAGGAGCCACATTGTAGAGTTGAGCTGACTCTTAGAAGAAGTTCCACAGGCTTCCAGCAAAGTTCTGTTTTACCTTTTAGATGTTGGCAATCCTGAGAACCTTTGCTTTCAGTGAAGCCCTTGTAGACTGCCTTGCTTTGAGCGCCTTGAGCTCCTGGGTGGGTGGGTGGGATGGCTGGTTGGTTGGTTGGTTGGTTTTTTCATGAAGTTTATTACAAGTCAGACTTACATGAGCAAAACCATGACCACTTTAGCTGCCATCCCAGTGGGGATGTTGTATCAGTGCGGGTGTTAGGAACCACAGAAACACATATTGAAATGAAAGGGAAGATGATGTACTTACATTGTAAAATGGTTTACAATAAAGTTTCACATCTTATACAGCTTTTTAAAAAAGAAATCATCACTTTTGTGGTCGTTGGTTTTGTGTTCTCTGGATTTGAAACAGCTTAGCTGGGTTAAAAAAATTCCTCAGCAAGTTAGAAGGCAGGAAGCAGAGTAAGAATGAACCTTTCATTGCCTCGTGGCAGCAGTGGAGCCAAACTCTGCTGAGGAAAGAAGCCAAACGTACTCTGGCTGTTTCCACTTCCTTGCTAATGATATCTAAGCCAATCTACCTCCTGAGGAATAAGCTGTATTGGGAGCTAGGGTAAGGAGTGAATATCCCACATTCTTGTCTCCGAGGCCAAGGGACTAGGCATTGCCAGCTGTGGGCAGTGTTGAAGCCATAGGAGCCACCCACAACACCCCCCACACCCTGGCACAGTGGAAGGACCCCCCACAAGGCTTAGCCTGCCCATTGGAGTCCTGGGAATTCTCGGGTCCACATTTATCTCAGCCAAGTCTGGCAGTGTTCATATTGGCCTCTTGGAGACCAGGACCATGGAGGGGTCTGGAGTGGGCTTTGAGATATGGCAGCTGTGGAGTGGCATTTGGTATAATCAGATGTCAGTGCCTTGTAGGGTTCTATCTAGCTAGAGCCTTCAAGGATAAAAATAATCTCCATCATCAACTAGAAAGGAGCTGAGAATATATTTGAATTTATGGAAACACTCCCACTTTCCCATCCATGTCCTCTTCCCTACCCACCCACCCCAGGCTTAGGGTCCTGCCATGTGCCACATGGAATTTCCCCTGCAAAGGTGAGGGTGTTGGGAGCTCCCAGAAGAACTAAGTGACCTTCCACGGGGATCTTGGGCCTGTCATCTCTACATATCATTTTCTTGAGTGGGCTCCACTCACAGACCTCTTGCAGCACTTAAACTGTCCTGCTGGCCAACCCCCCAGTGACCTGTCTCAGGCAGAGGCTTTCCTAGGGCTGTAAACAGCAAGCATAGTCTCTTCTCAGTCCTTCCTGGGCCCTTAACCCCTTGCTTCATAAGGATGAGAGCATCTGCAAAAACATGATGGAGCAGCTGTTCAGGCTCCCCTCAGCTTCAGTTTCTCCACCTTTGAACCTGTGGTTGCCACTTGCTCTAAGTCTAATGCGACGGACCAGTGAGCTCGCCTTGAGGAAATCCTTCTAATTGACACACACAAGAAGCTTCTGCCTTGCTACCAAGCAGGGATGGAGTCTTTCCACTTGAAGCCAGGAGAAGGGGTGAAAGAGGGAAAAAAAAAAAAAAACAAGCTTAGAGCATTCCCACTGTCTCAGGGCCCTCCCTATCCTCAGGTACAACCATACTCAGATGGGCCCTTACAAACAGCCCTGACTGTCACATTCCAAAATCCACATTCATAAACACACAGTCACCATTAGTACCAGTGCCTCCCACCTTCAAATAGAGTAGCTGTTCCAGAGGGTGAAGGGTCTCCCCAGCTGTCTACTTTGACTAAGGCTGCTGCCTGATCATCTCCGAGAATAAACTCTGTGTGGACAGCAGGCTGTGTGGACCTGAATCATCGGAGAGCCTGTCGGAGGAGGGGGAGTGACTTCCCGGGACAGGCAAGCAGACTATATAAGCTCCAGAGAGCCTGGCTACATGCAGATCTCTTTCTTCGGCTACTCCCTGCCAGAAAGGCTCCTGCGGAGAGTCAGTTTTCACTCAGCACCCACCATGTCCCAGGTAAGAGGGCCCAGCATGGGCTGGGTTGGAGCCAAAAGGGTGGGGGTGGAGGCCTGGACACTGTCACCTCTGGCAGCCCTCTTGAGCTAAGATCCAAGCATAAACAGGAGGCATGGCAGCCTGAGAGTCTGGACTTGGGGAGAACTCCCAGTCCCACCTTACCCTAAAGGATCCCTGTTTAACTTGACCTTAGTTATTCCCCATCTTCTTGGGGGGTGGTGGTTAATGTATGTGATACTTACACTGATCTGTGTGTGCCTTTGTATGTGGTGAGGGAGCTGCTGGTATAGCTTAGTGTGTAGTTGTGTACATCTGTAGCTGTGGCTTCTGTGGACTTGCTCTGTGTGTGTATGTGTACACATGAGGCTGTGCCTGTAGGTGCACAGCTCTGTTCTCTGTATCCCAGCAGGATTGGGGAGGGGGCTGTTGCCCAAGGAACCCAGCTAAGGGAGGGAATCCCTGCACCTGTCCCCAGAGCTTAGGAAGAAATAAGCCCTTCAGACTCACAGGCGCCTGGAATTGAGGGTAGGCTAAGCTCTGGTCTTATGTCCAGGCACTGGAGAGATAGATCAACTTGCCAAGAGAAGAGGCTTGTCCTTGATGCCTGCCCCATGGATAGATGCCATGTTTGGACTGTAACTTTGTGCGCATCTGGGCTGTTTACTTCAATCCCTTCCCAAAATACTAAAAGTACTGGTACATTTTCAGGAAAGGGACAATCCCTAAGGGACTCCTTAGCCATCCAGTGAGTGAGTCTTAGAACTCAACAAATTCCCTAGGGCAGCTTAGCATCAAAGCCAGTCCTTTTCCCCTTTGCCCATTGTGCCAGCCCTGAACTTGACAAGGCAGACAGACCAGTGTGAGGCTGCAGTGGCCACTACCCCCAGAGCTCCCAGTATGTAGGCAAAGGGCATATGCACAAGTCAGATCAAGAGGTCTAGGGACTCATATAGGTTGAGGTGTAGTCAAGAAGGCTTCCAAGAAGAGAAAGGAGCTTTGAATTGACTCTAATTTAGTGAGCTGAGAAGAAAGGTCTCAGCCAAGGCACAGAGGTAGAAAAGGGGTCTCTGCCTTAAAGCCTTAGTTTGTAAGATAAGGCTTTGGGCTTTCTTAAGTCTGGCACCCCAGAAGCCCCCATCAAGAAGAAGCGCCCCCCTGTCAAGGAGGAGGACCTGAAAGGGGCCCGAGGAAACCTGGCCAAGAACCAACAGATCAGGTCCAAGACCTACCAGGTCATGCAGGAGTGTGGTGAGTGTCCTCCAGGTTGGCTGGGGTTTGGGAGTGTGGGTGGTTCACAGTGGTTGGGGGCTGTCAAGGGTCCTTTTGGGGAGTTCTTCTACCTAGGAGGAAATGCTTCTAATACTCAAGTCCTTTCCTCTAAAAAAGTCAGGTCAGGCCCTTGACAGTGCCTTCTGTACCTCCTGCCCACAGAGCAAGCTGGTTCAGCTGCCCCATCAGTGTTCAGCCGCAACCGCACAGGCACTGAGACAGTCTTCGAGAAGCCCAAAGCCGAACCTGCCAAGAGCATCTTTGGCTGAGAAGTGCTTGCTGCATCATGCACCACCCTGAACATCTAGACATGGGAGATTTTCTCACGAACTCTTTTTTTTTTTTTTAATGCGGAACATGCCCTTCACCCCCCTGCCATCTCTGGAACCACCACCCCTCCCCTCAACCCTGACCCTTCTGCACCAGCACCTCAGAAACACCAATAAAGAGGATGCCCAAGTGGCCCTACCATTGGGACAGTGTCAGCTGATCACTGGCCATAGCCACTAACTGCAAGGGAGAGGGAGAACAGGGTCAGGATGGGAAAAAGTGTTCTGTGCCCTGCCTGGTCTTTTGAAAGGTCCCGTGGAATAGTGCAGGCACTCTTTAGGACACTGAGACATACTAGAAAGAGCCTTGCTCATGGAGACCTGGTGTTGACCTCCTGTGTGACTAAAGACCACTCTCTTTTCCTTTTTTAACCCTCAGTTTCCCCTTGGATACAACAGGGGAGTTGTGCCATAAAAACAGGTTACAGTGACACTGCTCAGAGTGAAGTCAGGGCAGGCCAGGGGTTCACCCCTCTGCCTGCCATAGAAGCCATTGAGATGCTTCTAAGAACCTAAGGCACCAAGGGGCCTAGGCCCTCAAAACCCACACCCCTTGCGCTGTTGTCCATGCTGCCTCCTTGGCAGTTTGTGTCTCAAAGACAAAGCCAGGTCCAGGTTCCTCTCTGTCTAGTGGCAGTCAGTTTCCTGAGGTACTACCTTCTTCCAAAAAGCAGGAAGAGCCCCACTTTCCATTCCCACCATGCTGCCTAAGGCCTGGGAACACCAGGTTCTCAGTTACATGTGATTCTTCCCTCTTCAGACCTGTGTCCCGTGTGAGCATGGAACTGTCAGATTCAGGAGACTATTGAAGCCTGTTCAGCTGTGATGGCAAGACCATGGACAGGCTAATAGTAGCTCCTTCTGGGGATCAACTGGCAGGGCCTGAGTCAAGAATGAAGCCTGCTGGGAAGGTCCTCCTGTCCCCTGGGCTCTGTTCCCCAAGAGAGCAGACCTTTGGTATAGAGCCTGAGTTTGTTCACTGGGCTCCTTGGGGAGGCTTTTTCCCTAGATACTGAAGGGTGTGTCCCCTGTGTAACCCTTATCCTACCCAGAGCCAAAGGAGTGAGCAGTATCCAGGTCCATAGAGGTGAAGCTTCTGGCTACAGCCATGCTAGGGATGGGAGAAGGTTTTACTTGAAGTCATAGAAATAGCTCCAAAGTCTTTGTTCCCCTTCCACCAGGGCAGATGCTTCCAGCTTTGAAAGAGGCAGATGATGCCCCAATCCTCTGGAAGGTACTTACTGGTCCAGGATCCCATGTGAGCCCCCACAGCAGCTAGCCCCCTCAGGGCCGATGTCACTGAGCCATCCTCCTTCACTGACCCAAGACTTGACTCCTGGCCGCACTTTCATGACTCATCTTTATCTCTGTGTGTCCACAGACTCAGGAGTTAACACTGGGGCACACAAACACCAGGTGCATCAAGTGCCTGACATTTGTTAACTTTATTGCTGGTTGTTATAAAAGAAGCACTTCAACTTTATTGCGAAAAGCCACTAGCAACCCCACCAAGGTCCTTGGGTAGCACTCCCACGGGCCTGGTGTGACGTCATAAGGCCACCCATGATGCCATCTCAGGCCACTACACTGCCCCCACACCCACTTTTAAGAGCTGTGTGCAGCTGGCTTACTAATGTGCCCTTCTTTCCCATCAGTAATCTTCCAGCATCACACCTCTCGGGCCATAGGATATCAAGACTCAAGCTGTGCATTGTCAAGTTACATGTTTGGGGTCCAGCTGGGTAGAACCTAGAGCCTATCTAAATTAATGGGGCCAAAACTGCAGCCTCGGACCCAGGAGAGCAAAGAGAGGCTCCTGGGCCTGACACTTCTCACTCCAGAAATAAAGTGTACCTATCCTGCCTGTTACCCACCCAACCCCCACCCCCACCCCAGACATCTCCTTGGGCCTCTCAATGTCTTCAGGGCTCCCAATGCCCAGTCACTCTCACCTGGCTATCCCCTCCCACCAGAAAGCTGCCTCGAGTGTCCCTCTAGCCCTTGTCTTCCTGGTCAACCCTCTGCTTTCCCCCAGGCTAAGCTTCTGGAGATAGATTATGGCCTCATCAATGCTGTGTGCCCCAAACCCTATGTAGGTTTCTGGGGTGACTGGTGTGACGGTCATGATTCCTGGAAACCTGGACCTTTCAGAAGGGGCACCAATACCCAACTCCAGCCTGACCCTACATTTCCTCAGGATATGTTCCTGCCTCCAGCCAAAGTTCACTGGACATTGGTCATTTGCCGCTTACCTGAGGTCCCTGGGGTTTTTGGCTTGGAAATCCCAATTTCCCAGAACCTGCCCCCACAGGGGTGGGGCCACAAGCAAGTTATTAATTCATTTGCCACTTGCTCAGATTCAGAAGCAGCCCAGCAGGCTCTGCAGCCAAAATGAAGATCCTAGCTCCTGTCCACACCTGCAGCATTGTGCTGGTCTTGCCCTCACTACTGGCTGTCCTCCAGACCACCACTGCCCAAAAGGTATCAGGTACCCAAAGCTACCTGTGTGAGCCCCTGCGTGCATGAGTGGTGTAAGCTGGGAAGCTGGGGAGATTGTCCAAGGATTTAAGTAGGAGTGCATGCATGTCAATGTATATGCAAAGAAGTGGTGATTACCCACCTGGCAAGGACCTTACAGGTGTTCTGCTTAATAGATAAGGTGATCCTATTATTTCCATTTTACAGATGAAGAAATACAGTTTTGTCAATAACCCCTTGAGGCTAGCAGTAGAATACAGTAGGTAGGAGTATGGCTTATGAGCCTGGCTGTCCTGCTCCCTGAGTGACCTCCAGGAAATTATTTGTGCTTTCTGTGACTCTGTTTTCTCATTTGTAAAAGAGGGTAATAATAGAGTCAATTCAGAGAGTTGTGTGAAAATCAAGCTCATAAAGCACAATGCGTGGCACAAAACTGACACCTAAACATGTAAACAAGCCACTCGGCCCCTCTCCTTAACTGTATGCACGTGCTTATGTGTGTACTTTCTCTGGGGACTGCAGACCTCTGGGCAAAGAGCATCTGTGTTGAGTAGTGTCCGTGGGGCCCACTTTGGGAAAAACAGAGGCAAAGAGAAATATTTCCAGCCCTTAGAGACTGCATACTCCTTTACTGCCAAATTCTCTGTACTGCCCTCTCCCCACGTAGATCCCTGGTAGGAGACTGGTGGCAGCATTTTCCCGGAAGCCAAAGTCCCTAAAGGACTAGTTCACTGCCCTGTTACTGGGCAGAAATCACCCTGGACACAAAGCTCCTGACCCCAGTAGGGACCTTACCTCTGACCAAAGGAAAAGTGTGATCTCCTCCCTCACTCTGGGGCTCAGGCTCTACCCACCATTTGCTTGTCATTCTCCATGGGGCGCTGGAGGCCCCATAGAATAAGACAGATGTGGCCTCTGCTTTGTGATGCTGGAGGATGGGGAATGAGGCACACAGCTACCTGTAATTTTGGATGTGAAATGCTTTACTGAGTTGAGCTTAGTTAGTGACTAGATGGGATTAGAAGCAGGAGTTGGTCTAAGGCCAGAGAGAAGGCACACTGTCTCTGGAGAGTTGGGGTGGCACTGAAATTATTTGACCCCCTTCCCCTTTGTTGGTACAGAATGGCATCAGCATCTATAGCCTCACAGTGGACTCTAAGGTCTCGTCCCGATTTGCCCATACAGTCATCACCAGCCGGGTGGTCAACAGGGCCGAAACTATGGAGGAGGCCACCTTCCAGATGGAGCTGCCCAAGAAAGCCTTCATCACCAATTTCTCTATGTAGGTGTCTTCCTACCACCACCACCCCACACCCACCCACAGCCAGGCCTACAACTCCATGTCCTCTGGGCACCTATGAGACCCTCTTCTGGGCATGTAGGACACTGTTCCACCTGTAAGCCTCATGGGGAACAGGACTGTGACCAAGGAATCAGAGATACCTATATACTTCCTGCCATCCAGCTTTCGTCACTAAGTGCTGCCAGGTGTCTTTGTGTCTTTGCCTTTGAAGAGCACAAGTTTGGGGCATTGGAGGCCAGAGACAGGCAGGAGGGAGTTACCAAAAGTAGATCCCAGCTCAGAAAACAGAACTTCTGAAGCCCTTGGGCTGCCCCACAGTGGAGGATGGGTCCTCCTTGTCACTGCAGAGGGCACATCTGCTCTGCCACCTCAGGAGATGCCTGGAGCTTGTATGAACTGATGACAATCCTCACTTTGTCCTCTGCCACCCCACCCCCACCCCTCAACTCAGTTTTGCAATGTTTGCTGAACTTGGCAGAACTTCTGCCTGACCCTGGCCTCTGCCTCTCTGGCAAAGAGGGATTGTCTCTGGAGAATTGCAGTGGGGGCTGGGATCCCTGTGGTTGACTCCTCCCTCTCTCCTCACCCATTCCCCACTCCACCCAAGTCTAGGTTGGTGCGCTTATCTTACAGCTAGAGCTTGGCAGGATGTACTAGCCTCCAAGGGAGCCAAGACCATCACCTCTGCTGAGAACCCAGGCCTGGTGCCACCGCTACTTCTGCATGACATAGGGATGCACAGGGCAGGGTTCCCTGCTCCCTGACCTGGCCAGGAGCCCCATCAGGGCATCTGAAAAGACCTAGAGTTGGCCTTCCAGGTGGAGGATCCATGCTGCCCACATCCCAGCTCCTTCCTGGTCCAGACTTACTTTAGAACCAGAGAAGTACATGGAAGAGGGCCATTTCATGTACGGCTGGACTTGCTCCCATTCTTTCACACCACCCCTAGATGAAGCAGGCATTCATTTATGAGACATGTTCCTACTTACTCCACAAGGAACTCATTTTCCTTCCAGAGAAATGGCCCAGTCACTTCTTTCTCAACCCCAAAGGATGATTGCTAGAAGCAGGTTCACATCTCTAGGAGTCCACAAATTACCCAAAACCTGCTGCCCGAGATGCAAGCTCCCTGCAGAGCACCTGCCCTGAGCAGGAGGGAGGAGGGAGAGAGTTGTAGGGAGCAGGATCAGATCATGGCCTTCAGTCCTGTGTCTCCCTTCTGCTCAGTCTCAGCCTTGAGGCTGAATAGAGTTGGCCAAGGTGAGGCTCAGAAAGCTGACCATTGCCCAGGCGCCTCTGGGAACAGCCAGTGAGGGGTAAGGGGCATGTTGCAGTGTGGGGTTGTGTTGGAAGGGTGAAGAGGCCAATTTTAACCTAGCCCTGCCTTCTCTGCAACTTGCCACCCTGTCCCTTCAATAAAAAACATGTGGACTAACACTTTATGACTCAGGGTGGTGGACGCTTTACTGAGTGCCCTACACAAGGTCTTGTACACAGTAGGTGTATAACAAATGGCAATGGACCCAGGCAAAGACAGAAGTCACTATGTCAAAATACATATCAAGTCCTAGAAGAGTGCCCTCGCACTAGAATTGGCAGCTTCCACTCCCCCCTGCAGGATCATTGATGGTGTGACCTACCCAGGGAACATCAAGGAGAAGGCTGCAGCCCAGAAGGAGTACAGCGCAGCTGTGAGCCGAGGAAAAAGTGCCGGTCTTGTCAAGTGAGCTGATAGGGAGGGAACCATAGACAAAGACTACCCCTCCTTGGTCTTTGGCTTTGCTCCACCTCTAGCAGCCATAGCCCACCTGGTCTGGAGGGGCAGGCCTGATGCCCTCCTTCCCCAGGGCCACCGGGAGAAAGACAGAGCAGTTCCAAGTGTCGGTCAGTGTGGCTCCCACTGCCAAGGTCACCTTTCAGCTGGTGTATGAGGAGCTGCTCAGGCGACATCTGGGAGCCTACGAGATCCTGCTAAAAGTACGGCCCCAGCAGCTGGTCAAGCACCTGCAGGTACCTGGCACTGCCTCTTCCCAGGAGGCCTCCTGGATGCCTCCTGTGAGCCCAACCTAGGCTCCCTGCTGCCCTGGTTACCCATATCTTGCCTCCAGGTGGACGTTCACATCTTCGAGCCTCAAGGCATTAGTTTCCTGGAGACAGAGAGCACCTTCATGACCAAGGAGCTGGCAGAGGCCCTCACAACCTCACAGAACAAGACCAAGGTGGGCCTGCCATATCTAGAGGACAAGGACACCCATGAGGCTGATCCTCAGTCCAGCTTTATGAGCTAGAGTCCCAGAGTACAGGACAGTTGAAGCCAAAGAGACTTCTAAGATCTCTGTCTATGCCACCACTGGGCATTTGGGAAGGGCAAGGCCTAGAGATGCACAGTAGTAGCTCCAAGATCTGTGGGGGATAGACTTGGAAAGTAGATTGATGGGAGGGTTCTAGGAGCAGGCCAAGAGAACACACACACACACACATGCAAGAAGTCCATCAGCAGCACAACTTGAGATTTCCCTTGAACACTGACCCAAGGCTGCATCTGGAATTCTGACTCCCAGTGTACATACAGAGGTGGTGGGTGTTGTTGCTATGGCCTCGCTCCTCCTCCCAACTTCAACCCCTATTGTTCCTCCAGGCTCACATCCAGTTTAAACCAACACTGTCCCAGCAGCAAAAGTCTCCAGATCAGCAGGACACAATCCTGGATGGCAGTTTCATCATCCGCTACGATGTGAACCGGACACACTCTGGGGGCTCCATTCAGGTGGGTGGACTCTAGGCAAGAACAGGGCAACCTGAAAATCAGTTCACCCTCAAAGGCCTGAGCTTGAATGTTCCAGAAGAAAAATATAATGGCCTGTCCATAGCAGTGTGCACCTGGGGTTAGCACAGACAGAAAACAGGAAATTCAGTTGTATTATCCCTGAAACTATTCCCTTTCAGAGGCAGAAAAAGGTTTGTCTCTGTGAAGAGCTGGTCTTGGGGTTTCCCTCTTTTCCTTTGCTGCTAGGAGGCTTATAGCTCAGCTACATGCCCAACTAAAGTAGCTCTGTCACACAAATTTCTGTCATCATTACTCTTCAACTCCTTGTTTTTGAAGTCTTCTCTCTTTTGAGGGATGTCAAGTTTACTATGACTGAACCTTGTAGTATAAACTGCCTCCAATACTAAAACAAATAGGAGCCAAAGTTGGAGGGAGAGTTCCAGTGCCTGTGCAGGAGGCACAGAAGGCTTCTGCTGGCAGGGGGGTGAGCTTTAGATGGTAAGGATTACTGAGAGTGTACTCAAGTGGAAGAGCACTTGCCTAGCAAGCACAAGACCCTGAGTTCAAACCCCAGTACTGCCAAAAAAAAAAAAAATAGATTTTGATGATAAAACTGTCTGGAATTCAAGGATTCTTTTTTTTTTTTTTAAACAATGATGGCAAGGATTTGGGGAGGTTAGCAGTGGAATGGAGAAGGGGGGCTGGAACAAGGAGAGCATAGGAACCCAAAGATTGGGAGGAGGAGGCTCAATGGGGGTAGAGTAGGGCTGCAGCTATGATCACCTGGGTGCATTCTCACTCTGGTCATAGATTGAGAATGGCTACTTTGTGCACTACTTTGCCCCTGAGGGCCTACCCACCATGCCCAAGAATGTGGTCTTTGTCATTGACAAAAGCGGATCCATGAGCGGCAGGAAAATCCAGCAGGTAGGTTCCCTGGGCCAGAGCAGACCCCTGAAAACTCCCAAACCCTTTATGCCATCAGCTGTAGTCCAGCAGGCAGACCCACCTGCTCCAGCATCCCAGGTAGGGACTTCCAAGACCTAAGCATGAAGAAGTCTCTGCCCACAAAGCACACACCATGTCCCCACCCCAGACTCCAGTCCAGGATGCCAGCCCAAGGGCCATGAGCCCCCAGGGAGCTTTCTGAGCTACCTGCTTATCTCCTCCCCCAATCACCAGACCCGAGAAGCCCTAATCCAGATCCTGAGTGACCTCAACTCCAAAGACCAGTTCAACCTCATCGTTTTCAGTGGGGAGGCAACTCAGTGGAAACCATCACTGGTGCCTGCCTCAGCTGAGAACATAAAGGAGGCCAAAAGCTATGCAGCTGGCATCCAGGCCCAGGGAGGTGAGTGCCTCTATAGTCCCACAGGCTAGGGGCTTCCAGGACACTGACTGGGAGCCACCTTGAATATGTCCCCTTCAGGAACCAACATTAATGATGCGATGCTGATGTCTGTGAACCTACTGGAGAGCAGCAACAAGGCTGAGCTGCTGCCCGCAGGGAGTGTCTCCATCATCATCCTACTCACTGACGGCGACCCCACTGTAGGTGAGGACATTGTGGCCACTGAGGATACAGCTGAGGCTATGCTTGCTGTGGGACGTGAGGCAGGAAAGGGAGGGGATGGTTTGCTGAGGCCCCTTTGGTTCTGAGGTTCCAGAAGTATCTATTAAAAAAATTACTCTTTTCTCATCTTCTTTCCAAACCGATGGGTCTAGGGGTAACCAATCCCACAAGCATCCAAAAGAACGTGAAGGATGCTATAGATGGCCAGTACAGCCTCTTCTGCCTGGGCTTTGGCTTTGATGTCAGCTATGCCTTCCTAGAGAAGATGGCACTGGATAATGGTGGTCTGGCTCGGCGCATCTATGAGGACTCAGACTCTTCCTTACAACTCCAGGTGCCAGTGTGCCCTGGGTGGGCTGCAGAGCCAGACAGATCTAGCCTAGCCTTTGTGACATGCCTTCTGTCACCCTGTAGGACTTCTACCAGGAGGTGGCCAACCCACTGCTGTCATCAGTGGCTTTCGAGTACCCAAGCAACATTGTAGAAGCAGTGACGCGGGACAATTTCCGACTCCTGTTCAGAGGCTCAGAGATGGTGGTGGCTGGGAAGCTCCGGGACCAGGCCTCTGACGTGCTCTCAGCCAAAGTCAAGGGGAAGATGGTGAGTATAGCCAAGTCATCCTGGAGGGAAGGGGAAGCTGGAACAACCCCCCCCCCTTTGCATCTAGAGGGCCTTGTTTCAAGTCCCAACCCTGCCAAGTTCCTAGCTAGTTGACTCAAAGCGCTCTGGGCTTCAGGTTTCCCCTCTGTCACCTGTGAATGACACCAGTCCCTGCCACATGGGTTCATGGGAATTCAATAAGACAATGTAGTAATGATCATGGGAGCACCTGTGTGTGCTTGGCACATGTAGGCACTCGGCAGTCTGCCCTGCTATCACTTGCCCATTCCTGTGAGTACAAGATGACAGCAGGGGTTCTTTCTTAATTTTCATCCCCTCCATCTTCATATAAACCCTCTGAGGTTGCAATTGGCCAGAGAGAGATATTCCCATTTCACAGCTGAGCAGACTGAGCTCCAGGCAGAGCAGATGACTTGAGCTACAGCTGGGTCAGGAGCCCAACTTCTCTTGTAACACCCTGTCTTTGCCCAGCCTTCTCTGCCTCTGTATTCCAGGAGGTTTAGCTTGGGTTATCTTCTCCCAGGGAGTTCCTGTCATTTCACAGAGTGCCTACTCCTAGTCAAGTCCTTCTTTAGGCTCCTCTTCCCTCAGCCTCTATTTCCCAAGCTGCTAGCTAAGCCAGCCTAGGACCATATTTCCCTAGAAGAAAGTGGCCAGTCCATACAGCTTGAGCACATGCTTCTCTGTCATCATCCCAGTGACTGGCCCAGCAGAGAGGGCAGTTTGGGTAGGGACAGATAGAGTAGATGGAACCCCAAATCTAGAGTCATATACCTGAGTTCTGTTTTCACCTCTTCCACTGACTCCTGGGGAAAGCCTTTCCCTTCATGTTCTTTCTCCCATCTTTCAGGGGAAGGGGGACAACTGTGTCTGGAGACCCTGTCTGTTCCACACTACATTTGCAAATTCTTCCTGTTGCTATTACTAGGCTGACCTGGGATTCAGTTCCTATCTTCATTTCCCTTTCCCCCAAAGGGTCGGTTGACCCAAACTCCTTGATATACACCTGCCTTGCTGTACCTGGACAGTTGCTACCCTTTATCTCCATCTCCTTCTTACCATTGTGCACCTGAGACCCTTGGAACCCTAAACCACCTCCCTATCCCAAACTCTACTCAAAGAAAATGTAGCCCTTGCGATCAGTCAGTGCACCAACCTGCCCCACCTCCAATCAGAGCTCAAAAGGAAGTGAAAGGCAGGTGTTGACATCAGGCCCTCACTGCTGCTGCCCTGGCTGGGCCTCTCTTTCCAGCACATGCAGAACATCACATTCCAAGTAGAGTCCAGCATAGCCCAGCAGGAGGAGGAGTTCCAGAGCCTCAAATATATCTTCCACAACTTCATGGAGAGACTCTGGGCACATCTGACCATCAAACAACATTTGGAACGGATGTGAGTGGCTCTGACTTGCAGGCCACTGGGGAGGGCTGCACCTGGCATCAGCTGTGTCCAGACCTTTCACTGGTGGGGCATTCACAACTGGCATGGCCATCTCTTAGGTGCAGAGAGAAATATGCCTGAGCTCCAGGGGCCAGTGGGAGTGAGACTCTGTGCAAGCACCCAGAGACCCCCCGAGTTCTGACTTCTTCAACCCACAGTGTTTCAGCTTCAGATGCCGAATCACAGGACCTCAAGACCAGAGCTCTGAATTTGTCACTCAAGTACAACTTTGTCACTCCTCTCACATCTATGGTGGTCACTAAGCCAGAAGACCAAGAACAGTCTCAAGTTGCTGAGAAGCCTGTGGAAGACAGTGAGTGTGAGGCTGGGACCCCAGCCTCCTTGGCACTAGTGGTTTGCATTGGCATCCCCTACTACATTCTGACCAAGATCACACCCCTGCCACCCACAGACTCCTGGGAGCCCTGGGTACCCCAGCCTAAGGAAACTGAGACCAGATCTCCTGGCTCCCCAGATTCAGTGCTTGTGTAGTGCCAGGGTTGGGAAGCAAGTTTAAGCACAAACACTTCAAGTTGATCAAAACTACCCTGACAGTAGCCCGCTCTCTCTCCCTCTCTGTGTGTATGTTATCCAGATAATAGACAGAGGAATGTCCATTCAGGAGGTAAGACCCTAATGTGCTCAAAGGCTGGCCTGGGTAAGTTCCACTGGCATAGTGAGGACTCCATCCCACCTTGCTGCCAGGAAGCGTGCCTGACTAAGGGTGCTGATACATTTAGTCACCCACTCACTCAAATACTGGCTGACCCTCAGACCCTGTCCTAGCCCCTAGGGACACAGCTCCAATCCAACTGGAGCCCCAGAAAGGTAGGTCCAAGGAGTAAACACAAGTCTTACTGACTTCCAGGTCACGGCTTATCCAAATTTCGTGCCGTAGGAGCCCGACTGTCCAGAATAACAGGTGGTGGTGTGGGTGATAGGGTGGAGAGGGGAGATTGACAGAATCATCATTCCTAGTCATAGACATGGTTCTGCCCTTGGCTGTGGAGGGGGAGTGCTTTGCCTGGCTCACCTGGTTGGTGACAGGCATGGACTCAAGTTTAGGTATGTTTGATTAGGTAGCAGCAATGTCGATCCTTCCCATACCCCAAGAAGAGGAATCAGTAGATCAGGTAGTTTGCCTTAGGTGGAAGGAGGGGAGAGAGTGATTGGCTCCCAGCAAGTCGGGTGTGGGGAGGAGGCGGTTGGCACCTGCTCTCTCTACATCCCACTTACGGCATGGGGTCTCTGAGTCCTGGCATGGGAACCCATGACACTACCTGAGAGAAGACTGTCAATTTTTCCAAACTAGGAATTTCCAGCCTCCCACCAGACTTTGGATCTAGATATGCTGCTGCCCCTCCAAGATTTGGACAACCTGGACCTCCTCATGATCGTGATATTTTTCATACTTCTCACGCTATCCCACAGCCAACCTGGGAAGGTCTACGAGGCTTGCCATTCTGTAAGCCAATTCCTGACCCTCAGAGGGCTTCAGTTTCCCTCTGATAGTCACTGAACCTGCCCCGTACAGTGGAGTGAGAGAAAATACCAAGTACAGTCCAGGCAGGGAAAACTGCCAAGGAGTGTGTGGGTCTGACCCATCTGGGTTCCTTTCCTGAAGGAGAAAGGATTGGGGGTTGGGAATGGAGAACAGAATTTCCTGTGGTGGTTCTTGCCTGCCCAGCTCTTTATCCACCTCCCCTTTGCTTTCTCCTCTATCTCCTTGGGTGTGTGTTCTCCTGACTCTTTCACTATTCCTAGGTTGCCAGGCCACAAGCCTTGACAGAGCAGCTTCTCACGCTACTTGGTCGGAGGGGACCCTGGGCCCCAAGAGAGGCAGGGATTGACAAGAGGGCTCCTCATGGAGCTCTTTAGACCACTCTTTCTGGCACCTTCCCTCCTAAAGCACCTCCCCACACACACACACCAGCTTATGGATGTCAGGTGCCCCCTTCCTAAAGCAGGACTTTATAACTCTTGTTTTCACCCTATGGGATTTATTCCTCACAACAGAGCCTTCAAGGAAAAAAGGGCTTCCCCCGTTCTGATCTCCCCAACCTGGTGTCAGATGTGGCTGCAGAGGGGCGAGTATATGTGGGGGCAGAGTGCACCAGAGTTTGGTGGGCCACAGGGAACAGGGGTACCTGATGGGTGTGTGGTGGCCCTGAGTCCTGACTCCCTTCTCCCTTTCTGTTTCCAAATGTTCCTGCACTCCCACTTCAGTGACACCAGTTCACTCAGATAGCAGTCGAGTCGTGTTGCTTTCTAAAGAAATACAAACCAAAGGTACCCCCAGGCCAGAGCCTCTTCTTGTCATAACTGGGAGAGCCTGGGAAGGAGGAGCCCTGAGGGTCTCTGTGAACCTGTCATATGACATAGAGAGGGAACCCCCAGGCATACCCACTTACTACTCCATCCCACTATGCCCCCACTCCTCAGGAAGGGGCTGCCTGAACCCAGGTGTTTTCTTCCTTCTTCTTTTAGAAACCACCCTAACAAACCGATCCCAAGGTAAGTCCCTAACCTTCCCAGCACCCTTCCCCATCTTTGCCCCATAGACTTCTCTACCTGCCCCAGGAACTTTGCCTGGCTGTCCCAGCTCCTTTTCAGGCTCCTAGTGTAATGTTGCCAATGCCTGAGCCCACCGTGGACCAGATGTGTGTGGACATCAAGCGCTCCCAGGGACCCATGAACCTGATCTCAGACGCTGATCAAGGTGAGAGGTACCTCAGTCAGCCACCCAGAGAGAGCCAGACACCACTCATGCCCACTCACCATCTTCTCAAAGAGACACACATAGCAAGTGCAGACACCCTGTGCCCAGATGTGACACCCAACCCCACAGTCACCCACAGATCTCTTCCTGGGCATCCCATGCATGTCTGCATGGCCTGTGCACATCGGGGTCAGAGCCCAGAGGAAGAGACCAGAGATGCCTGAAAGCCAGGGGAGCTGCCAGGGGTCACCTAGGAATGCTGGACTTAGTAGACAAGCAGAGGAAAGAGTGAAGGTGTTCTAGATGGAAGAATCACAGCTGCAGAACACAGAGTCCCCATCTTTCCATGGGCCTCTAGTGGTGTGGAAGAAGAGAATGGTACAAGGAGCAGATGCACCTGCCAGACCCCCTGCCATAATCCTGGAAGGGTTTCACTGGTTGAGCTGAGGTTGCAGGACAGACATGGGGATGCATGCCACTCAGGGATGCCTACATAGAAGTATAAAGCTAAGGACATCCACAGCTCCATCATTCCTCCCAGGACCACGTGGTCTCCTGTTTCATCACTCAGACCCAGGCATGTTGTCTGCTCCCTGAGGCAGGGATTTTCCATCTTACCTTTGGCTATGCAGCTAGCTCAGGGCCAGATACACTACAGGGGCTGAATAAAGGTTTATAGACTTGAGACAAGACCTCCCTTCTCAGAAGTCTCACTGGGGTTGGCCATCACTGAGTATTTGGGGGCCCCTATAAAACCATAAGAAACCAAGGAATGAGTAGGACGATCCTGAGAACCAGACCTGCTGTGTGAGTTGCTAAGTAAAGGGGGTGATCCTTCTGAGGAGACTAGTTGATAAACAGTGGTTCTAGGGGAAATGTAATTAAGGAAGACTCCCTGTTCAGCCTTGGCTTTGATGTCTCTGGTATGGCCTTCTTAGGGCTTCAGGTGACTGGCCAGTATGAGATGGAGAAGGCTGGGTTCTCATGGATCAAGGTGACCTTCGAGGATCTCCAGTTGCAGGTTCATGCATCCCCTGAACGTGTAGTGGTGACTCGAAACCGAAGAAGCTCTGGATACAACTGGAAAGAGACACTGTTCTTGGATTTGCCAGGGTAAGCCCCAGACTGGGGTCCTAGTCAGATAAACTCTCAGGCTGCACTGACTGGTGATGGTGCTGACCCATGCCTGGGAATGGAGTGGTTAGGTGCGAGTCCTCTGTAAGTGGGATGCACTCCCAGGAGGGGCAGGGATGCAGAGGACTTCCCTGCATCCCTGCACTGGTAGAGGCACCAAGGAGTCATCCTGGAACCTGGTTCCCCTTGCACCTAACCCAGGTCACTATCCCACACCGGTGACAGTGTGGTTTGCAGCTAGTTCTGAAGATAATCCCGTGTGACCTCTGCACAGACCATTCAGTCCGTCTGAGTCTCAGGTTCCTCAATAATAACTACAGATAATCATGAGTCAGAGGACTGTGGCGAGGGAAGGGACACTATGAGAGGAAGTACTTAGGGAACACTTGCTTTCAGTTGGTACAGTGTCCCTTGGGCACCCTAGGGGCCAACACTATCTACCTGGTGAGGTAATGATGACAATCATGAGACTGTAGAGAACCCTGTCCACTAGCAGGTTATGAATGTTATCCTTAGTGAACTGTGTTAGTCACTTTTTTTTCTTTTTTTTTTTTTGTCCCTGTGACAAATACCTGAGAGAAACACAGGAGAGGAAGGATTTATTTGGGTTCACAGTTTCAGAGGTTTCAGTCCGTGGTTACTTGGCTCTCTTGCTTTGGGGCCTGTGTGTGGTTAGGCAGAACGTCATGGTAGGGAGCATATGGTAGAACCAAGAGGCTCACTTCATGGTGGAAAGGAGACAGAGGAAGGGACAGAGCATGCCTACCTGGCTGGCCTCTCTTGCTTTATGTTCTATCAGACTCCCACGCTGTTGGGCAGTGCTGCCCACATTCAGGGCAAGTCTTCCTCTCTGCAAACACCATCACCAGAAATGTGCTTCACACATTTCTAAGCTCCTAGGCATTTCTCAACCCAATCAAGTTGACAGTCAAGATTAACCATCACAGGCACCTTTGAAGCTCTGGTGAGAAGAGAGGAGACCAGCTGGTTTCAAAAGATGATTTCTAAGGGCATAGCTGCTCCACTATAGTCTTTCCATAGTGTTGGGCAACCTTCCAACTCTGAAAGTCACCAAGGGCCCTGGAGAGGACCCTAGCCCTCTGTGTGCTGTGCCCTCTGAACCCCCAGCCTGTGATATAGCCCATATTTTTCTAGAAGAGAGTGCTTTGCTCATTCACTGAGCCCTTTAGCAGAGCCTTGTTTCCACTTGGCAAATGAGCGTACACCCAGCAAATCCAAGGGACTCATCAGAAAACCTGCCAATTTCACAAAAGACCTGAAAGTTTTTGTTAATATCGGTAGCATTTCTGTGCCTTGGAAGTACACACTAGAAAATAAAACCAAGAATTCCTCCTACTCATTGTAATGATAGGAAGTTCAAATATTGTCATGGGCTACAGAAGATACACATAAAGAAAAATAGATTAGATTGAATCAAATCACTAGGGCAGTGTAAGTTTAGGGAAATTCCATTCAAAAGAACCTCAGAGTGGCTGGGCGCCAGTGGCTCACACCTGTAATCCTAGTGACTCAGGAGACAGAGGTCAGGAGAATCACAGTTCAAGGCCAACCCAGGCAAATAGTTTGTGAGACCCTATCTCGAAAATACCTAACACAAAAAAGGACTGGTGGAGTGGCTCAAGTGGTAGAGTGCCTGCCTTGCAGGCATGAGGCCCTGAGTTCAAACCCTAATACAGCAAAAAATAACAACAACAATGGTAATAATAATAAATAATCTTGGAGTAATAACAGGGTCTTACTCTGCATGCTTAAAGGAGCCTAATATTCATATGGAAGTCAAAAGGACAAGAATTTCAAAGATTAAAAAAAAGGGGAGGATAGAATGAGAAGAAACTTACCCTCTAGATGTTAAAACATGATTAAACACTAATTGTCAAAAACAAGTACAGAGAAGGTGTCAGTAAGACTTTCTTGTTGTAATAACCAAATTCTTTCCTTCCTTAAACATAAAGAAGAGGGTTGGGGATTTAGCTCAGTGGAAGAGCGCTTGCCTGGCAAGTGTAAGGCCCTGAGTTCGGTCCCCAGCACCAGAAAAAAAAAAAAAAAAAAAACATAAAGAAGAAAGAGGGTTTCAGAGGTTTCAGTCCATCATGATGGGGAGGCATGGTGGATCAGAGCAGCTCACATCATAGTAGCCAGGAAGCAGAGAGAGACAGAGAGAGGGAGAGAGAAAAAGCCTGTGCTAGCTGGCTTTCTACACGACCCCCCCACCCCGCCTTTTTTTGTGGGTTTTTTTGGTGGGGTTGAACTTAGGGCTTTGTACTTGCTAGGCAAACGCTCTGCTACTTAAACTGTGCCCCTAACCCTTCTTGCTTTTGGTTATTTTTCAAATAGTGTCTTGGCCTTTTCGCCTGGGTTAGCCTGGGACCACAGCCCTCCTTCCTATGCCTCTCACATAACTGGGGTCAGAGATGAACACCACCAACCCTAGCTTGCTTACTGAGATAGGATTGCCTCTCTCCCAAGGAGCTGGGGTTACAGGCATGAGCCGGCACCCGGTCTATTTCCTCCTTTTATTCCACCTGGACCCCCCAGCCTGTGGGATGACACCACCCACATTCAAGGTGGGTCTTCCTCCTTAATTAATCCTCTCTGGAAACACCCTCACAGATATACCCAGAGGTGTGCTTCACTAATAAACTCCTAGTGCTTCTCAATCCAGTCAAGTTGATAATCAAGATTAACCATCTCATTCCCTAAATCATATAACCTCATAATTAACGAGAAGCCGAATTTAAAACCAGAAAGAAAGGAACCATTATTTTATTTTATAAATAATGCCAAGGAAACGGGATACCATTACACGAACTTTGATCCTATTCTACCAGTGAAGAAACTGAAGCCCAGAAATTTAAGGGCCTCCTTGCCCAAGGCCAAACTGTGGACGAGAAGGGAGCCCCAGCCATTCCCCACACCCCTACTGAGGCTCTATGCAGGTGTCTCTGCCTTCCTGCTCAGGGTGCTTGGTTTCTCCACAGCCTGAAGATAACCATGGATAAGACAGGACTCCTGCTGCTCAAAGGCCCAGCCAAAGTAACCATTGGCCTGCTGTCCTGGGATGACCCTAGAAAGGGGCTCCTTCTCCTTCTGCATGACACTGACAACTTCTCCAGCCATGTCAGCGGGACCCTCGGTACTCTGCCTGCTCTCAAAAGCCACCTGTAACTGGGGACAGGCAAAGCCTTTACCTCCATGTGGCTCCTGTACTGTCTTTACTGTTGCTTGACCCATCCCATCCTCTGTTTCTCAGGCCAGTTTTACCAAGACCCACTCTGGGGGCCACCAGAAGCAGAAGACAAGAGCAAACGAGCACTGAGGGTTCAGGGAACAGACTACTCCGCCACCAGGTGACTCATCATAAGCAGGCCACTGAATCTGACCAGGGTGGGATGGGGACTGGGAGGCTGGGAGCTGGGCTCTGTAGAACCCTACTCCTGCTCTTGCTCAGGAACTAGATACAGTAGAAGGTTGATAGCTTAGACATGTCTGAGCCAGCTCTTGGTGACCCCACAAAGGATGGTCAGTTCAAACCCGCAGAAAACACACCAGTCCAAATATCACTAGGATTGACTGAGGGCAGTAAGAAATTCTCCCTGTCCCTGCCCCCAACGCTCAGAGCCCTGGACCCTGGAGACCACACACACTGGGTCCCCTACGTAATCTTGTGGGTGACCAGGCCTTTTTTACCTGTGCTGGATAGGAACTGTGAGACTTCCCACCCTCTGTGTTCCTATCCCCAACTGTTTCCTCCTCTTTCTACCATACCTGAGATTTGTTGGTCACTTGTCTGTCTGTTGTCTTTCCATGCCAGAGAACGAAAGTTGGATTACCAAGAGGGACCCCCAGGGAAAGAGAGTTCCTGCTGGTTGGTGGAGCTGTAGTATTGGTGGGAATAGCTGTGCCCCCCTGTGCCACCCCATGTGGTATAGATGACCACTACTCTGCGGCTGCAGGGCCACCTGTGGGGCCTGGATCATTATGGGGAGAGGGATTCCCACTCACTGTAAATAAAGAAAGATGGTATGAGACCAGGGAATGTGTTTCTGTGGTGGATGTGGGCAAATTCCAGGGCATCGGAATCCTATCCTGAACAGGTAGGTTTATTGAACATACAGCACAAAAGTCACTGTCAACCCTCAAGAGTCTGTGGCGAGGGAGGCCCTCAGAGAGCTTTCAAACCTGTCCCTTTGGCTAAACCACCCATTTAAAATGTCCGTATTAGGCTGGAGGTATGGTTCAAGTGGTAGAGCGCCTGCCTAGGAAGTACAAAACCCTGAGTTCATAACCCAGTATCGCCACAAAAAAAATAAATAAATAAAATGTCTGTATCTAAGTAGCCTCCAGTAAGGGGCCCAAGACTAGAGAATGTTCTCCAGAACAGAGGTTCCGCTGCTTTACAGTCAGCTGGATAGTCAAAACCAGATTTGACTCAAGAGAGTGAGCTGGATTGGACTGCTCTTTATAGGTCAATCCCAGACCTCCTCAGTGAGTTTTGGGGCCCTGGCAATGGGATCTGCCTCACACAGTTTGCTTTTCACACCTTGGCTGGGGGGGCGGGGAGGGAGGGAGTGGGGGGGAGACTGGCCTGCCAGCCTGCTGCCTGCTCCTGAAGACAAAGGAAATTGCCTAGCAAGCACAAAGCCCTGAGTTCAAACCCCAGTACTGCCAAAAATTTTTTAAAAGTCAGCCCTTTGTAACCACAGGTTCTGCATCTGTGGATTCAACTGACTGTATCTCAAAAATATTCCAAAGAATGACATCTGTATAGAACATGCATAGAATTACGCCCTAGCAATCCAGTGTAATGATTATTTATGTAACATTTACGTCGTATTGGGTATTATAATGATCTAGAGTATATGGAGTATACAGGAGGATGTGAGTAGGTTATTTGTGAATATTGTACCATTCTGTAGAAGGGACTTGAGCATCCACAGATATTGGCATCCTCAGGGATTGTGGAACCAAGTCTCTGCAGATACCAAGGGGGGACTGGTCTTTACCTACTTCTCCAAAAGAGGACACAATCTATGATCTATGACTAACAAATAAACAGCATAAAGAAAATAAACCCAAAATCCATGAATATGAGGTATAAAAGCAGCAGGACTGTTAAAATAAGTTCATTTGCTTATTCAGGGGAAACAAACCAGATCATCAGGGAAACATTCTGTCCCAGCTCTTGAACTATGGAGGGTATTTGCTGAATGAGTCTTTCCAGAAGGGTCAGAGGTCAGGACAATGGGAGGGATCTCCAACAGCAGGTCTGCCCAAGACACAGATTCCTCTTGCTCTGTTACCCCTCCACCCAGCCTCCTTGACAGGTGGGGACCTCAGCCTGAGTCTCTTTGAAAAGGTCACTCTGAGAGTCTCAGGCCAGAGCACCAGAGCAGCCTGGGGCTGAGGGGCTTGATCTGGGGCTAACAAGGAACACACAGGAGCAAGACAGGTGAGCCCAACCCAAGCTTGCCCCTCTGGGACATGACTACCTATGCGGGCTAGGGGATTTGTGCACCAACAGAGGTGTCATGGATGGCTTTGTGCCAGCAACCACAGCAGGATGCCCTGGGACAGTTGAAAGCAGGTCCTTGACCTTCACACTTTCATCCCGCAGGTGCTTTCTAGCACCTACTTGGGCAAGGCCTGGGGCCAGGTGCTGTGGGTACACTGGTGTCTGTGTGACAGCTATCATACACAAAATGATCAGAAGACACAGGAGCCCAGAAGGAGACATCTTTCCCAGCTTGGAGATGTTGGGGAAGGCTTCCTGGAGGTGGTGGTGTTGGGGTTGAGTTTTGAAGGATAAAGAGACATTAGCTCAGCGGGAAGAGGGTAACAACCCCAGGTGGAGGGAATAGCGTGCACCTATGTCTAGAGCCAGACCATTATGCCTGGAGTTCAGGAAAAGACTGTTATGGGGTGGGGTAGAAGTGGGGAGAGCCAGACAAGCTCAGACTTTGTAAACTTTGTCATGGTACACAGCCTCTTTCCTGAATGCCCAAATGTAAGCAGGACGGGGGATTCAGGGTGCCATGGGACTGGGGAGAAGACAAAGCCTGCCTAGTTTTGGTTTGCATGGATGACTCTCCACATGTGTGTTGAGAGAGGGGCAGGATTTTGTTTGGGGTCCTCACTCTGCCTTTCTCCCACCCTGCTCAGCTTTCCTGAGGATGCCTTTCCACACTCCATCTGGCATGAACATCTTCCCAATTGCACACATGGGAGCACTGACCTCATGAAGACAGCTTACTCATGGCTCCTCAGCTCACCTAGGCCAAATGGGGCAGCAGGGCCTATATATTCTACGTGGTCCTTTCACAGGACCCTTCTGTCCAGTCCAGCCCATACTCTGGGGCCGGGAAAGGCCTTCAGGTTGACAGCTATCTCTGATGTACTCTCTGCCTAGATCAGTAACTGCCATCAAGCTGCAAATAGTGTCCTGTAGTGCCTTCCCTCTCCCCCACGCCCCAAGACCAGTGTGAACCCTGGGAAAATCTACTTCTGGCTCCAGCAGTGGGGAGTGGCTGTGAGTCCTCTAAAGTGGGATATAGATACTTCCTGTGGCCTGTAGCCACATGCTATCTCCACTGATACTCAGGGCTCTCCCAGTTTGATTCCAGCTTCCTCCAGCCTTCTGGTACTCCCTGCTATGCCAACTAAAAAATCATCCACTGCTTCCTTTAGAGGGTCTCCTCTGCTCAGCATGCCTTTACCTCCTCAGGCAGAGAGCTTCCAGAGGCAAAGGATCCAGGCCAGGACAGCTCGTATTTGCAGTTATTGGCATCCTGTGTGGCTGAAACCCAGAAAGTGAGGTGAAGCACCTGTTGTATGAAGGGAATCTAGAGAGGTCAGAGAAAGGACTTTTGCCTTGGTCCCAAGAGCAGCGGGTGGGAGTCCTATAGGAAGTTAGGCAAGGAACAATGGTCAGTTCTACCCTATGGAAAGCTCTCTGGGAGGCAGGGAGATCCATGGAGGGCAACAGCAGTCATCCAAGCTGGAGATTTCTTAAGAGTCCTCCAAGAACCACTCTCTGCCTCCCTACCCCACCCAGACTCACTGGAAGGAGAGCAAGTAGTTACCATGAGGTGACAGAAGGATCCCATAGAGATCTGGCTCAGTTGATGGCAAAGATGGGCAGCCATAAAAACAGAAACTGGAGTATTATACTGTGTGCCTCAGATCCTGGTCTAGGGTTTTGTGTTCATCTGCTGAACCAAGGGATGGGTGGATTGTTGGATGGTTGGATGGATGAGTGGATGGGTAGATGGATAGATGCATAGACAGGCAATTGGAGGGATGGGTGAATAGAATGGATGAGTGGGAAAACAGATATATAGTTGGATAGATGGTGCTGTAGTTTGTATCTTGTGTGTCCCTCACAGGTCCATGTGTTCAAGGCTTGGTTGACAGCCTGTGGCACTATTGGAATGAGGTTGGACCTTTAAGAGGTGGGGCCTAGTGGAAAGAAATTAGGTCATTGGGCCTAATTTCCTAGTGGAAAGAAATTAGGCCCTTGAAGGGGATAATGGGACCCTGGCTCTTCCTCCCTCTCTTTTTGCTTTCTGGTCACCATAATAAGCTCAACAGATCTCCTCTGCCATGCACTCACTATGATTTACCCTAAGCCCAAAGTGAGGGGGCCAAAGCACCACAAACTGAGACCTCTGAAGCATGAGCCCACGTAAATCTTTCCTCTTTTAGGTTGATTATCTCAGGTACCTTGTTTCAGGGTCAGAGAGCTGACTAACACAAGTGGACAGATTGAGGAATGGATGACACCCACTCTTAGATGTGGGCCATGTCTGCCCTGGAGCACTTTATACTTCTGAAGGTCCTGATAGGAGCTCCTGAGCTCTTATGATGTTCCTGAACTCTGAAATGCACTCATCCCTGCCTGACTTCTCAGAACCCCTTTGCTCCAGAGTCAGTTTTGGATTTTTTTTCCTTTTGGAAATTATGCATTTGACTCCCTAAAATGCCACCCTAACCAACTCTTTCTTGGCTGTATCAGTTGAGAGGATCGAAAAGTTGCCTTCCTACCAGCCATCTTCTCCTTTGAGCTGCTCGGGTCCCAAGGCCTGTTCCTTGGAACAGGGGCTCATGAAGGCATGCAGAGGCTAGCAGCTGACTGGTTTCCATGTTAGGCTTTATTGTCCAAGGCTCCTCTCATAGGCCCCATTCTGTGCCCATGTTCCAGGTGTCATCCAAGGTAGACCTTCTGTTTCAACAGGAGCTGGCATGTTTACTCAGGACAGGTTGGGGACGATATAGTCAGTATGGACACCATCAATCAGTCCTTCCCCATTGTTGTGGACAAACCAGCAAATGACCTTCATGTCACTACTCACATCCTTTCTGTAGTCTTTCTGGGAGCCCCTATGAGAAAAGAGAGAGAGATTGTAATGCACAGGACAGGCAAGATGGCTATGGTAGGACTGGATGTGTGGCTCAAGTAGTGAGTGCGTGCCTAGCAAGTCCAAGACCATGAGTTAAAATTTAAAAAAAAATTTTTTTAAACGATAGTTACAGTGGTCATGAGCCTAAGGTTGAAGAAAGGGGTGAGGTTGGAATTTCTTGTATTTTCTTTTTTATGTGCTCTGGATTGAACCCAGGGCTTCAGGCATACCTCGCAAGAACTCGTAATATCCTCAGCCCCTGAAGTTGGAAATTCTAAAAGCCTAGAATTCTTAGGTCAAAATGAGGTCACATGCCTATTCTTTCTAGGGAGCCAAGTTTGGGCTTTTTCTTAATTAGGAGGAGCCAAGAGGGGGCCGAGACCTCAAAGAGAAACACAGGTACACCACAGAAAACAAGAACCCATTAGGCAATGTGCCAGGACAGAAAGGGTTGTTCCCTCCTATTTTGTTGCTAGTCAGGGTGAGGTGTCAGAGGCATCCCCTCACCTTGTGACAGTTAACTGATGATTCTTCACTACCATTGTGGCATCTGACTTCGTGGGGTCAGAACCTGGGCGGATGTCTGACACTTCAAAATCAAAGGGGTGAAAGAATTGCCCTAGGAATAAAAACATTCACACCATCAGTCGCTGTCCCTTGCCATGGGTAATATGGCCACTGGCCTTTTAGGGTTGATGCAAAGGCTGAGTGGAGTGTCATGAGCTGGGTACAGGGTGAACAGGAATGTGGTTCCCATGCTGCTTTGTGGCTGAACAGCCTGCAGTCCGAATATTGCATACCCAACAGCCCATGCGTCTGTGTTGACATCCGGTGACTGTCCACCACGTAGAACCCTAGAAAGTCTTGGTGGACTGGGTGTTTCCTCCACACCTGGTGCAGAACAACCACAAAGGTAACCCCATCTCCAAAGGAAACCACCATGTTTTTCTTCCTATTGATTGTCAGAGACATTCTAGGAGAGAAGAGGAGATACTGGCTGTGGGGGCCAGGGCCTGTGACACTGGCCATCTGAATCAAGGGTGTCTAGCAACACCTTCTGGGTACATGGCACCTGATAGCACATAGACTCCAGAAACTACTCATGCATATTTATGCTGTCCACTGAATGGACCTTAACTCCTCTGTAAGCAGAAAAGAGGGCTATCCTGGGAGTCTAGAGGCCTGGTGCCATGTCCCAGCTCAGCCACTGAGTTCTTGGGTGACCTTGAGCAGGTTGTACCCTTCTCTGAGCATCAGTGAGAGTAGCACTTCTGCCCTGCCCACCAGGCTCTGGGGGTTTCAAAGATATAGGAAAGTCTAAAGAGATTCAAAACTAACAGGTTCAGCCAGAAAGAAGATGCAAATGGGGACTGCTGTTACTGCCAGTAATGCTTTAATTTTAATGTTTTTAAGAGACAGGGTCTTTCTATGTTGTGCAGGCTCGTCTTGAGCTTGTGTACTCAGGTGATCTTTCCCAGTGCTGGGACTACAGGCCTGTGCCACCATGCCCTGCTTCAACCTAGTGCTTTCATCCAACTAGCCCTTCCTTCAAAGTGAGTCCTATTCTGGTTCTGATAGGGACCACGAGACTGGGACCACCATGGTCACCCTCCCCCGGGGACTAAAATCCTAGACCACCAATCTCTCCTGTGACCCCTGTGAATATTCTGTCCTGGGATTGGCCCAAATTCTTCAAGAGTCTCCTGGACTCACAGGCAGCTGTGTTCCTTGAAGACACAGTCGGAGGACCTTACCCATCTTGTGTGACGGTGACGGTATCCAGCCAGCTGAAAATACTCTGTGCAATCCCATTCCACAGGGTGATCTTCTCAGTGGTCACCTCAATCCGGAAGTCCATCTGAGAATTGGTAATGCCCAGCTTCCCAAAGTAAGTCTTCCTGGTCTTGGAGTCAGGGCTGCCTTCCTTGTCTCCAATAATCTGCCCATTAACAGTGAGACCTGCCAGAAGGATGGGCAGGGAGGGAAAACGACAAGGGCCTCTGAGTCCAGGCTGGCCATTAGAGACCTGCTGAGGGGGAGCAAAGTGGGAGCACCAAGGACAGACCTGGACTTCTGAGCTCAGCCAAGTCTGTTCTAGATACTTTGTGTTTGGGTTGACATTGTGGACCTGCCCCTTGCCTGGGCCAGGGAGTGTCATTCGAAGAAAAAGTGCTCCCCAGTCACAAGCCGCATCCTACCCACTGCCCAGGGCCAGCCTGCACATTACCTCTAACCTTCTCTACTAGCACTGGGGACTTAGTGAATCTGGCTCTTGGCGGCCCTCCACCTCCTGCCCACAGAGTGCTCTGCGTATGTGTTACTGAGTAGAATGACAAGGACCAGGCCAATGAACTGACATGGGGGATCCGTGGAAGAATGCCAGTCCATAACACCCACCTGTGACTGGGTCGTGAATGAGGCGCAGCACTGTGCTCGGGTCTTCATCAATGTTGAAACAGATGGCATCATCTTTCTCTGGGACTTGGATGATGAAGTGGGGGTCCCCATCCACTGAAGACACATCAGAAAAGGGGCTGGCTCCCAGAGTCTTCTGCTATATTGGGGGGCCTCCCCTGGCTTCCTGTCCTTGTAGGCTGGACTTCTGGATGGGCAGGAGTGCTGGACCTGCTACCCTGAGCCCTGACCCAAGAAGAGCTAGGGGTGGACTCACCGTAATAGTATGGGTTTTGAGGAGGCTGGTAGCTGGCTGTGGAGAAAAGTAGAGACAGGGCTAAGCCAAGCAAGCAGCCCTGGAAGGGCCTGGACCCCCACCTAGAGTTTGGCTCATGCCCCCCTCCACCACTGCCAAGTCTTCTCAGGACCTGCCTGTCCCAGAGAGCAGTGGCAGAGAGAGCTGCAGCAGGTAGCATATACTCACTCTGGAAGGCCCTGGAGGAAGTCACAGAGGTGGCTAAAAGAAGCCAAAGGGTAGTTGTGAGCAATGTCTAGAGGACCACCTTCCCTTAACCCTGTGTCTTCTGCCTGTCTTGAGGCAGTCCCCAGTGGGGACCTAACACCTACCAGACATGGTAGGTTAGGCTGACCCCAAAGTTCAGCCTTTAGACATGAGGACATGCCAGGGTACCATTTTACAGGACTGGTGGTGATAGGTCTATGATGACAATGCTAGGGGTACAACATTCTGATGTGGCTAAAATGCAAGCTGTCAAGTCCCTCATAAGTAATGCTTACAGCAGACATCTGTCCCCACCCCTGGACTTTCCAGCCCCTAGTTAGGGTAGGGTGAGGCCCACAGTTGTCTGTTGCTCCCTGATAGTAAAACACCTACCCCACCCCCCATACACACATGCCAGGGACTACATGACATTTGCGGGGCTGCTCTGAGGGGAAAGGGATGCTCCAGTCCACATGTGCTCCTGATAGATGCAGATAGGGCAGGCTAGCAGTTGCCAGTGAGGCCCTGCCAGTGATGATGGGCTGGTGGTGGGTGAAGTTCCAAATTTATGGTGAAAGGTGGAGAGTCCTCTGATCCTAGCCATCTCTAGCATGGACACTGGGTCCAGCCTGCCAAGGCTTAGGTCCCAGATCAGCTACCTTCTGAATCCTTAAGCAAATGGACTTAACCTCTCTGTGCCTCAGATCCCTCACTGTAACATGGGAATTATAAAAGGACTCCCTTGGAAGGTATCCTTGGGGTTGACTCTAAGTGCCTAACATGCTAAATTGTTCACTTTTGCAGGTCACATCTGATGGGAACCCTGAGGCTCAGAGAGGAAGACAGTTTGGCCCACAGTCACTCATGAGTTGGCAGTAACAGAGCTGGACCTGAGCCCACATGTGCTGAGTGCCCCTCCACCTCCAGGCTGGGTAGCCCCGCCAGCTTAGAATGGCCTCTTTAATTCTACCTCATCTCCCTCTCATGATGCCCACCTGGCTGCTGGCTGAAGCTTACCTTCTGCACTTGCAGGCACAGTGGAGGAGGAAAAGTAGAAATGCGTTAGAAGCCAAGGACCACTGGTTAGACCATTGCAGCCAATGGGAATGACCCAGCAGGGGCCACAGTCTGATGCTAGCCAACAGCAAGCGTTGTCCCCATAGGGTGTCTCCTGGAACCTAGAACTACTAGAAGCCAGAGGCCTGGCCTGGATCAGCTCTTTGCCTCCCATGCCTCTCAGTCCAAACACTTCCCACCCCTCACATGCCCAGTTGCCTTGGGCACCTGAGACCTCCCTCCTGAGTATTGTCTGGGGTCTGATTGAGAAGGCTTGGTCTCAGCCTTTAGCTCTCAGGGCTTCTTTTTCTCACAATCTCTAGGTGCCTAGTAGCCTGCTCCAGGCCCAGCCTTTGGGTTGGAAGAGTTCTTCTGAATCCTTCCATACTGCAGCTTAAGTCCCTTCCTTGAAATGACCCCTGGGCGGTGTGCTTCCTTTGAGAGGCTCAGAGGCTCCTATTCATCCCATCCCCTACTGTCCCTGCTGACTGCTTCACTGTTGCCACACTCCCATCCCTACCCCTTGGCCAGTTTTCCTTCGTGCCCCTGAACTTTCCCCACTCAGAACACCTGGTCTATCCAGCCTGGCCACTTCCTCCACTGGTCACCCAAAGCTCAGTGTCCTGAGAGGAAGGTCTCCTGTTTCTGTGCCCACCTTCCCCAGGCTTGTCAGCAATGGCTGTCTGGTCTTCATTGTCCTCAGGTTTGGTCACCACCATGGAGGTCAGTGGTGTCACAAAGTGGTACTTGAGGGACAGGTCTAGGGCCTGGGCTGTGAGGTTCTCCTTCTCCTCGCCATGGGCGTTCTTGCTGTGAGGAGAGACTGCTCAGAAGGGACCGCCCAGAGAACACCCCCTGCCTGCCTTCCCTGTACTGGCTCCCAGAACCAGACCAGGATCCCCACATGTAGCTGGGGCCCCCTCTCCTCCTCTCTAGAGAAGGAGCCCACTAGGGCTCAGGAAAGACTGGTTTGCCAGCTCCCTGGGGCATGTGGACAAGTTCTATTTCCTCTCCGCCTCATTTTCTCCACCTGTAAAAACGTAAGGCGTTTGGAATGGCCACTGCAACAACCGCTCGTGGTAGTGTCCACGTGCCAAGGCTCGTCACACACCCGTCCCACCCCACTTAAATGAACATTGGCATCGGCCTCTTGGGGGAGGCCCAGTTCTGCCCTCTGGGCACTGGGGCCCGGGTCCCAGCCTGTGCTTCTGTTCAGCCTCCTGTCACGGGGTGGTGCCAGGTATCAGAAGCAGGCTACTGAGGCCCTCCAGGCCTTAAGGCACTCCCAGGTTGCGAGCATTGGCTGTGCTTGCCAGCTTGAGCCTAGGAATGACAGGCCAGGGAATGGGCAGCAGGTTGTAGGGTTGTCCTTCCCTAGTGTGTGGTCAAGTGTTACTCCACTTAACCTCCCTCAGAGTACAGACAGCACAGGGTACATGCAGGCACTGGACAGTGCCAGATACCCAGGGTGGGGCCTGGCTATGTGAGGGTAAACCAGGTCACCGTTTCTCCAATAGCTGCTCAATGGTGAGGTAGGCCCAGAGCCGCTCAATGTAGTTCCCAAAAATGTAGTCTCTCTCCTTCAGGGCCTCCTCCATCTCCTTCATGTTCACCTCCTCCGTGAAGATCAAGTCGTTCAGGGCCTGGGCAGGGGAAGGAACAGCAAAGAATGGAGCCTGGACCATCACGATGCCAGAATGCTGGGGCCCATCCTTCATCTGTAGCACATTCCCAGGCCCTCGTTCCTGCTTACCCCGTGGCCCTTCACATCCGCCTTAAAGCTGTTCGTATCCTCATCCCCTAAGCGCCCGGCCACCACGATCTCAGAGCCATCGTAGAAGTGCTGGTAACTGTTCTGAGTGAGGTCTAGAATGGCATTCTTGGGGTACTCCACTTCCACGTCTGTCAGCAGTGGGTTAGCCACCTCCTCATAGAAACCCTGGAGTTCAGATCAGAGATCTGGTCATCCCAGGCCCCCAAGGGAGGCATGGAGAGGCACGAGGTGAGCCAGTCCCATGGATGCTCCAGCATGGCATCCAGTCCCTCAGGCCTGGATAGTTCTGCCTCCCGATTCTCGTTTCTACATGGTCCTGACTGTCTGAGGGGAGTCTTCCCTGCCCCACCCTCTGTAGAGACTAGGAAGAATAGAAGGAAAGGAAAGAGTTCTTGGTACAGAACTCTGAATTTAGAAAGTATTCAAGAAACGTTTGTTGGAATGACAGCAAGGAGAATAGAAAGGGAAGAGAGACTGCCTAGCTAGAGAAGGTGATGGGGTTGGACAGAGAGAGGAAGGCTCCTCCGCATCCACCTGCGGAGAAGGAGATGCTGTCACCTGCCTAGGGCTGGTGACTGGATTCGGCAGATCAAAAGATGGGGTGTGTATTTAAATCTGAGTGTTAGATTAGAAGCCATTTCTAAGTATAAGTGTGTCTGTTATGGGTTGAATCGTGTACTGCATTCTCAAAGTGTACATGTTGTCCTAACACTCAATTCCTCAGCATGCGACCTTATTTGGAGATAGAATTTTTCTAAAGATAATCCAATGAAGTCATTAGAGTAGGCTCTAATCCAATACAACTTGTGTCCTTATAAAAAGGGGAAGTTGGATACAAACACTCAATGAGGGAAGACAGAAGGTACAGGGAGAAGATGCCATGGATAAACCAAGGACGCAGGCCTGGGACAGATCTCTCTCGCCAGCCCTCAGAAGGGAGTCGATCCACAGACAACTTGATCTTGGACTTGGGACAATTATTCCTGTTGTTTGGGCCACTCAGTCTGTGGTAAAGTCTTTTCTTATGGCAAATTAGTGAACTAGTTCAATATTGTATGCAATATTGGGGGTATATTTATAGAATATAATTAATTGCTTAGCAGGAATTTATATTTAACTGGCTATCCTGTACTCAGTCTAGCAACCCTGTAGGGGAAGCAGGTCTGTTCTGTGGAGCAAGTACAGAATCAGGACAAGAGGCAACCTGAGATAGATTTCAACCTAAGAGGAAGTTTTTTTCTAGTTCCTGAAGCTGTCACACTGTGGAATAGCTGCCTGGGGAGTAGTGAGTGCCTCATTTCCTGGAGGTGTGTAAGGTAATGTGTACCTGCAACTGCAAGTTGGCATCAGAGTCTTCATAGATGCGCCGGGCAAAGCCATGGTTCTCCAGGGCCATACTCTCCAGGAAATTGTAGTTTAGATTGTTGCCGAAGCCCAGATTATACAAGGGGAACTTTCCCTGAATGGCATTCCGCACATTCTCCTGGATTTTTTCAGGTCTGCTCTCACCTGCAGGAGAGAGTGTTCACACTGGAGCCATCCAGGAGGCCATCTACATTAGCTCTGTTTGGGGAGCACTGACTCCTTCACATACACCTCTGGTGGAGTCATGGCCCCAAGCCCTGGCCAGGGCAGGTGGTATGGAGCCTTGGCAAGGGGGAGGCAGGGCCCTGCTCTCAAGGGACTCACAGGCTGTGGGGGTCCGTGGAAAGAGCTGCCCAAGGTCTTGCAGTGAGCTGGCTATAGAGTCAAAATGACAGCCAGACCCTCACCCTGGTTCAGAATTCCCCACCCCTCACCATCTCACCAGTATTGGCATCCCCATCGGTCAGCATGATGATGACAGAGGTCCTCCGTTCAGGGGTGAGGTGCTCCTCCCGGGCCTTGTTGAGCATACTGATGCCCCTCAACAACGCATCATTGATGTTGGTCACTGTAACAGGTAACACTGTGAGAAGTGTCCTCAGGGTGTGAGCACATCAGAGTGAACAGTGGTCCCGTTCATTTGCCAAGGACCCTGACTACCTGTACACGGCAGGACTCGGTACATGCTGGTGAATGAATTGGTGCATAAATGAATGAGACTTACACTTTCACACAGGGATCAAAGGGCTGCCAGAAGAACAGAAGCCTTTGGTGATTATAAAAGCAATTTGGAAAGCAGTCAGATGGACTCCCAGCCCACTCACTGGGAGGAAAGGAAGCAGTATAGACATCATCTATGATTTTTCCATAGGAAACACGGCCAAGAAGAAAGGTTCTCTGTGACCTTATCTCCCTGGGATCTGCTGGGCACCAGGATCATGGGATCCCCCAGGCCATACAGCAGACATGCTGATATCTTGTCTTTAAGCCTGAGGACCACCCATCCCATCTCTATCCACAGGAAGACCTTCAGGGCTGAGATCAGCAGCCTAGTCCTGGGGGAAACAGGCAATCTGCACAGAGGGGAGGAACCAGCAGGGTAGCATCTGCTTACTTCCTTGATCACGAATGTTCCTCACAAATATTCTGGCTTCCTCCAGGTTCTCAGGAGTGGCCTGGACTAAGTGATCTTTCCAAGTGGTCACACCTCCACTGAACAAGATGAAATTCAGGAAGTCTTCCTCTTTTATATCCTCCAGGATTTTGAGAAGGGCATCCCTGGTCTGGGGAAGAGAGGGCCAAGCAGACAAGGCGCTGAGAGCTAAAGTGGTAGCAGATGAGGTATCTTCCCTACCCAGGCGGCAGCAGAGCCCCTGCCATCCCCCTCAGGAAGAATTGCCTGAAGCTCCCCACAAAGTGGGCGGGGTTTTGAGCCTTCTGATATCCTGTCCACTTCCTCCTCTTTCATCAGAAATTCCAGCATTTTCCATATAGAAAAAAAATCTTTCCCTCTCCATCTTTCTACCCAAGGCTCTCAGGAACAACCTGTTCTATTTTCCGACCGGACATGGAGCCACTGACGTCAATCACAAAGACCACATTTTTAGGCACCACTGGAAGTCCTTGAGGTGCAAAGAAGTGCACAAAATAGCCGTTGACCACCTGCAAATGGGAGAAAGAGATGGAAACCTTTGCAACACCACTGGTGTTGCAAAGTCCCATGCAACTTTCCCTGAAAGTCCTGAATGAGGTCTGTTGTTTATAGAAACATTTGCTTATCCTCTGGCCCACTGCCAGTAGGTCCTCGGAATAGCTGGGGGTCTTGGGGACTGGAGTCAACTACCCAGCACCAACAATAAGGTCCTCTTTCATCTTTCACCCCTTCAATGTGGTATCAGCAGATATGGCCTCAGTCTCCTTATTTGTAGAACAGAGGCAGTAACTCCTGTCCACTTCCCAAGGTAAAATGTGACTGGGCTTTATAAATGGTTCCCCTGTCCCCCTGCACAGGCCAGTTAAGACCTCAAATCCTCTGGCAAGTCACCAGCAGCCCCCTTCCTCCAGCATCCTCACTACTGATGCAGGTAGTCAAGGTGGAAGATGATGGTTGCAGACTGACCTCTCCAGTCCCACCTCCACATGCTTGCATTAGCAAGCCTGGGACCGCAGGGCTGTCCTGCTGAAGCCCATGTTTCTGCCTCCTGCACCCAGGTCCCAAAGGCATCTATACCACCTTTTTCCCTAAGAAAGTTTACATTTACCACCCAAGGTAAAAGGTTCCTTTTCCACTTTCTAAGAGGTGGTATGCAAAGGCTCTGGACAATGAGCTGTCCCATAAAAAGCAAGGAAGCAGCCTGGGGCTGAAGATAGAGGGGGATGGTACTAAATTCAGCTGCAGCCCCTCTAGGCACGAGGCGACTCCCCACCACCCATGGCTGTGGAGCCCTCGGTAGCTACCTGCACGTTGGCTGGAGACTCTCTGTTCACGTCATAGGTGATGGTGAAGTCTCCGTTGAGAAGGGAATCTGTACAGCTTGGGCATGAGCGCTGTTGGTCTAAGCTGGGCTTGAAAGACACGTGGCCCTGAGGGACAGAGATGGGGGCCTTGCTTAGTTTGGCCTGGGCTGCCTACTTGCAGACCGTCTGGAGGAGCCCTCATGGGGAGGAGCCCTTAGGTGGGAAGAGGCTGGCAAGAACTGGAGCCCTGGGATGTTGTAAGATGCCAGGACCCAGTGAATACAGAATTCACCATGCTCTGTCTGAGCACCCCTCCTCCTGTGCGATCAGGGACTCCTGTCAGGCCACTTACCTCACTTTTGGCTGGGCTCCCCATGTCCTTAGCTCAGCACTGGAAGCCACTTAGGAAAGCCACTTAGGAAAGGGAACTTTGCTCTATATAAGGGAACTTCACGTTGGGTGGTTTTGCAGGTTGGAGTGTTGGTACCAGGGGAGAAGGGGAGTGGGAGGGGTTCTGGAGCACGGATACTGCCCTGCAGAAGCCTGCAGCTCTGAGTGTGTCCCATGCAATTTGCCCCGGAAATCCTGAATGAGGTCTGTTGTTTATATAAACATTTGCTTATCCTCTGGCCCACTGCCAGTAGGCTCTTGGAATAGCTGGAGGTCTTGGGGACTGGAGTCAACTACCCAGCACCAAGAATAAGGTCCTCTTTCATCTTTCACCCCTTCATGCTTACATCAGCAAGTCTGGGACTGCAGGACAGTGTTCCTGCCCCCTGCACCAAGGTCCAAAAGGCATCTATACCACCTTTTTCCCTGAGAAGGACTTGGTAAGGGCACTGCTTAGAAGGTCATTGGTGATGAATGTGGCTTCAGCATCCAGCATGCTAATGCCCTGGGGCTCAAAGATGTGTGCCTCGATCTGAAATGGACAAAATAAGATGTCACTCAATGGCAGTGCAGAGGCCAGCATTTGAAACAAGGCCAAGGGGAGTGACGTAGGTCTGAGATGATGTGGGGATCTCCTGGAACAATGCTGAAAGCCAAGCTTGTGTCTCCTACTGGGAAATTGACCACAAGGGCCGTTGGAAGGGTACTCTGACCCAAAGTGTTTCCCCCATTTTCCATGTGTCCTGAGTTCCACTATTACAGTGTTTCCTTTGACTTTCACCTTTGATGGAGGTAAAATGCTCATGACTCAGTTACAAGCATTACAGACATGCTTTGTGGTGTTGCCTCTGAGAGCCCAGCACCAGATCTGGATCTTTTGGGTCCAGCTCAGACTCCTCCCCTTTGTCCCCAAGTTTTGTGGTCAGAGACAATGTAATTCCTTCAAGCCTCCTAAGCCAAGCAGTACAGCCAGAGCTTTGCTTTCTAGACCCTGCTCTGAGCAAATCTTCCCCCTGCCCCTTGTCAGGCCCCATGGCAGTTCTAGCAGAGTCTGCAACAGCAGTTGATTACCTCAAAGTGTTTGACCAGTTGCTTGGGCTGGACCTTCAGGTACATCTCGTACTTGCCCTTGTGTCTCTTTAGCAGCTCCTCATAGGTTAGCTCAAAGGTGACCTTGCTGCCCGCTGCCACGTTGACTGAGACTGTGAATTTCTCTAGCTTCCTCCCAGAGGCCCTGGAGTGGGTATAAGACAGTGCCTACCCCAAAGACTACAGGAACCCACCCTTCCTTCGGTGCTGAGTTTCAAATTCCAGCCCTTTGGTTAGGGAGCTCCCTAACCATTCTGAGCCTCAGTTGCCTCAACCTCAAAATGGGCTAATTCAAACATTCTGGGCTCAGTTTGTTTTAACAATAAGAATGTTCTCATTTGCCTCTCTGAAGTTCCTTATGGTCTAAAGTTCTCCTCAAAAACTGGAGTCTATCTACACTTACTTGACCAAACCAGCTGTCTTGCCCTGTGACACAGCCTTTTCATACTGCTTCTTTGCGGCTTCCTTCTCCTTGACGTTTCCAGGGTAAGTAACACCATCAATGGTCCTGAAGGGAAAAAAGAGTTTGGGGGAACGGGTGTCATACTGGACCAGAACCCCTTCCAAGGCTCAGAGCCAGCAGCTATAGTGGCACCCACAAGGTGAAGTTGGTGATGAAGGCTGTCTTGGGGAGCTCCACGTCAAAGGAAACCTCCTTGGCTTTGTCTGCATGGTTGACAGCCCTCGTGGTGACAACATTGCAAGCAAAGCGGGAGGTCACCTTGCAGCTGATCTTGGTACTGTAGATCTCAATGCCGTCAACCACCTGTGAGAGAGGTGGGTAGGGATCACTGGGTGGTAACCAGCCAGACTGTGGCCTAGGGAACCAGGTCTTCAACCTGGCAGCTTCCCTTCCAAATGCTCTTTTGTAGGTTCTGAAGTCCTGGGTCCCTTGGTCCTCCCAGTCACCATGATTAGAAACCTGGGCATTGTCTCTGGTCCCCATATTCAGTTGGCCACCATGGTGCTGATGCTCACTCTGCCTCCTTAACACTAATCTGTTTACAGTGAGATATTATAAAGTCTAGCTCTGACCCTGATCCCTCTTCCCAAGTAAAGCCATCCCACAACTCCCCCTCTGCCCTCATGACGGTCTTTCCCGGTCCCAAGCTCCTGTCTCCCCACTTCATCCTGAGGTCCAGCTCAGGCCTTTGTCCCTGAACACCTGCTCTGGCTCTTCCTGCTCATCTTTCTCACTGCACACTATCTCCTCCTCTACCCACCCAGCCCGCCTTCTGTGTCCTTTAGTATTGGTTGGCTCCGTTTCCCAAACAGAAAACTTCTTCCTGTGCCAAGGGGAGTCTCCAGGCATCCCATTTCCAACAGTGGTAATGGACCAAGGAAGACTCTAGGGAAGCATCTGGGTTAGGCAAGGATAGAAAACTCCTTCATGAGGGAGTGACAGGAGCTGCTTCACTGTGTGCTCCCAGCCCTGCACAGGGCCAGGGCCAGCAAGTATTTGACCTCTGTTTCTGAAAGGGATGACTGACAGGGCTTCTCCTTAGCTTCCTTCCTTGAGATTGTGCGGTGCTGGTGCTTTTTCCCAAAGGTCTTGTGTCACATGAGGGGAAGCCAGGACAAGGGGCCACGAGCTGTTTGCCAGCTGTAAGGGACCTGCCATTATGGTCCACACCTTCAACCATTGGGTAACTAGCTCCACACTGCCCTTCCCCACCTGGCCTTGGCCACAGTGAAAGTTCTCACCCCTTCCGGGAGGCTCCGTTTCTGCAAAAACAAAGACAAATAGGGAGGTCAGACTGAGGGCAAGGCCACTGTAGTCTGGAAGCAGGTTCTGGGCTGGGGTCAGGGCTCAGAAGTACCCCACCACCTTGTGGGGCCTCCAGACACAGGACCCTCCCAGACCATATGTCAGAGTAGGAAGGACTCTGAATAGATGGGGACACTGAGGTCTACATAGAGGCAGGTCTCCAGGTCACCCAGGGAGATGAGCAAGGAGAGCAGGACCCATGACTCTCTCCATGCCCCATGAACCCTCACTTATTCTGTCTCTCATTCTGCTTTCCCTGGCCCCAGTCCCCTTAGGCCTCCTCCCAGAACACCCCCACCCCAGCACCACCCCAAGGCTCAACTCAGCCTTTGTAGAGGCCTCTGCACAAGGGCTTAGACCTTCACAGCCCTCAGTGAGGAGAGAAATTCATGGTGCATTGTCCATCTGACAGGTGGGAAATCAAGGCCCAGGAAGTTTTAAGAGCCTTCCTCAGGGATCAACAGCAGGCTAGTATAAGTCTTGGCTAAGCTCAGTTCTCTAAATGCCCGACACTATTTTAGCAGCTCAAGGCCTAGACCTCTGCTTCCTTTTCACCCAATTCAGAGGACTTACCCAGCTCAGTGCCTTCTGCCCATTTAACCCCCAAAGCCTTGGTAGCAAAGAGCAGGCAGACTCACCCCACGCAACCGGAGGAGGCTTCTTGGAAAGCCAGAGGCTGCCAAGCCAGAGAGCAGAGCCAAGACGAGGACCCAAGGCCACCAAGCAGACGCCATTGCTGAGCACATAGGCCTGGCTCACCCTCCTTATATGAGCCAGCCCAGTGTTTTCCAAGCAGGGTCAATGACCTGCAGTATGGGGCTGGAACAGTGAAGGTAGAAAGCTCCTCTGGGAAGCTGGGTGTGGGTGGAGTAATGGCTGTATGAAGTCCCTGTAGGTATTATCAACAGTGTTGGGACTTTACTCCTGACAGGCAGGGAAAATGGAGGACCCCAGGAAAGCAGAAACTGTGTGCTGACAAGTGGGGGTGGGGTGCATTTTGAACAAAAGAAATCTCAGCATCATGGCCTCTGGTCTGGCCTCTGAATGGTAGCCCCTCCCTTCTCAAGGCAGCCAGAGCACAGAAACAGAGTGCCACCCTCAGGCAGGACTTCTATGGCTGAGCCCCTTGCTCGTCACCCTGCTATAGTTGCCAGGGCCATGAACAGAACACACTCCAAGCTCTTCAGCCCAGATCTCCTTGGGTTCTGGTTCCATCTTGCTTTTCTGGGCTTACTCTCCTCCTACTGGCATTCCTTCCACTTGGCTTCCATGTGGCATCTCTCCTCCCTCTGCCAACCCTCCCTATCATTACCTTAAGTTGAGCTTTGTGTGCTCAGGACTGACTGGCTCTTCTGGACTCAGAGCTCCTGGAGGGACAAACTATGTCATGCTCCCAGGGCTCCCCCTATTTTCCCAGGGCTCTGCCAGCAATGTGGCTTCCCTTTGTCTCTTGGGGAGTCAATTTCCTAAATGTTCCCAGTGAGATTGGAGCTCCAGTACCCAGGGCAATGCGAGCGTCAGAAGCAGGACCTAGTCCCTCCCAATGGAGATGAGGCCTCCTGAACCACACTAGGGCCTTGCCAGTCCCTGACACCTTCAGGGCAGCTGCTATGTGCCCACCACACCTATGACTTCTCTAGCAAAGTTGACCTGATGACCCTCCCACCTGACCTGCTGCATTCAGGAGTAGATAAGGGTGCCTGGGCCCAGGACAGCTGTGTCATGCACTTGGCTGAAGACTCTGGGCCTGGCTGTGAAAGGTACAGAGAGTTAGTTGCAGAGAAAGCAGAAGTTGTGAGGCAGCATAAAGCCACAAAGGGATTTGGCCTAATGATTGGAAGTAACAGAAGCCACAGAGCAATGACAGAGTTGCCAAGTCAGCAATGATGGTGGAGTGACAGATGCCACAGGTGAGGGGCAACTGCCTGTGTTTGTTAGGATATCTGCATGGCACTTATCCTAAGGCCTCTTGAGTCCAGGGCCTTGCTCAGGCCTGATGCAGACCAACCCAGCAGGTGCTCACACCTGGATGTGGAGAGAAGACCCCTCAGAGCTATAGCTGAGCCTCTTTGCTAACTCTGGAGACACCTTGTTCATGTGGCTATTTTTACTTCTTTATTTTATTTTATGGTGGGACTGGGTTGGAACTCAAAGCAGAGCAGGCACTCTACCACTTGAGCCACACCTCCAGTCCCATGTGCCCATTTTAGCACCTATGGTTGCTGACTACTAGGTGGCTGGGATAAGACTACTGGCCTGCCACATTGCCCAGTGGCTCCTCCTCATGGCCCCACAGCTGTCTGCGGAGTTTCTGCCTTCCTCTTTCATCTGGACCGCCACTAGACCGTTGGCATTCGGGGAAAAGGACAATTGGAAGTAGGGATTCTGAGGAGTAGGGATGGGCAGGAACTTGGAGGGAGCCTGAGTCATCACGCAAATTAGAATTATATTCTTACCCCATGTCCATTCTACAGGAGGGGAAGATGAGGCCTCAAATTGGACAGGGCATTTCCTAAGCCAACCCAACCATCTAATAGCCTAGGCTCTCCCTGAAGAAGATCAGGACACCTCAGATGGAAATTGACCCTCTGATCCTCCATTGGCCACCCCCAGCCTGCTGCTGAGGGACTCTGTTCCCACACCTGCAGCAGCTTTTGAGCTTAGTGTTTATGTTATTCATCTAGGTCCTTAAAACCAATCTGTGTCCTACCTGGACCATCACAGACCTCATTTATAGTAGGAACTGGACAGAAGTCAGCAGAGTAAAAAGGAGAAACTCTTTGGAACAGAGTGGGTGGAGGGCCAACCACCTTTACATGAAGGGTCAGTGACTCCCCAAAGTGTAGATTCATGTCCCTGGACTCTGTGGTGTTGCATTAGTTCCCAAGGCCACGAGGAGACAAGGGCCAGTGAAGGGACAAGGGGGTGCTGTTTCTGGGCCCCTAAAATCCCAGCTTTGTGATGTGGCTGTCTCTGACTTTGAAAAGTACCAGCCCCCATCAATCAGACAGGGAGGTGGAGGCTTTGACCCCGACTGCGCATCCTGCAGCTCCTGGTAGGACTTCTTCATGACCCCAACTCTATCTGGAAATAGTTCTTTCATATGTTCATTTTAAATTGCCCAGAACTGGACCCCAACAGACTTTGGCTATTTGCCCCTCAGCTTGCTGGAATATATGCCAACTTGACAAACTGCCTCTGGTACATGTTCAAATTAGCTAACCTCAGTTTCTTTTGCTGTGAATTGTCATGATAAAAGTATCCCCAAGGGCTGTTGGAAATATACAGGAACTTAAGATAGTTCCTGGCTATAGGAAACTTTGGATCAGCTGTGACTGTCCATGAGCAGTCACATGCACAGGGCATCCATGGGTCCCTGGGTCTGCAGGAGAATCTGTGTGCAGGGGACACTCAGAAGTCACAGAGGGCATGGGGCCAAACAGCTGCAGAGAACAGGGTGCAGTGGGTGGGACAGGGTTGGTGGTTGCCCTGCTTTGCCTGCATTCTGGCCTGCTTTGCCTGCCCCTGGGTCTGTTGTGATCTCTGAGCCACCCCAAGGGCAGCATCTTGGACTATTCCCTTACCATCATCCCTCCAAAAAGCAGCCAGTTGTGGGCTGGACATAACCTCTCTTTAATGGAAGTCACAGGGTGCTGTGACACAAGGGACCAGTGTAGTCAAGTCAGTATGCCGTCCTCCTCTTCTGTATTGTTTCAAGAGAGGACTAGTGTCCAACTGGAGGGCTCAGAAGATGTCAGGGACGATATAGTCAGTGTGAACACCATCAATCAGACCAGCTCCATTGTTGTGGACGAACCAGCAGGACACCTCTGCCCCATGTCGGGGGTCTTTGCTGTAGTCTTTTTGCAATCCCCTGGTGACAGTCAAGTCAACTAAGGTCATTCTTTGGACCTGGTGAGGCTTCACCTCCCAGGAAGCTCACCCCACCCACGTATCACCTGGAGAAAGCCCAAACAAATGATAGGGAACAAAAAGCAGCAAGGGCCGAAGTGCTGGAGAGCGTCCTACCACCTGGTGACTGTCAACCAGCGGTTTTTCATCACCAATGTAGCCTCTGGCTTTGTGGGGTCAGAGCCTGGGCGGAGATCAGTCACTTCAAAGTCAAAAGGGTGGGAGAATTGTCCTGGAAAGGCGCAATGGAGGCAACAGTTACTGCCAGGGGGTTTCCTCCCACCTTGGACTTGGCAGCTACTCCCTGGGGCTAAGTGAGTTGCTTGAACTTTTTTTTCAAGGGTTTTTTTTTTTTTCCCCTGAGAAGTCTTCGCATCAAGTCACCTCAGTTCACTTGCTGTAGGGACATGAGTATATTTCTAGGTGGTCCTGCTTCCTGTCCTTTTTGCTATTTCCAAAGCCAAAGAGATCTGGTTAGAAAAGAGAGATTTGAGGGGCAGGTGCTCAGGGAGAGCAGGACCAACAAAAAAACCCACACATGAGCGGAGTGGCAATGCTCCACCCCATTCACAAGGTCCCTGGAGCCCTCTAGAACTTTCTGTTTGCTAACCTGACTTCTCCCCCACTCATGCCCTGGCTCCCTTAGTTTATGTTTCACTGTGTGTTCGATTACAGTCTTGTTGAGGGACAAGCCCTGCACCAGGATAACCCCATTGGAGATTGGCCTCTCTTGTGCCCCAGGGTCCGTGAGTACATTGGCTTCAACACCCCAGCCAACACCTCTGCCCACCCACCCAGCCATACCCAACAGCCCATGTGTCCGGGCTGACATCCGGTGACTATCCAGCACATAGAAGCCCAGGAAGTCTTGGTGGACTGCACTCCCCTTCCACGTCCGGTGCAAGACAATCTCAAAGGTAGCCCTGTCATCCACGGCCACAACCAGGTTCCTCTTCTTATTGATAGTCACCACCATCCTGCAGGGCCAGGTGGCCATCAGGGCAGGAGTAGCTGAACTGCATCCCTCTCCATTCAGCTGCCCTCATCTCTGGACCTAGCTCTTGTCACCATGCCTCCATGGTCTTCGTCCCCTGTTCTCTCCCATGTGTTGCTATTGTATATGGCTTACAACGCACCAGGCCCCGTGTCAAGTCCTCTACACAAACTGCATCATTCAATTCTCACTCTATCCCAGTGAGGACCAAGGCTCAGAGAAGTTTAGTAGCTTTCCCAAGGTTACACAGCTGGTAAGCGGTGGAGCCAGAACTCAGACTTTAGACAGGCTAATGTCAGAGTCAGTGTCCTCTGACTTCCACTCATCACCTGCGTCTTCCACACTGGATTCAGTTCACCTCTTCCTATGGCTTGCAGCCCAGAATCAGGCTCTGGTGGTCAGCAGCATTTATTGAATAAATAAATGAGGGAAGGAAGAAAGAAGCAAGCATGGGACAAGGCAGATTGAGATAGGTGCCCAAAGGGAAGTCCAGAGGACTCTAGAATTCAGCAGAGCAAGAGAGTGGGAGGGCTTCAGGAAGGAAGTGGTCTTTGTGCTGGGCCTGAGACTGGCTTTGCTTGGTAGAGATTCAGGGCCAGGGTACTCTGGGAACACAGGCAGCCAGGCGGCCAGGGCCGGAGCACATGCCCAGTAACACGGACAATGGAGCAGGGTAGCCCCCAGTGTCTGACTCATCTGCACAGGCCCATGAGCATCACCCCTTGATGATCATGGAGTCATGGGCTCTGTGAGCTCAGACAGCATTGCTGGTGCTGAGAGCACTGGGCCTTGACCTAGGCCACACCTCCCCCAGCCTCCCCTCCCGGGCTGGGTCTAGTTACCCATCCTGCCGCAGTGTAGCCTGGTCCCTCCAGGAGAACACGGGCCCGCCCCAGCTGGGGTTCAGTGTAATGTTCTGAGGAGTCACTTCCAGCTGAAAGCCTGTCGCGGGGTTTGCGATCCCCAGCCGTCCCAAGTACGTGCCCTCATGCTGCCCAAGGCTCCTGGCCTTGTTGCCAATGAGCTGCCCGTTCACTGAGAAGCCTGCAGTAGGATGAGGGGCCTTGGGGTCAGGAAGGGGCCTATCACTCTTTGTTCATTCCGTGCCGCCTTCCCGGGAGCCCCCTACATATCAGCCAGGCCTCTGGGCCATCTTTGCAGGTCTCTCTTCCTGCTGGGTCTTCAGGACTGGCCTTGCTCACAAGACCACCTCTCTTTCCTCCCTCTGTGTCCCCTCCTACCACACATGATGCCTGCCTGTACTTAGCCCTCCCTTCTGGCTCTGACAGAAGTCTGGCCTCCCTGAGGACAGGGACTCCTTCTCTGGGGTCCCTGTCCCTCACATGGGGCAGGCTCACAGGAGGCATTGGAAATAGACTTACGGGACCTCTTCACAGAGGTTTCCCCTGACCTGAACAGCCAAGACCACCTCCCCGTCCTCACTCCCCCAAGGTAGCATGTCTCACGCTTCCAAATTATCACCCAAGAATTTGGTCATCTGTTTGTCTGATCCCCTCCCTAAACTCTAGATTCCCATTGTGTCCCTAGTCCCTAGTCTGCTCAACAGATGTGCAGCTGGTCTGACTGACCCAGAGGAAAAGAAAAGGGAAAAGGGGCCAGAGAAGGAAAGGGGAACCCACCCCTTTACCCTACTGAAGAGCTGCACTTGAAGGCTCTTTCCAGCCATGTGGTAAGGAAGGTGGGACAAGAGCCTTGTGTAACTTGTAAGGACCTGGTATGAGATGGAAATGAGGGGCCCCCTGTTTAAAAATGGTTAAGCTTCAAAATAGCAAGAGCAGAGCATTAAGCCAAGTCTGAAAACCTTCTAAGTGTAGGTCTTATGTGCCTATGTGTGTCACACACCCAAGAAACCAGCCCTGGGTAGGCTCCAACCAGGGGCATGGAATGAGAAGAAGGCAGATGGAACCCAGCCAAGTGGATGGTACAAGGCAGTGGGCAGTGGAGGCCACACCACAGTCCTGTCTGTGGCTGAATGTGGGAAGACGCTGGCCCTGCCTGTTTAGCACAGGGCATGACACCCACCCTACCTGTATCGGGGTCCTGCACCAGGCTCAGGATCACACCAGGCTCCTCGTTGATGTTGAAACATAGGACATCCTCTTTCTTGGGTGTGTGGATGATAAAGTGGGGGTCGGTGTCCACTGCAAGCGTAGCATGGAGTCCGTTAGGTTGGGCATCATGCAGATGGGGTTGGCAGGGCAAGTATTCAACTAGGTGGGTCCCAGAGACAGGTGGGCTGGGCAGGGTGGGTACTAAGCTATGGTATCCTCAGTCCCTGCCCCCCTGCCCCTGCAGTACTCACCACCTGTCACTCGGTTCGGCAAACCGGGGTCGATGGGGCTGTGGCCAGTAGGAGAAGGCTGAGCAGCTGACAGCACAAATGCTATGAATGAGAGTGAATGGAATTGAGAAGGGAAGTGCCCAGGCCTTTCTGCAGCTGCTGTTCCCTTTGCTGACACCCCTCAAACCCAGCCACAATGGCCTGAGGCCACAGGAGTGGGGCACAGGGGACTACAGAAGATCATGTGCCCTGGATTTTCTCTTGGGATATGGGGACAATGGTTCAGCCCTGTGTGGCTTGCTGGCCCTCTCTGTCTTCTCCCATGAGGATCCAGGTGGAGGAGCCAGGCACTGATCAAGGGGACTGTCCTGAGGATCCCCAGAGAGGTAGCAAAGACAGCTGGAATGGGTAATAATATAGGAGCTTGGGTCAGGGCTGAGCGCTCAGCTGGAGGGCAAGCAGTGTGAGGGGTAGAAAGGGGTGACAATGCCAGTCTCCACCCCTGTCACTTACTCCTTCTTGGTCCCACCATTTCTGTAGAAAGCAAAGAAAGAACACAGTGTCACCATAGTGCCCCCACACAGGGCATGCTGCTCATCCCACAAGTGCACCTCAGGGTCAGAGGTGAACTAGGTCAGGGCCCAGCCCTCCTGAGCTCTTTAGGTGGCCCCCACCTCCTCACAGACACACACTTGCACAAAGGGGCCTGATGGAAGCTCGTGGGGGAGGAGGTGGGGTCAGATTGTGCAAATGCTCACAAAACACAAAGGATGCAGCACAGAGTTTGCAGTGAAATGGGAAAGGGTATCTCAGGGGAAGGAAGAAGCCTGAGAAAGGCTGAGATCAGGGAAGATATGGGAATGGGGAGCTCTGGGCCTGGGGTTACCTGTCCAGCCACAGGAAGCCCCATACTAAAACCAAAGTGATTTAAAACTCACCCAAGGGCTGAGAATCTGGAAGGGAGGAAAAAGAAAGTAAATTAAAGCCCAGAGGGTTTTTGAGCCACAGCCTCCCCCTCTGAAGCTCCTGCTGCCCATACCTTCCGGGGACTTGTCAATGGTAGGCTCCAGCCCATCCTGGTCTGCCATGCCCCTGATGGTCATGGAAGTCAGTGGAGTCACAAACTGATAGTCCAGTGACATCTTCAGGACCTGGGATGACAGATTGGCCCTCTCCTCCCCATCCATCTTCATCCTGTGTGCAGGACAGATGCTGCTAAAACCTCAGCCCAGATGGTGAGAGACTTCCTTTCCCTCATTCTTCCACTTCTTCATCATTTGCTCATTCAATGAATTAGTCAAGCACCATCAGTGCCCTGTTCAATGACTGTGGCCTCAGGGACCTCAGGGTTTCATAGCCTTTCATAGAGAAAAGCCAAACCCTTGGCAGGGTTGAGATGAGTCTCAGAGATGCACGAAGAATTTAACAACCATGCGGGGCAAATAGTCTAAACTCTCTGAGCTACAGAGTGCTCATCGGATGGATGGGGATCACAAGGAAGCTCCCCCTCAGATTGGGAGCACTAAATGAGTGTGTCTAGACACAGTAGCCCCACAGCAAATGACAGCCCACACCAAGGCAGTACAAACAATGGGCTTCTTAGACCCCAGTGGGTCCCATTCATGCTGTTGACCAACTGGTTGATATTAACCTGTGAGCAAAGCAGGAGGAAAGTGTATCCAACCCCACCTCCCAACCCTGAAGGCCCAGAACTGCCCCTCTCTGTTCACCTCCAAGGGATAGTGGGGCTCTGGGGTGGACAGCTGTAGGGGTCCTACCGCTTGGCCAGCAGTTCCTGGATGGTGAGGTAGGCCCACAGGCGCTCCACATGGTTCTCCAGCATGTGGCCACGTTCTTGGAGGAGTTTCTTCATCTCTTCTTCATCCACTAGGCAGGTTGTTTTGAACTCTTGTCCCTCCTGAGAGTTGAAAGATGGGAACAGAGGCCATGTGTTATGATGAGCACAATCCTTGGTTGGCGTCCAAGTTTCTGAATGGGCCCACTGTCATCTATCTCTTTATCCTCAGCATCACCCCCTTTCTTGAGTCTGTTCTCATCCTCATTCATTCATTCATTCTACAGATGCTGGCTGAGCACCTGAGTTGGAGTTGGCATAGGTCCTGTGATCTGGATCCAGTAGGATGGGAGGACCAATCCTGCTCTCATGGAATTATCAGCTGTGGGGAAGACCAAGTACCCGCTGTTGCTACTATGATCCACTTCTTCAATGGCCCACTAAGTTCCAGGTGGGCTGTACTATTCAATTTGCCAAGCACATGAATGTGTCCTGTCTCCCTGGCTATAATAATAGGGGTCCACATCCCAAGGTGTTCTAGGCACCAAACACTTCTTCAAGGCACTATATGGATTTTCCCATGTACCTCCACACGACACTCAAGGGCAGAGTTACCTAATGGTACAGAAAAGGAATCTGAGGCCCACTTGCCCAAGGTCAGCCATCTGGTCTGGGCAGAGCCAGGGTCTAGCTCAGTGCTCCCCACTCAAAGCTTGAGTTCTGAGCCCTCAACCACATTGAGTTCTTGAGTTCATGCCCTGGGAGACAGAGGCAGGTCTCTCATCCTTGGCACCTTCCCACCACACATGTACACACTGCACCATGGCACCAATCCTGGCACACATGAGGTGTCCAAAAAATGGTTGTCAAATAAGAAAGAGAGGCAGATCTCTTGCTCTCCCATATTCTGGGGGTGGGGAGGGAGGGGAATGATTTAAGGTGAATCATTTAGGGCCAAGGAATTACAACTAATTAAGGCTATGTTGGCCCCATTCTAGCCTGTCTAGCTGCCCCTCCCTGCTCCAAGGCCTAGACTGTGTAGGAGTGTGAACATTATTGTAGGAAAAGACAGGTCCCTGGGGGTGGGCAGGGGTGGAGAATAGTCTGGGTTTGGAACTTCTGAGAGTTTCCTGACCTCTCTACCCTCCCGGGCCCACCATTTACCCCATGGGCCCGCACGTCAGCCTTGAAACTGCTCAGTTTGTGGTCAGCAACGCGCCCCGCCACCACGATCTCTGAGCCATCATAATACTGCTTATGTCGGTGCTGGGTCAAGGCCAAGACGGTATCCCGGGGATACTGCAACTCCACGTCCATCAGCAGGGGGTTGGCCACCTGGTTGTAGAAACCCTGAAGGGATAAGGGGGTACAACCTCAGAACTGAGCACCCAGGCATGGATGGGAAGTCTGCTCACAAAATGAGGATTGCAAAAATGGAATCCCCACCACAAAGCTGAAATCTGAGACTCAAAAGAGTGCATGAACTGACTCAAGACCACACAGAGCTTTATCTTCTCCTCTAAGACTGGCAAGTGGCAACCAAGGCTGGACTCCCCATGGCATACTGTTGGAAGTACAGCATGCTATGGGGGATGCAGGGGAGACCTGTAGCTGCTGGGTGGCATCATGGTCCTCGTAGATTCTCTGGGCCCATCCACTGTTCTCCATGGACATGACCTCCAGGAAGTTATAGTCCAGGTCGTGGCCGAAGCCCAGGTTGTAGAGTGGGAACCTGCCCCGGATGGCATTGCGAATGTTCTTGAGGATCTGAGAACGATCTGTCTCACCTGCAGCCACACATTCAGGTAGGGATGGGATACTGGCCCACAGGAGGTTTTGAAGAACACTTTCTGAGGGTCAAGCCTCCCATCTCAGGCCACCTTCAGTCCCCATGGAGATCTGGAGGTGTCACCTCCCCTGTCTTACCTGGCAGCTGCAACAGTTGGAAACAGAGCTCCTTGAAGACCCCACCCACCCATCTGGATCTAAGGTGGGCAAATCTGATTCTGTTCTAAACCCTCCCCTGGCTCCTTGCTATGGTCAGAAGGCCTTGTCCACCTTTCCACCCTTGTTTCACCTCATTCTACACATGCCTATACTTTCTGGGCAGGCTCCCAAAGTGTATTCTTTTTTTTGCTCAAACTAGGGATCTCTGCCAGGAATCCCTTCCTAACTCCTTCTCTTCCTTCCAGACTGATCTCAGGACTCATCTCCTCCAGGAGGTATTCCCAGACTTCAACTGGGCCAGATGCCCCTTGTTTGGGGTTCCACAGTCCCGTGGCACCCTTCTCTTTCAGGGTCCCTGGCAGAGCCTCTGTTCCTGAGTCCCCTCCCCCAGGGGACCCTGGGTTCCTTGAGGACATTTCATTCTCTTGGTGTCTCTTTTCAGCCCCTCATTCTGGTCTTAGTACAAAACAGATGCTGAATAACTAGCTCTTTAAACTCAACCTGCGAATCCTGCCTATCCTCCAGGATCCTGTGCAGCCTGGGGTCATCCCCAGTTCCCAACTCATAAGACAGAGGTTCACCTTGAAGCTCATAGACTTCATGGTTTGAACTGCATTTTCAGACCTGTGTTTGACTTACCCTGAGCCTTTCTGTCCCCAGTAGCATCTCCAATGGTTTGGCGTCCAATGTCAGCTTTCCTGCCCCTGGTAACAAGATCATGACTTCCCAGGGCAGCTCCCAAGGTGCTTACCTTCTGTGGGCTCGCCATCTGTCAACATGATGAGAAGTGAGGCATGGTTGCTGAGTTCTGGCATGCTATCCTGGGCTTCGTTTAAGATCTCAATTCCCCGGAGCAAACCTCCATTCAGGTTTGTGGCTGTAAAAGAGAGAAATCAGACCAATGTATGCCCATATTCCTGTAGAAAAGAGGATGTCAGGTGGTCTGAGATGCCTGTCCTTACCCCCAGCCACGGAGAAGCGCTTCACGAAGCCTCGAGCTGCTTGCAGATTGGCCTCAGATGCTTGCGCCAGCGAGCCTCTCCATAGTTGCACTTGAGACCCAAAGAGGACCAGGTCAAAGTAGTCCTCTGGCCGCATGTCCCCCAGGATTTTAAGGAGCGCCTCCTTAGTCTGCAAGAATAGGAGACTTAGTGGAGGGACATAGCCTCAGGGTGGCTGCAGGATAGAGCCACCCATAAACTCCAGATATCCATTTCAGAGATCTTCAGGACAGAGGTACATGATAGACAAGCAGAAGGGATGGACTGGAAAGCCAGGTGGCCCCAAGAGAGGAGCATTCTGCTGCGTCCTGCTGGATGAAGGGCGTGGCGAAGGCCAAGGAACTCAGCATGGGGGGAGGAAGTGATCAGGAGTTTGAGTGGGGCAGGATGAAGAACTTGGCCCCCAGGAGGCTGTGTTTCTAGAACGTGCCTTGTCCAGCTGTGATTTCGCTGTACCATGGGCAGGGCACTCAGAGAATTGTGGGTAGCGATTGGGCCCTGCTGCTGCAAGGCACCCCCCCCATAGACTTCTTTAATTATTCCCAGCATTTGTAATGCACAGGTTTCTTCTTCTCCATTGGGAAACTTCATAAGCCCATGGGCACCGGTATCCTGTTTTACCATGGTTGAACAGTGAGGAAGTGGTGGCTGATTCCAGAGCCCTAACTGCTGGCACTTATGGTTAAACCACTGCCTCCAACCAGAAGAACAAGTCACAAACCACTCTGGCAGTCAAACCAGTGTGGAGTGAATGATGGGGCTGAAGAAACTTCTGCTGGGCCTGGGATGTAGTTCAGTGGTAGAGCGATCGCCTAGCATGCACCTTGCTTGGGGTTCAAACCCAAGCACTGACCCCACCCCACCTCCACCAAAAAAAAAAAGCTTCTGTTGGATGAATTGCTCAAGGCTGCAGTTTACCTGCTTCACTTTCTGGCCTTCCATGGAGCCACTGATGTCAATCACAAAAACCAGGTTCTTGTTCATGTTTGTCAGGTTTTGGGGGGCGAAGAAGTGGGCGAAGTAGTTATTGGCCACCTGAAACAGAGGAGAGCGAGCAAGGCCTCTTTCCTGAGCACCCCTTACCTGGATTCTGGGGCTTGGGCCAGGAGCTTCAGGCTCACCAAGAGGTCACAGACTTTGTCCCGATTGACATCATAGGTCACCTTGAAGTCCCCATTCAGCAACGATGTAGAGCATGTGGGGCAGGACTGCTGCTGGCCCACGGTGGGGCGGAAGAGCACATGACCCTGGGGCCATAAAGGGTGTGAGACATTACTGGTTTGTGCATTTGTAAACAGGATGATTCCAAAGACAACTTAAGAAACTGTGTGTGTGTGTGTGTGTGTGTGTGTGTGTGTGTGTGTGCAGAAGCAGAAATGAGTCTGGTGGGTCACTCACTTAGCTTCTGAGAGTGCTCACCTGTATGTGGAAGGAGAGAAGACCCATTCCGGTTTTTTCCTGGAGGTACTGTGGTTTGAACTCAGGGCCTTGTACTTGCTAGGAAGGTGCTCTACCATTTAAGACACACCTCCAGCCTTTCCTTTGCTTTTATGCTTCTGAACCAATGGGATTTTCTACAGTAAGCATCACCATTTGGAGTATATAAACAAGAATGAAATACCAGCAATTTGATAGCATCAGAAACATTAGTCAACTCAAGTACAAAAAAAAAAAAGATTAGGGCTGGCCATGGTGGAATATGCCTGTTATCCCAGTAACTCAAGAGGTGAGGACAGGAGGATCAAGGTTCAAAGCCAGCCTGGGCAAAGTCAGTGCACCCCCCTGTCTGAAAGCAAACTAAAAGCAAAAGGTCTGGAGGAGAGCTGGAGGGGCAGAGCACTTGAGTGCAAGACCCTGAGTGCAGTCCCCAGTACTGAAGGAAAACTATTTCAAAGAGCAAGGCTACAACACTGCGTGGGAAAATAAAATCCACCTTGGTAGACAAAGAACAGAGGTCAGAAGAAAGGGCCCGGAAAGGAAGCTGGGGTCTGGTTTGAGTGATGTTTGGTGCTCAAGAAAGCTAGGGATGTTTTTTATTCGCTACTTTCTATATTTCTGTACTATCCACATTTTTAAAAGGACTTTGAATATTTACTTCTTGTTTTTTTGTTATAAAAGTAAAGTATACTCATTAAAAAAAAACTCTTGAAAATAATTGTTAGGAAAACAAGGACCTGTCCCTGCCCCCTCCCCCACCCCACAGAAAGCAAACATGTTGGCTAACACTCTGAGGCATCCTAAGAATCCTGCTAACCTGTGAGAGACATTTCTTTTCAATGAATTGCTATGGAGTCACTATATAAGAGATGTGGGAAGTGAAGGGTTTGCTCCTGACTGGTTGAGGGCAAGTTGGAAAGCAGGGTACTTGTGGGGTCACCCAGAACATGTCATACTCCTTCAGGACCTGGGGTGGCTCAAGTGCAGGGCTTCTTGTAGTCCTTCAGCTGGGTGGCAAGTGGCAAGTCCTTGGGAAGACCAAAGACCCTTCTGAACTTAATTTTGTTTCTAAGAAAATTGAAGCTGGGAGCCCTAACTGCAATAGCATCTGAGATTGGCTAATGTGCTAGACATTTCCTTGAATGATCTCTCATGGTGAAGCAGGTAAAGAGGAAACTGAGGCTCAAGTAAGCCAGAAATTTACCCTTGGCCCTGCGGCCAGTGATGGTGAAGCTGGAGCTTCTCACTTGGGACACAGACTCCGCTAAATTGCTCCAAGGAGCAGAAGAGCTGAACTCCCCTAGAATTCCAATGCATGGCACCTGCCTTTCTCACTGTTATGGTTTATATAAAGTGTCCCCCACAAAGGCTCATGTGTTGAAAATGTTTCAAGGTCCCTGATGGAAGCAGTGTTTAGAGGTGACAATTTGGGGAAACAATTGGATCATGAGTGTTCTGTCTTTATCAATAGATTAATCCATTGATGGATTCAAATTTTGATAGACTATTGTGAGGTAGTAGAACTGTAGAAGGTGGGACCTGGTTGAAGGAAGTAGGTCACTGGCATGTGTCTTTAAAGGATTTCTTTCCTGGCCCCTTCCTGTCTGTCTCTTTTCTCTCAGCTCCCTGGCTGCCATGAGGTGAGCAACTTTGCTCCTTCATGCTCTTCCTCTATGATGTTCTGTCTCACTATAGTCCATAAATAATGGAACCAACTGACCTTGGACTGAAACCAAAATAAAATCCTCTTCCTTTAAACTGTTTCTCTCAGGTATTTCTCACAGCAATGAAAAGTTTGACTAACATATCCGCCTTGCGGGCAGTCCTGCAGCCCTGCAGCCCTGCCTGGCCTTGGGCTAAGCTTGGATATTCCATGAGGTGTGGGTCGGTCTGAGAAGTCCCTAAGGGCCCATCCCATTCCGTGCCAGTTCACGTACCTTTTTCCCTGATAGAGACTTCTTGATAGTTTGGGCTGCCATTTCCTTGGTGAGGAAAGAGGCCTGAGCATCCAGCTTACTGATCCCCTGGGGCTCAAAGATGTCCACATCGATCTGCACCAATAGAGGCAATTCTGTACCAAGGCCCCATTTGGGCCAGCATCAAGTCTCAGCTAAGAGCCAACATGTGACCTAGCTTACTGTGTGCATCACCCATCTAGTCCTTAGCACAGGCAGTCCAAAAATGTTTACTAAATGAAGATGTGCATGCCTGAATCCCTTGACTCAGCCATCACTTAGGTGCCAGTGATAATCACAGTCCCTCAGGTCCCTGGGACTTTCCAAGTTTACAAATGACCTGGAATTGAGTGTCTTGTGATATTTGTGTCAGTCTTGGAAACAAAAGAATTCCCTGTTTAGCAGCTGAGCAAACAGAGGCTCAGACATGAGAAGAGAGCTGAAGGATTCAGGGAGCTCCCTTCCCCATGGAGCACCCTGAGGAATCAGTCCCTTCCCTGTGTTCTCAGGCCTGGCGCTGAAGTGGCACATGGTGGGTGCTGAGCCAGTGCTGGGAGCCATGGTGAGAGAGAGAGAGAGAGAGAGAGAGAGAGAGAGAGAGAGGCAGGAGCCCTGCACTGGGACCTTTTATCTACCTCAAAATGATGCACCAGCTGCTTGGGCTTGACTTTGATGATAATGTTGTACTGTGTAAGTCTTCGTTTCAGCACCTCCTCGTATGTCAGCTGAAACGTGGCCTTGCTCCGGGGACCGACAGTAATGTGGATGGTGAACTGCTCCATATTTCTCCCAGAGGCCCTGAGCATTCCATCAGAGGCAGCAACAGGCAACAAAGGGTAAGTGACACATGTGTCCATGGCCCTCAGTCAGTTTCTCTTATTTTAGTTCTGCTCCCAGGTTTCCTTGACCCTCACCCTTGTCTCAACTGGCTCATCAGGGTCGAGGACAGTACCCACTTCTCCCAGAGGCAGACTGGAAAAAGGCAAGTGTACTCCAGTCTTGCCCAGTGTTCATATGCCAGCATCTGGGGTCATTCTCAATAAGGCTGTGTTGCAACTCTAAGCTCTGTCGAGGGGAGGGTAGTCTTGGAGGCTAGACCAGCAGGGTCCAGAGCCTACCTGACCAGGCCAGCATTCTCTCCTGAGATGGCTGCTTTCCGGTACTGCTTCCATGCAGTCACTTTGTCCTTTATGTCCCCAACGAATGCATTCCCATCTGCAGTGCTGCAGGGAAGGAAGCAGTCTTCAAGGAAGACCCCCTCCTTCACCACCTAGGTCCTTTCTATTGGAGGTGTGCTAAGTAAGCCTAGAGTCTGAGAAGGCCCTGTCCATGTGAGCCCTTGTAGCAGTGTTTCCTGACCAGTCTTCTGCTGCCCACTGCCCAGGGGGCCCACAGGTCTCAGAGGCTTTGCTTCTTGGGGCCTAGGCTGAAAATATGCCATCGGAGACCCCAGTTTACTTTCTAAGATGGGAACTTAGAACAGCTCTAAATAGCCTCTTCCTCCCTCCCACTGGAGCTAGGCCCTTTTGGAAGTGAGGAAATGATCTTCACTGTCTGGCCACTCTGGCCTTCGGCTGGGACGTCTCTGGGATGAGGTGTAGGAGTTAGAGCACGCACATGGCGAAATCACTGATGAAGGCTGTCTTGGGAATTTCTACATCGAAGGCTACTTCTCTGGCTTCATCAGCAGTGTTGACCACTTGGCTGGTGATGACATAGTGTGCAAAGCGAGAGGTGACTTTACAGTTGACTTTCAAACTCCGGATGAGCACGCCATTGACTGTCTGAAGTAAGATGTGAGGGAAGGAGTTGTGGCCTGGGATAGGGGCTGCTGAACCAGTGAGAGACCTCCTTGTTGTACCTCAGCTCTACGCCAGCTCTGGTGCAAGGTACCCAGAGGGTGGAAGAACAGATCAGCCCTTCCAGAAGACCCTGTTTCCTTTCTTGAGACTATGCCATTGGGGACAAGGTAAGGTGGCAATGATTTCTCATTTCTGGGAAATGGGAACCCCTCCCCATCAGACAGAGGGGTATACTCCTAAGGGGTGGGAGAAAGCAAACCTGCAATAAGGGCCCCATCACAGACCCCTTGCCAAAATTCCCACTCACTGTGTCCAGAGCCTGTTGCTTCTGTGAAACAAAGCCAGGGCTAAGTGTGAGTGAACACGGCGGCGGGGCGGGGGGCGGGGGGGGGGAAGGGGGGGTGAGGAACCACAGCCCATCTGTTAAGGGGTGGGGGTGGGGCATAGCCTGGGCCCTCTCCCTTCTATCCTTCCCCCTGCTGTTGAGAAGTCACCTCTCCAGTCAGAGGTGGTTGGACGGGTGGGAATGGCCCAGATCTCTGAAGTGGGGGGTTTATGTCTCTCCAGAGCCCCATACAGGCACAGCTGCCTGTTTCTGCCCTGAGGGCTTAGTCACATACCTCGCTGCCCTTGGACCTGCCTGTGGCCAAGCCCAGAGCAGGCATGGCTTGCAGGGCGAGGAGGGACACCAGGTACACGCACAGCAGCCCCCGAAGCCCCATGGCACCGTCCATGGTCTCCAGGCTCCCGCTGCCCTGTCACTTCTCCTTAGACCATTAGTCAATACTGTTGCTGGACAAACATGGATTAAACATTAGACACAGTGAAGGCAAACAGCACCATTTGGGGAATCAAAAATTGGCAAGCTTTCTCCTAGGGTGGGGGTGGTCTTAGCTCTGGGATGTATAAGGTCCCAACCAGACTCCAGACTGTGTCCTTATGGATAGAAGCACACTTAGCCAACCAGAATTGTGAAGACCCCTCAGTAGTTCATCTTGTCCTGGGTTTGGTACCAGGTAGCATCAGTCATACAGTGACATTTGGCAAGAAGTCACAGTTAAAAGTGGATTTCTAAACTTCATTAAACTTTACTTTCAAAATTCTTTAAACATCAACAAACTCTTCTCATGCTTGAGCCAGAAAGGTAGATATGGTGGCTTACAAAGTGCCATGACCCCTAACCACATCCTGGGTTCTAATGGTACAAGCCTGGGGAACAGTTCTGTCACAGGTGGTCGGGGCAGTTTGGAGGAAGTGTAACAGGTGAACCCGGCCTTAGGTCAGTTGCTTCATCTGTCTGGACCTTTTCACTCAGACTTGGAAAGGACAAAAGTTAGCTTCATCATGCTCCTGCCTTGACAAGAGAAGAGGAGATAAAGATGAATGACACCTTTTCTTAATTGAGGGCTGATTATGTATCGCATGTTACTCTAAACCCTTTATTGTCTAATTTCTATTCTCATGAGGGGCCTGGGACATTGGTCCCACAGTAAGTGACAGGACAAAGACTCAAATCCAGGTCCTGCAGATTTCAAAGTCATCATGTGAGGACAGAAATGTCTTGCATTAAGAGGAAGAAAGGAGAAACAAAGTCAAAGATCCCAGAAGGAAAGGGCCCCAATAACCCCTCTTTTCCATGAAGGTTCTTAATTTTTATGCCCAGACTGTCCCTGTTCCCCACAAGCACACTGAGTGGACACAGCCCTTTGGTGAGTCCACTCTGTGGCCTGGGGTGAGTTGTGCTGGCTGCTGTGCCTCTGAGGAGACAAGGCGGTGGGGGGAGGGTCTCACTGATCTCTGTTTGCTTGTCCTGGACTTTGTCTCACAGAGCAGCTTCTGGGAAAGCAGTTTAGGCCAGGGTGACCTTCTGACATGTTTTCTGGCCTTTGTGGAAGATTAGATGGATCAACATGATACCACGCTTTGAGGGTCTGTTTACTTCCTGTAGCAGCATGAAAGGAGCCCGTGGTAGGTTGGGCACAATGCCAGGAGCTGAAACACCACCATGATTAAACTTGGTTGCTTTGCTGTGTTCGGCAAACTGATGACATTGAAAAAGGGAGTCAGACAAGCCAAGGAAGCTGATAACCCAGGGACAGGCTAGAGGCTGAAGAGGTGCATAAAGGAAGAGCTATAGGAATTTGGAGGGATAGAGCTCATCTCCACAGAAGTCAGGAGAATGTTTCTGGAGGAGGTTGCTGGGAAAAAGAATGGCACTTGGGTAGGCTAAGGCAGGGAGGGGAGGATGAAGAAGGCTAACAAGTAGCCAGGACCAGCTGGTACAGGAGTCTGACAGACTTTGGGGTGGAAAACACTGAAGATATTTTGAGCAGGAGTATGACAAGTTCAAGACTGGGCTATTGAGAACAAAGCACAAGGGTACACTCATAGTTCCATTAGTAGGGAGGCTCAGACAGTAGGAATGAACTTAAGCCCAGAAGTTTGAGGCCAGCTTGGACAATGCAGGAAGAGGCCATCTTAAAAAAAAGGACTTGGCTCTTAGAGATAACTAATGCCAAGCCTGGTCCGTGGAAAGTGCTGGAAACATGTTTGTATGGCTGTGGTGAAGGCAGGGGGAAGAAGGGGATGAGGAGAGGTAACAGTGCCTGGTGTGCTTCTCAGTGTCTTGTGTTCTAATTCTTTTACTGCTCACAGCTATCACTCAAGAGATAGATACCACCACTTGGTCCCATATCAAGGATGAAGAGGATAAGTTGGCTCATACAGTGGATGTGGGATGTGGGACAAAAAGCAACTGAGGTTGCTAAATATTTGGCTTCGGAATATGGGAGGTTGGCTGTGCATCCACCACCAATGGAATAGCCCAGGGACCAGACCAGCTCCAAACTCCCCCCATCATGGCCAAAATGTTTGACCTAATCAGAGTTCCTCATTGTCTAAACGGAACTCATGGACCTCCCCTTTTCTCCTGGTAGCCCACTACCAAGCCTGGTCATCTGCTGTTGTACAATCAACTGAAGGCTACCACCACCCAGTCAAGCCAGAGATCTGGCTGGCATCCTGGAGTCCTTCCTCTTCTAAATCAGCCCCACCCCCATCTCTCTGTAGTTCATTCCCTTTTCTCCCACTCTCCAGTCACCCTCATCTCCCAAGCCACCTTCATCTCTGTCCTAGATGGCTACTCCCTACTTCTAATTTGTTTCTGATTCTTCAAGCATAAGCCAGAGCCATCATTTTATTTTTATTTTTTTTTTGTTAGTTAAGTGCTTTCATTTTCTTTTTTTTATTTCTTTTTTCTTTTTTTTATTCTATTCATATGTGCATACAATGTTTGGGTCATTTCTCCCCCCTCCCCCCACCCCTTCCCTTACCCCCCCACCCCCCCAACCCCTCGCTACCAGGCAGAAACTATTTTGCCCTTATCTCTAATTTTGTTGAAGAGAGAGTATAAGCAATAATAGGAAGGACCAAGGTTTTTTGCTAGTTGAGATAAGGACAGCTATACAGGGAGTTGACTTGCATTGATTTCCTATGCATGTGTGTTAACTTTCTAAGTTAATTCTTCTTGAACTAACCTTTTCTCTAGTTCCTGGTCCCCTTCTCCTATTGGCCTCAGTTGCTTTTAAGTATCTGCTTTAGTTTCTCTGTGTTGAGGGCAACAAATGCTATCTAGTTTTTTAGGTGTCTTATCTATCCTCACACCTTCCTTGTGTGCTCTCGCTTTACCATGTGATCAAAGTCCAATTCCCTTGTTGTGTTTGCCCTTGATCTAATGTCCGCATATGAGGGAGAACATATGATTTTTGGTCTTTTGGGCCAAGCTAACCTCACTCAGAATGATGTTCTCCAGTTCCATCCATTTATCTGCGAATGATAACATTTCATTCTTCTTCATGGCTGCATAAAATTCCATTGTGTATAAATACCACATTTTCTTAAACCATTCGTTGGTAGTGGGGCATCTTGGCTGTTTCCATAACTTGGCTATTGTGAATAGTGCCGCAATAAACATGGGTGTGCAGGTGCCTCTGGAGTAACCTGTGTCACAGTCTTTTGGGTATATCCCCAAGAGTGGTATTGCTGGATCATATGGTAGATCAATGTTTAGATTTTTAAGAAGCCTCCAAATTTTTTTCCAGAGTGGTTGTACTAGTTTACATTCCCATCAGCAGTGTAAGAGGGTTCCTTTTTCCCCACATCAGAGCCATCACTTTTAAAAGACTATGGTGGCATAGTCTGTAATCCCAGTATTCAGGAGGCTGAGGTGGGAGGATCTCAAAACAAAAAAGATAGGCTGATGGTGTGGCTCAAGTTGTACAGTGCTTGCCTCGCAAGGATGTGGCTGTAAGTTCAAACTCCAGTGCAGCCAAAAATAAATAAATAAAAATAAAAAGGGATGGTGATATGCTCAGTGGTAGAGTGCTTTCCTACCATGTGGGAGGTCCTGAGTTCATTTTCCAGTACTGAAAAAAATTGGGGTGGTGTGTATAAAAAAAAATCACTCTGTTCCAGGCATTCTCCAGTCTAACACACTCCCAGGTCTGTGTGGTCTGGCCTCTGCTGATACCTCTCTGTTGCACCTAATTCATGGCCCCTGTGGGTCTCTTAGTTGCAACTATAGAGACTTCTTCCAAATCCATGTAGCAGGTGCTTTTTCAAATATTCATTCATCAACCCCCAGTCCTTCATCCACCTTCTGGGTTTAGGATGAAAAGTAGAGGGTAGAACACAGGACCCTGGAAAGCATCAAACCTGAGGGGACATGAGAAGTCAAATGGGGAAATGGAGTGGACAGAGAGAGCAGGATAACCAAGAAACCTCTAGAAACCAAGAAAAGAGAAGATTCCCCAGCTCCCAATTCTTGCCTCCCAACCACTGTCTACTTTCTATCTCTGAATTTGCCTACTTTAGATACCTCACCTAAGTGAAATCATATAATGTATGTCCTTTGGTGACTACCTTATTTCACTTAGCATGATGTCCTCAAGGTCCATTCATGTTAAAACATGTCAGAATTTCCTTCCATTACAAAGCTGAATAATATTCCAATGTATGTATATACCACAATTTCTTTATCCATTCATCTGACAATGGTCACTTAGGTTGCCTCTACCTTTTGGCTATTTTGAATAATTTTACAATGAACACAGATGTACAAATAGCTATTTGAGCCCTTGCTTTCAATTCTTTTGGATACATACCCAGAGGTGAAATTGCTGGATAATTTTATGTGTTATTTTTTGAGGAACTATGATACCATATTTTACAACAAGCTGGATGATTTTACATTCCCATCAGTAAGGTACAAGGGTTCTAATTTCTTCATATCCTCGGTCTATATCTTAATAGAATTGGGTAAAGGCATTTGTCAAAATTATCTAATTTTACATTTAATATTTGCACATTTTAACTGCAATGCCAATTTCATCTCCACAAGAAAACCAAACTAAAAGAACCATAAATATTGAACTCTAGTTGATGATACTGTTAAAGATAAATGAAGCCAGGTATTTGTTAGAGCAGAGAAACAGATTTTTATTCAGTAACTACTAGCAATAGGAAAAAAGCTGAGCTCCATTTCAATTTGTGCAAAGGTAGGTGCCTGTGTCACTTTAAAGGGAGACTGATGGAATAGAGAGGAGGGAGGGATGAGCAAAGGGTCTCACTGTAGATTAAACAGAGTGAAAAATTACAACGGACTGGTACCTCATGCCTGTAATTCCAGCACTCAGAAGACTGAGGCAGGAGGCAGCCTGGGCTATCTAGTGAGACCCTGTCTCTAAATAAATAAATAGATACATCAATAAATAAATAACAAAGGATTGGTCAGTGTAAAAGTAATTAAGCCAACTGTGTCTGTAGCTGGCACTTATGGAAGTTAGTATTCTGTCCTCCTAAACTTTCTGATGATTGCATTTAAAGGAAGGGATTTCTGTCCTTGCCAAAGACATTCCTGGGGGTGTAGGAGATACATCTCTCAAAGGGACGCAGGAAAGAATTATAATTGCTCGCCTTTTAAAGTAAATACTCTAGGAAAGGCAAGTGTTGGCTGGAACAAATGGTGGATTGTTTTGGCGGCCTTGCTCTTTCTCGGACAGGATTTGGCAAAGGTCCCCTGTCACTTCTCTCATTAGAATGTGAGCTCCAGGAAGACAGGGACTTCCGTCGGCCAAATACATAGGCGATCAATAAATATTTGTAGAATGAATGAGCCAGATCTGCGAAGCGCTTAGAACCAGTAACCGCACAATACATAAACGACTCCCAGACTCCCAAGGTGAGGGACCACAGCTGTTCAACTGAGACCCACAGCACCTGTGCAGTGCCTGGCGGAGTCGCTCTAGCCTCCCAGAGCCGAGACTCTATGACAGTTCCTTCCGGGGCGACAGAGCCGCTCTGGCCGCTCAGCTGTCAGCTCTATGGCAGATCCGCGGGGGATGCATGAGCATGCGCAGAAGTGCCTTGTTGGGATCGCTATGGCAGCGGCGTCGTGGTGGGCCGGGCTTTCGCGCTCCTGCTTGGGCCCGGCCGCCTCCACAGCCCACCCCACTGCATCTTCTCGGGCTTGAGAGGGTCCTTCCGCCGCAGCCCCCTGCCCTACCCGCTGCTGCCGCCGCATCTCAACTTGGGCCCGCGCCGGGAAATGCCCCAGGCCGCCTACTGCTACGTGCGGATCGTGGGCAGGGGCAGCTACGGGGAGGTGACGCTAGTGAAACACCGACGGGACGGCAGGCAGGTCAGCGGGGTCCAGGCCCGGCCAGGGACGGGTAGGGCTGGGATGCAGCGAGGACGTCGTCCAAAGGACTGGGTCCGGGTGGTGTGCAGTAGTGTATCTCCATGGCACTACTTCTGGGAAATCGCCCCGGACTACCAAGACGAGGCCAAACCCTCTGTAATATGCGTCCCAAACTTCCTTACGTGTCCTTCGTAGTATTAATTGGTGTGCTTGATCTACACACCCCTCTCCCACCCCTGATAATTTCACGAGAGCAGGAATCATGCAGTCGCACGGCCTAGCAGCATAGCCAGGCAAGCACTACTGCTTGAATGAAGGGCCCCAAACATCTTTCTGCAAGATTCTGGGCTCACTTAAAACTCATCATCTTCCCATCACACCTCAGTGAGTAGCATCACCAGCCATGCAAGTTGCCCAAACTGGACATTTGACACTTCTCTTTAATGTTCCCGACTCTGATTATATTGACCCATCACTAAGTTGACAGTAATACCATCTCCACTGATACTACCCCAATTCAGGACATTCTTTCCAGAGAAGCTAAGACCACTGCTTCCTAACTAGTCCCTGTCACTTTCTTGCTCTCCCGTAATTCATCACTTTCGCTGCAGACTCAGTGATCTTTCTAAAACTTAAATCTGATGTTGTCATTCATCCTTTGCTTAAGGCATTGTATGTCATCACCCAAAGGATAATATGGCTTATTAATAGGGTGCCATATCATGTTTTGTATGAACTGAGACAATTTTGAAAGCAAAGGGAGGCACTATTAATAGTTATATCAAGACAACCCAGTAGCACCAGGCAAGCTGAGAGGAGATGTCCCCCTAAGCATTGGGCCACCTCACCAAATCGTCCTTATTTCAAGTAGGTGCTGGATGCTCTGCCTGAAACACAGCTGCTTCTTAAGAAATTTATTCAGTAGGCACTGGGGAATCATTGAATTTTTCAACAGAGGATGGGAGATTAGTTATAAGAGCCCTCATGTTCAAGCAATAGTTTGTATTTCTCATGTTTATGTGTGTGTTTATTGAAGAAATGAATTATATAGTCTTTTAGCTGATTGAAGGCAGCATATTAGATGTTAGAGGGTAATGATTTTTTTAGAAGTGGGAATAATTTTTGTATGGAGGTTCAGTGATGCTTAATTCTCTTGTGCCATGGGTCCCTTTGATTAGCTAATGTATCTCTTAGACACATTCTGCTGGCAGATACACAGTCAAACCATATTTTTATACACCTTTGTACAGGGAACTTAAAGGTTAAGGAATCAAATAATATGTTTTCTTGGATTCACTTTTTAGCTGTTAATGAATTGCTTTGTCTTTTTTTTTTTTTTCAGTACTGGGGTTTGAACTCAGGGCTTTGAGCTTGTGAGGCAGGTGCTCTATTGCTTGAGCCACACCTCTATTCCTTTTTGCTCTGGTTATGTTGAGATAGGGGCTCTTTTTCTGTCCAGACTGGCCTGGACTCCTATTTTATCTTCCCGGACCGTTGCTGGGATGACTGGCTCATGCCATTGAGCTCAGCTATTGGTTGAGGTGGTTCTTCTTTTTTGCCTATGTTGGCCTAGAATTGAGATCCTTTTGATCTCAGTCACCCCAGTAGCTGGGATTATAGGCTGAGTCACTGGTGCCTGAATCTGTCCTTTTTTTTTTTTTTTTGAGATAGTCTCTCACTATGTTCCTCAGGCTGGCCTCAAATTTCTGGGCCCCAGTGAACCAACTGCCTTGTCCTTCATAGTAGCTGGGACTGCAGGCATCTGGCTCAAGGGCTCAATGAAATTATAAAATGCATATGGAAAAAATAATATTTTGTGACCCCAAATGGCTATAAATCTAACTTATGAGAAATATCATTAACTGGATTGGGAATGTAACTGAGTGATAGAGCACTTGCCTAACATGGGCAAGACTCTGGATTCCATCCTCAGAACTGCAAAAGAACCAATAACAAAGCCCAAAATGTATCATTAGTAATAGCAAATATTTTCCCTGGTTTTATGCTTTAAAACAAAACAAAACAAAGAGAGTCTTTTTATGTTGCCCAGACTGGACTTGAACTCAAGATCCTCCTGCCTCAGCCTCTTGCCTCTCTGTAACCTCAGCTGGGGTGATAATGAGTCACCATGCCCAGCTAGTTTTATGCTTCTTAAAAAACAAAGGAATAAGTTATCTGATAGGCTCCAGAAAAAGGGTTGGCTTTTTTTTTTCTCCCCAGAACTGGGGTTTGAACTCAGGACTTTGCACTTGCTAGGAGGCACTCTACCATTTGAGCTATGTCTCCAGTCCTAGAGGGTTGGTTTTGAGAACACTCATGGGAGTACCTGGATACTTTGGAACCTACAAAACTGTATATTTACTTCTAAAAAATATGTGTTTTTTTTCCTTAGTATGTCATCAAAAAACTGAACCTCCGAAATGCCTCCAGCCGAGAGCGGCAAGCGGCTGAACAGGAAGCTCAGCTCTTGTCTCAGCTGAAACACCCCAATATTGTCACCTACAAGGAGTCATGGGAGGGAGGAGATGGTCTGCTCTACATTGTCATGGGCTTCTGTGAAGGAGGGGATCTATATCGGAAACTAAAGGAGCAGAAAGGGCAGCTTCTACCTGAGAGTCAGGTGGTAGAGTGGTTTGTACAGATCGCCATGGCTTTACAGGTACCACCTACACTAATAGCATCCCTTTTGCTCCAAGATGACAGGAAGATGGCAGGTGTATTTTAGGAAAAATTTTCCATAAATGTTTATGTGAAAAAAATGTATTTTTTATAAAATCCATTTATAAGCTGGACCCAGTCCCTTTGCTGTAGCATAGTCATGTATAATTGTAGGGGAAGCTGATTACTTATTCATGTAATATTTCTAGTAAAGTCAATTTTAGGGGCCCATAGTTGATCAATAATAAAGAATGACCATGTTTATTATTAGCTGATCAAGTGCATCATGCTAAAAGGTGGCTGGGCTAATTAATATTCCTATACTGTAGGGGATTTGAGCTTTCATCCTGCTGTGGCAAAGTGGGTGAAAATGCAAAAGAAGGTTTGTGTTTTAATATACACATACCCCAAAGTTAGACTGTTTGTGAACTATCACTCTGGAACTGGGAAGACTTGTCTAGAATTAATTGACCTTGTTTAAGTACTTACACACTCTCTTAAATAAAAAGTGATTCTTGTTAAACTTGAAAATGTTATTAGGTTCAGAATTTCATAGTGGGAGTTTGTAGGTATAGTTTTTTTTTTTACTGTATCCAGGTAATATTAAAATGGTACAGTTGTCAAGACACCAGCAAATAATTTTGGAAGGTACTGGGTCAATTAATGTGTAGAACTTAATTTCTCACTTTGAAAGTTATAAATTAGGCCTTTTATTTAGATACTATAGAATAATAATATTTTGGTAGTAGGTAATTAAGGCTCTTTAATTTATGCAAGTACTGATTATATGTAAGAAGCTAGGAACAAATAAGTAAATCAATATATTTATATGTAATTAAATTTTATTTCTATTCTCAGTATTTACATGAGAAACACATTCTTCATCGAGATCTGAAAACCCAAAATGTCTTCCTAACAAGAACAAATATCATCAAAGTGGGTGACCTAGGAATCGCCCGAGTGTTAGAGAATAATGGTGACATGGCAAGCACTCTCATTGGTACACCCTATTACATGAGCCCTGAATTGTTCTCAAACAAACCCTACAACTATAAGGTAGGCTTGGATTGTGTATGCTGGCTCACCTTGTCTCTGAGAGGGTATCCGGAATTTCAGAATCCATCCGATTAGTTAAATCAGAATTATCTGTGAATCAGAGGAAAATTTCTTTCTTCTTTTTTTTTTTTTAGGCAGTACTGGGGCTTGAACTCAGGTCCTTGCACTTGATAGGCACTTTATCACTTGAGCCACTCCTCCAGCATTTTTGCTTTAGTTATTTTTCAAATATGGTCTTACATTTATGCCTGGACTGGCCTGAACCAAGACCCTCCTATTTAAAGTTTGCTCATAGCTGGGATGATAGGTATGCATCACATGCCCAGCTTTTTTATTGGGGATCTTGCAAACTTTTTTGCCCAGCTGGCTTTGAACCACAATCCTCCCAATTTCTGCCTCCACAGTAACTAGAATTACAGGTGTGATGCTGTGCCCCACATGTGTTTTTTTTTTTTTAGAAGAAAATGCAAATAAAGTATTTCATCATTTAACCATTTACTGTTTTTCTTTTATAGTCTGATGTTTGGGCTTTGGGATGCTGTGTCTATGAAATGGCCACCTTGAAGCATGCTTTCAATGCAAAAGACATGAATTCTTTAGTTTATCGGATTATTGAAGGAAAGGTAAAAAAAAATCTCAAATTAATTGAGTGAGGTTTATATAACGCAGCTTTGTAAATAGCTACTGGCAAAATTGTTAGTGATTTTTTTTTTCTTCTTTCTTTCGTTTTTTTTGGTTGTACAAGGGGTAAAACCCAGGGCTTTGCACATGCTGGACAAATGCTCTACCACTGAGCTACAGCACCAGCCCTTATTGATTAGTTGATGAGTAATCATCAATACTGAGTGAATAGTTAAAAATGGCGGGCCCCTTAAATGAAGGACTGCTTTGGGGGGGATGGATCAGCAGGAGGAGGAAAGAAAAGGATACTGAGGGGTGAAGAAGATCTACGTATGCTGTGCTACCCTACCAAACACTGTTTGAAAAAGGGGGCAGCAGAAAAGGGGAAGTAGGGGGAGGTAGTGGAGAGGAGTAAACTTGTTCAAAGTATTCTGTACATATGTATGGAATTATCACAATGAAATCCCTCTTATTATTAATGTATGCTAACTCAAAATTTTTTAAAAATGTAAGAGACAAATGTATAATTTAAAATTCTCTGGCAGCCACATTAAATACAGCAAAAAGAAACTGAAGCAATAAAACTTTATGATCTAAAAAAAAAAGAATGGTGGAACCCTACTGTAGGAAAGGTTGAAGTTGAGGAGAAGGGATTGATCATTTCTTAATGTTAGTTTATAGAGGTGGCTTAGTGGCTCCAAACAATCAGATTTTTGAAATCTCTCCCTGTAGTCCCTGGATGTGCAGGCACTCTGAGAGGCCATTGATATTTCCTGAATAAGAAGATACCCATGGCTGAATGAGCCATATTTATGATGAGTCTTTTCTTGTTTAAACTTGTTTCTTTGATAATCATCACAATTACCTGTAGCTGATTAAGAACTGCAGAAAGCATTGTATATGATATGGTTGCCTTGGTGATTATATGTTATTTCCATAAGGCTAGTTGATCTTTGTAATGTTAAATATGTATGCAATATTAAGTTTTTGTTTGTTTGTTTGTTTGTTTTGAGACAGAGTCTCACTATGTTGCCTAGGCTGGTCTTGGACTCGATCCACCTGCTTCAGTCTCGTGAGTGCTGATATTACAAGCAAGGCACCACCATGCCTAACCAGTTATACACCATTAAGTTCTAAGGTCCTAAATCACTAACTGACTTTAATGTTATTCTAAGACTCATTTAATTTTTACTTTGAATGCTATCAAAAAATATACACAAAAAAGCAAAATTTCCCTATTCTACCACTTAAAGACTCAAATAAGAATATAATGAAATTTCCCTTTCTTTCTAATTCCATTCCCTGCAGATAGCCATTTCTAGCAATTTATTGCAAGGCCTCCTAACTTTTTCTTGCCTTTAAACAGGAACAACTCTGAATATATATACGTACATTACATAGAGACTAAAAAGAGAAACTGAAATGGAATCAGGCTGTACACATTTTATATAACCTGCTTTTTTGACTTAATGTATGAGGGATATCTTTCTTGATCAGTATTTGTCTTTTATTTTTTAAGCAGCTGCCTGATATTATAAGAATGAACCATAGTTTATTCCACAAATTTAAGTTGTTTCCAATTGTTGACTACTGCAAGAACAATGCTGTATTAAACATCTTGATATATAAATCTTTAGAAAGATTTATACTTTTATTTTTGAAGGAGGGAGTTCTCAAATGGGACCGCTTAGCTGAAGGAGATACTTTTACAGTCTTATAAGTTGTTACTACAACCAGAATACCAGTACACTTCCTATAGACTATTATGCTGGTTATTTTCTACTTCTGTGGCTATGTGACTTTAATACAATATTAGAAAATCTCTACTGTCTTTTACTTTGCTTTATAAGATTACTAGTCATAATTGTATTATTATTTTTCTTTGTAGCTGCCACCAATGCCGAGAGTTTATAGTCCAGACCTTGCAGAACTGATAAGAACAATGCTGAGCAAAAGGCCTGAAGAAAGACCCTCTGTGAGGAGCATCCTGAGGCAGCCTTATATAAAACGCCAAATCTCCTTGTTTTTGGAGGCCACAAAGGCGTAAGATACTTTCCCTACAAATAGCTGGGCTAAATAGATGGAATAAAAGAGGGTAGCTTCTATAGTTTTCATGTGCAAGAATTTATGGTGAGTTTTCTTTTAAACACAAAGTAAAATGATGTGATTCGAATATGTGAGGAGGCAGAATTCTGCCATGGGCCTGAGAATTTAACCAACATAAGACAAATTAACAGAAGAAAAACATACAAATTTATTTATTTAATAAAAGCTTTATGTGACACAGTAGCCCTCATAAGGAAATGGAAACCCAAAAAGTTGTAAAACCTAAATGCATTTTATACTAGACTGAACAAGAGAGACAGTCGTGGAAAGGTAACTGAACTGTGGAAAGGCTAAAGGAAGATTAGAATTATTTTAATAAGGTCTCAACTTTCTATTCTTAAGATAAGAATGTACTTTCCTTCTGGTATGGGGGATTTTATTTCTTGCTTTTGGGAAGCAAGGGGATAGGGTCAGAGCACCTCTTTCTCCTTTTTTTTTTTTTAAAACAGAGTGTTTTTATGTAGCACAGCCTGGCTTTAATCTTGCCTGTATGTCAAGTTCTCTGCCATCTATTTCTGCCCTGCAAGTGCTGGGATTACAGGTATATGCCACATCTGCTGGTTTTTATGAGCAGTGCTGGGAATTTAATCCCAGTCCTGTGCATGTTAAGCACTCTACTATGGAGCCATGTCCCCAGCCATGCCTGCTGATTTTTCTTTTTTTTTTTGATAGTACTGGGGTTTGAACTTAGGATCTCATGCTTGGTAGGTAGGTGCTCTACCACTTGAGCTATGCCCCCAGCCCTTTTGCTTTAGTTGTTTTTCCATCTTGTGTTTTTGCCTGAGGCTGGAGTTGGACCAGGATCCACATATTTATGCCTCCCCCCTTCTGAAATTATAGGTACTTGCCATCATGTTCAGCTTTGTTGTTGAGATGGGGTCTCCCTGACTTTTTGCTTGGGCTGGTTGTGGACTGTAAGCCCCCTGATCTCCACCTCTGCCTCCTGAGTAGCTGGCACTACAGGGGTTAGTCACTGTATCAGCTACTTGTTTATTTTTAAATTTTATTAGCTTAAAATAATCCTTATGCCAAAGTAGTATATTTTGGAGTGGCATATTCATCACCTTTCAAATACATGTTGAAATTTGCTTAATTGCTAATATTAGAAACCTAGAGAACATTTAGAGAACCAGTATTATATGATTTACTCTGTAAGAGAATAGTTATATTAAAAAATAGTGCTCTAATTTCTAAGAACATTCAAAGGTTCCCTCTTCATATCACTTATGAAGAGAAAAAAAATTCCTTTCTTTCACTGTAGGTCCTACTTTCACCAAATAGTGTTTGGGACCTAAAATTTAGGGCTGGATAAAGCTGGCACCATCTCTTTGGCTTCTTCTCTGCCTTGTGGCAGGTTAAATTTGGAAGGACAGGAAGCAATGCTAGAGTTGCCTCAGTAATAAAGAAGGACCATTTTTATTTTTAGGCTAGCAGTCTACACTTGAGCTATGCTCCCAGTTGTTTTGTTTTGATTTTTTGGGGGCAGTACTGGGGTTTGAACTCATGGCTCTGTACTTGCTAGGTAGATGCTCTACTGCTTAACACCACTCTGCCAGTCGTAAATTTTGTTTTTGAGATAGGATCTTGTTAACTTTGTCCAGCTGGACTTGAACTTAAGATCCTTTTCCCACTGCCTCCTGAGTACCTGGGATTTCAGGTGTGTGGGCCACCACATTTGACTTAAGAAGGACCATCTCTTTTTCACATTGTTTATAATTTCTAACCAAACAGACTTTGGCCTTCCACTGCTCTGTTCTCTATGCTTTCCTTGAATTCTCTAGAGGTTTAGCTGAGTTTTAGAAACAATACACAAAAAAGTTGGAGTATGACACTATTCCTGTATGTATTTTATTCTCAAAGTCAGAAAATGTATACTAATCATCTCTTCTCTCAAACTTGGCAAAGAAGTTGTGGTATTATTCAAAACATGTGAAACTTGAAATTTATCCTGGGACTTCTGCAGATGAGATACTTTCTTACAGAATTTTTATTCTGGAATAATTTCATATGTACAGAAAAGTTGTAAAGTAATACAGAGTTTCTGTGTATACCTCATCTAGTTCGTTCTGTGATCAACATCTTAAATTCCATGATATCTTTGTGAAAACTTAAGAAATCAACCAACATTGGTATGTTGCTATTGACTAAACTCCAGCCTTTATTTGACTTTCTATTTGAGGATTCAGTTCAGGATACCATATGACATTTAGTTCTCATGTTCTTTGCTCTGTGGTAGTTTTTTGCTTTCTTTGCTTTTTATGACCTTGATGTTTTGAAGACAGCGGGTTTCTAAAATGCCTCCTTGATTTTTTAAGACTTTGCTCTATAAAATGTTACAATTCTATGAGGAAGTATAATGTATATGCACATTTTAACGTATACATAAAACCCCCTAATATTCACTATGTTGATAACAACCCTTTCTTCTTTTCTTCTTCATAAAGAAAAACCTCTAAACAAAACATTAAAAATGGTGACTGCAAAGCCAAGCCTGCTGCTGCAGTGATTTCCAGAAAGGCAGAATCAAATTGTGAAGTAATCCCCTCCCAACCCCACTCTTCTGATGGCTCCAAGACATATGTAATGGTATGTTTCTTTTTAAAGGGTAATGCTTTACAAACTATGCTAAGAAATAGGTTATCTAAATTATTTTATGGGGAAATGATTGTGATTTACTAGAGATTCAGTTGTGCAATAACTTTGTACTGTAAGTGATTCCTTTAGCTTACTTTCTCCATGGTGGGCTGTTAATATGTTTGTAGATTTTAGATGAAATTGATATGACATAAAATTACCCACTTTAAAGTGGACAATGATGTGCATTTATTCTAATCACAATGCTGTGTAGCCATAACCTCTTACCCAGTTCTAAAACATTTTCTTCAGCCCAAAGGAAATCCTTTACTCCTTAAGCAGTCACTGTCCTTTTTCTCCTCCACCTGGCTAACACCAATGTGTTTTCTGTTTCCGGAATTTACCACATAAGTGGAATCATATAATATGTGACCTTTATGTCTGATTTCTTTCATTTAGTGTGTTTAAGGTTCAACTATGTAGCATACATACTGCATTTCTTTTTAGGCCTGACTAGTAGTCCATTATATGTACATACCACAAATTGGTTGATCCATTCATCCATTAGCAGACATTTTTCATGTCCATTTGTATATCTTCTTTGGAGAAATATCTGTTCAAAGCCCTTGCCCATTTTTCATTTGTATTATCTGCTTTGGTTGTTGAGTTTTAGGAGTTCTCTATATTCTGACTATCAATCCTTTAACAGATACATGATTTGAAAGTTTTCTCCCATTGTATGGGTTACCTTTCTACTGTTGATAGTATCTTTTGATGCATAATTTTAATTTTGTGAAGTCATTTTTTTGTATGTGAACATAGTTTTCTCAGCACCATTTGTTGAAGAGACTGCCCTTTCCCCCATTGAATGGTAGCATTGTTTGAATGTTCCCACAAAAAATTTATGTTGAAATTTAATTCTCATTGTGAAGTATTAAGAGGTGAGACCAAGTGGGACCTTTAAGAGGTGATTAAGAGGACCAGGGGCTAGTGGCTCACACCTGTAATCCTAGCTACTCAGGAGGCAGAAATCAGGAGGATTGAGGTTTGAAGGCAGCTCAGGCAAATAGTTCTCGAGACCCTGTCTTGAAAAACCCTTCACAAAAAAGGGTTGGCTCAAGGTATAGGCCCTAAATTCAAACCCCAGTACCGAAAAAAAAAAAAAAAAGGTGATTAGGCTATGAGGGCTCTGCCCCCGTGGGTTAATGGCTTAATTTGAGAATAGGTTTGTTATAAAAGCCAGTTTGACTCTGTCTCTTAGACGCTTTCCTTTCACCATGTGATTCCCTATGCTACTGGGGAACTCTGCAGACTTCCTACCAGTAATAAGGCCCTTATCAGATATGGCCTATCACATGGGGTTTCCAGCCTTCAGAACTGTGAACTAAATAAAATTTTATTCTTTATAAACTATTCAGCCTATGGTATTAAGTTTTATTAAAGGAAAATGGACTAACCCATGTTACCTTTGTTAATAATTATTTGACCATATATCTGGGGGTTATATCTGGTCAACATGTCTTAATTTTAGTGCCACATTACTTTGATTATTGAAGCTTTGTAGTATGTTTAGAAATTAGGAAATATGAGTCCTCTAGCTTTGTTCTTCTTTTTCAAGGTTGTTTTGGCTATTTGGGATCTCAGATTCTCTGAATTCTAGGATGAGTTTTTCTGTTTCAGCAAAAAATGTTACTCAGAATTTGATACAGATTGTATAGAATATAGATTGTTCTGGGTATTATTAAAATAGTAAGTCTTTTCATCCACAGATGTAGGATGCGTTTCCACTTTACTTATATCTTCTTTAATTTCTGCAATGTTTTATAGTTTTCATTGTACAAGTCTTGTCTTTCACCTCCTTGGTTAATTCGTAAGTATTTTATTCTTTTTGATACTATTATAAATGGAATTGTTTTTGTAATTTCTTTTTCAGATTGTGTATAGAAGGGCAACTGATTTTTGTGTATTGATTTTTTTCTCCTACTACTTTACTAAGTCCATTTAGTAAACTCCAATAGTTTTTTTGTGGAATCTTTAGAGTTTTCTGTATACAAGCTCATATTACCTGCAAACAAATAATTTTACTTTCCAATTCCACTACCTCTTATTTCTCTTTTCTTACCTAATTGCTCTGGCTACATCTTCCAATCTTACATTGAATAGAAGTGGTAATGGTGAGCATTCCATGCTTTGTTCCTGATCTTAGAAGAAAAGCTTTCAGTTTCACCACTAAGAATAATGTTCAGGCTGGGTATGGTACTACATGCCTATAATCCTAGCACTCAGGGGGCTGAGGCAGAAGGATTGAGAATTTGAGATAGTTTGGGCTATATAGCAAGACCCTGTATTTAAAAAACAAAAAGAAAAAAAGAAAAGAAAAAGAATAACATTCATTGCAGCTTTTCCATATGTAGGTTTTATCATGTTAAGATACAGGGTTTTTTTTCATTCTGTTCATATGGTGTATTACATTCATTAGTTTTGATATGTTGAGCAATCCTTGCATTTCTTCTTTGGTCACGTTTTAACTTCTTTTTTGTTTGTTTTTTGCCACAGCAGCATTTTAACCTTTCAAAAATTTTTTTTTTCTTTGCAGTGCTGGATATTGAACCCAGGGCTTTGTGCATGCTAGGCAGGTGCTCTACCACTGAGCCACATTTCCAGCTGTTTATTTTAACCACTTTTAAGCATATAATCTGATGTTCTTAATTACATTCACAGTATGGGGGTCAACCATCACCACTCTAGGAGCCTTTCATCATTTCAAACAGAAACTATGTACCCATTAAGCTCTCACTTCCCCCATTTCTAGACTTTCACCCATTTTCTGTCTCTATGAATTTGTTCTAGATATTTTATATAAGTAGAATCATACAGTGTTTGTCCTTTTGTGTCTGACCTTTTTCACTTATCATTTTTTCTAATTCATTCATACCATGGCATATATTAGAATTTCTCCCCTCTTTAAGGCTGAATAATATTCCATTCTATTATATACCACATTTTGTTTATCCATTCTTCTACTGATGAACAATTGGATTTTTTCTACCTTTTGGCTATTTTGAATAATGCTGCTAAAATCATTGGCGGACATATATCCACTTGAATCTCCACTTTTAGTTCTTTGGCGTGTATTCCTATGAGTCATATGGTGATTGTATGTTTAACTTTTTGAGGAAACTGTTCTTCCATTTTGAGTTAATTTTTGTATATGGTATGAGGAGTGCTACAATAACTTGGAAAAAACATATATTTTCTCTCAGGATGAAGATAAATGTTTGTCCCAAGAAAAACCCATGGGTATTGGTCCCCTGAAATCACCTGCTAGTCTAAAAGGCCATGCTGGCAAATCAGACATGAGCAATACTGGAGAATCACTAGTCACAATCAGTAGGGTAAATATTGACATCTTACCTACCAAAAGGAGGGACTCAATGAATGATGGCTTAGTTCAAAAGAATGAGCCAAGACTCTTAGATGCCTCTAGTAAGCTAGACATTCAATGCAATATTTCTCAAGTGGAAGAAGAAAGGCTACAGGATAACACCAAGTCCAGTGTTCAGCCTGAAAACCTGATTCCCATGCAGTCCTCTGATGATGGCAATGGGGAAGGGAATGAAGCAGTGAAGCCATCGCAACACCTAAATAAAGACCCCAAACCAAAGGACCAGGTGAGTGATCTGCATGGGAATGGGTTTCAGAGAAAGAGAGGACTGGAAGTGTGGTTACAAAGGTGTGGGTCTGCTCTAGTTTGTTATGTTAAGAAAATAGTTATTTTGTTCACCAGTTTAAATTCAGAAGGCTATTTTCATCACCTAGAAAAACAAACAAAAACAAAAAACAACACAGGCCCAAATAGTCACGCTCCATTCTTCCTCACCCCCAATTCCTGGCAACATTTGTCTCTATGGATTTGCCTGTTGTGAGTACTTCATATAAATGGAGTCATATAGTTTGTGGCCTTTCGTGTCTGGCCTCTTTTATTAAGCATATTTTCAAAGTTTTTCCATGGTGTAGCATGCATCAGTATTCTTTTCATTGCCAAGTAAATTCCCCTATATGTATTTGTGATAATTTATGTATCTGTTAGTTGATGAATGTTTGGATTGTTTCCACTTTTTTGCTAATGTGAATAATGCTGACATGAATATATAAATACATATAAGATATATATACATATATTCATATAAACTATGTATATATACACATACACACACATATATTAGTGAACACAGGGCCTTGCTCACGCAGGTGTTCCACCACTAAGCTATATCCCCAGCCCTGCTATGTCTGTTTTTGAAACTGTTTGTATTGATGTGTGTTTTCGGTTCTCTTTGGTAAATACCTAGGGATGGAATTGCTGGGTCATTCTTCTAGCCATTCTGTGTAGGATAGTTTTGAAATAGGGTCTCAAGGTCAGACTCTTACATAGTGAGAGTCTGTCTCAAAAACAACAACAACAACAATAACAACAACAAAAGCCTATTAAAAGTTGTGAAGAGAGCTGAAGGCATGGCTCAGGTGGTAGAGTACCTGCCTAGCAAGCATGAAGCCCTAAGTTCAAACCCCAGTACTGCCAAAAAAAAAAAAGTTATGAAGAGCTTTAAAAAAATGGAATCAAGCCTGTAATCCTAGCTACTTGGGAGGTGGAGGTCAGAGGATCATGGTTTGAGGTCAGTCGCTGAATGTGCTGACCTGTGTGCCTGTCTTGCCAACTAAGTGGGAAGCACAAATAGGAGGATCTTGATCCAGGGTACCCAGGCATAAAAAACAAGACCCTATCTCAAAAATAACCAGCACAAAAAGGGCTGGCAGAGTGGTAGAGTGCCTACCTAGCAAGTGCAAGACCCTGAGTTCAACCCCTAGTACTACCAAAAAAAAAAAAAAAGGAACCAAACATAAGTAGTTCAGATTAATCCGTAGTTCCGTAGTTTGAAATTTTATTTAAAATAATTATTTTTATTTGAGGGAAGAGAAAAAAAGCTGGAACATTTGAATAATGAACTGTCAGAATTTTGTCTCTACTTGTTGACACTGCTAATAAGCATTCATTTTGAGAAAAACAATACCTTCTTATTTTCATTTTGCAATTTTTGTAATAGGTATGGAGGGTCTAGCATGTCAAAAGACTTATTTCATTTCCATTCTGTGGAGTTATTTTGTGTATGTTTGTTTCATTTTATTATTTTTAAGGAGCAAGTGAGTGGTGACTACATTACAGAAAAACAGGGCAGAATCCACCCAGATTTACAGTCACACAGCTGTGGGTCTGAACCTTCCCTCTCTCGACAGCGACGGCAGAAGAAAAGAGAACAAACTGAGCACAGAGGGGGAAAGAGCCAGGCCAGCAGAGATCTCTTTGCAGTAAGTTGTGCCTCTGTTTGGGACACAGACTCACTTTCTGTTTAGAACAATTAACAGTTGCTAAAAAGGCACCTAAGAAATTCAAAGAATATATGGAGAAGGGTGGTAAGGGAAAGACCCTTAATATTAGTTTTCAAATTTTAATGAGTTGGAAATACAGTAAGGGTTTTTATCTTCCCCAGCAAGTATGGGAGTTAAAAGAACAGGCTAATGAGGGTACATCTTTGACACCTTTGTGATGGATTAATGAACAGTTTCTTCTCTCATCGTCTGCTTAATACCATGTTGCTACCTCTTTTCTTAAAGTATTTTCCATGATACGCTTCTATCCTTTCCATAAGCTTCTGAGATGGTCATTCACTTTTGGAAGTCTCTTTAAAACAAAACAAAAAAAATAATGCAATGTTGTGAACTTTTTAAGGAAAAATCACTGACAAATAGGGAACTTGCCAATAGGGGAAATTTGGAGGTAGCTGTACAGTAAACTGATTTTTCCCCCTCCTTTTTAATTATTTAAGTACCAAGAGGCACCTCTTCAATTGTTGCCATCTCATCCCACTATTGGAAAAGTGGACATCATATCAACACAAGAAAATGCTGAAAACCAAAGTAGACCAGTCCCTGGGTCTATGAAGAATTCAAGTGACAGTGAGATACCATCATTAAAGGTTTGTGGAATTATATGTTATATTTTGTTTTGTTTTGTTTTGTTTTTGAGACAAGGTCTCTCCATGTAATCCAGGGTATCCTGGAACTTGCTAAATAGTCTAGGCTGGCCTCAAACTCCAGATCTTTCTGCTTTAGCCTCCTGAGCGCTAGGATTACAGGCATCTGGATACCATGCCTGTTTTTTTTTTTTGCAGTACTAGGGCTTGAACTCAGGGCCTACACCTTGAGCCACTCCACTAGCCCTTTTTGTGTTACATGTCTTCAAAATAGGGTCTTGTGAACTATTTGCTTTGAACTGTGATCCTCCTGGTCTCTGCCTCCTGAGTAGCTAGGATTACAGTTGTAAGCCACTGGTGCTCAGCTTGTCCTTCCTTCCTTCCTCCCTCCCTCCCTCCCTATCTCTTTCTTTTTTTTTTGAAAAAAAAAACCTTTCTTACAAAACTTTTTGGTTGTAAAGTCCTGTATATACTGTGTTGTTTTATATAAAAAATCTTAGCCTGCTTTTTGCCAAACACTAGAAGGAATGGAGGGAGAGTTGTGATTTGGAGCAGAAGCTTTGATTGAAATGGACAGATTGTGTGGTTTCAGAGATGGTCACCTCCAGTTAATTAAGGTCAAGTAGAATCTAAATATAAGAAATGCAAAAGTCCCTTTTGCTCTTCCAAAAATAAGCATTTCTCTGAAATCAGGGCTGTGCCAGGTGCCAGTGGCTCACGCCTATAATCCTAGCTACTCAGAAGGCCCGCAGTTCAAAGAGACCCTATTTCAAAAAACCCATCACAAAAAAGGACTGGTGGAGTGACTAAAAATGTAGACCCTGAATTCAAGACCCAGTACTGAAAAAAAAAAAGAAAAAAATCGGGACTGTGATCATTCCTAACTAGTAACTACAACACTGATGTGGGCTGGTTTCCAGTGGACACTCCTTTACAAGCCAGTGCAAGGTCTTTATTGTAGGGTTCGATGATATGTCACACTTTGTAGGTATTACACAAATAGTGACTAGGAATGGAAATGACTCTGTGACTTTCTTTAAAAGGATCGACCGTTATCAGCCAGAGAGAGAAGGCGGCTGAAGCAGTCACAGGAAGAGATGCTCCTCTCAGGTGATCTCTTTTCATCTAGTTAGTAATTAATGGCTTGGCTCATGGTCATAAGCATTGGTTCTGATTTGTGAAGTGTTCAAGACTTTCAATAATCCATTTGGGAAATTGAAAGAGGTTTTGAAATTTCTTAGGTAAGCCTTTTAGAAAATCATCATAGGCTGTTGAATTTGGAATCATTAGAGGAAAAGGATATTAAAAAGAGAGCAGGAAGGCTTCAAGTAGCAATAATTCCTGGGAAATTTCAGTCTGAAAGTCAAGTGGAAACTTAATTTGTTTCCACATCCAGTGTCTGCTGCAGAGATATGCTCTCTTTTGTGAAACAGAGAGGGAGTCAGGGGAGTGGTGCTGCCCTGGCCAAGGGCTGTGATCATTGCTATTACCATTATTTAAATGTACTATTAGTAGTTTCCATTTATTCAATGCTGATTGTGTTTCCAGCATTATACACTTTTTTTTCCTGGTGGTACTGGGGCTTGAACTCAGGGTTTCATGCTTGGTAGGCAGGCGCTCTTCCACTTGAGCCATGCTCCCAGCCCTTTTCTTTACTGATTTTTGGGATAAGGTCTTGCATTTTTGCCCAGGCCAGTCTGGACCACTATCCTCCTATTTCTGCTTCCTTTGTAGTTGGGATGACAGGTGCTTGCCACTGTGCCCAGCTGTTGAGATGGGGTCTTGCAAACTTTTTGCCTGACCTGGCCTAGAAGAGCATCCTCTCCAAGAGCACTGCCTCCCAAGAAGCTTGGATTACAGGCATAAGTCACCGCACCCAGCCTATAGTATACATCTTTAGTGCATTATCTCATTTCATATGTGTAGTAACTTCCAAATTTAGGCAGCATTATCTCACTTTTTCAAGGGAGGAACTGAGGTTCCAAGGGGTTAAGTAACTTGACCAAAGTCGCAGAGCTGGTAGACTCAGAGCTAAGATTTGAACTAAGGTGTTAGACACCAGAGATGATAAATATGTTGTTTGAGTTGCTTTTGGCTGGCTCTGGCTGGAGATCTCTTCAGTTGAGACCAGCCCACTAAAAACAGCTGTTGAGGATATTCATTTTTTTCAGGTCCTTCAGTAAGGAGAACTCTGAGTGCAGCGAGACCAGGGAAATCACTGGAGGAAGACCACCCCATCCCTGCCCGACGGTTTTCTTCTGACTGCAGCATTGCTCAGGTGCATCAGACACTCTTAAGGGAAAAAGTGAATCTGTCTACACATGGCAAGGGTAGTATAGTAAACCTCATAAATGTCAGCTCCATTTATTTCATGGCTAGAGTTGGTTAAAGTACACTGGTTTGCTTTTGATAAACAACTGGTAAATAATAGTACTTTTTAAAAAGGATTATGTTTGGCCCATTAAATGTACAAAATTTTTAGGTATTATAACACTTGGCAGTCTAGTTAAAAGTCTCTTTTACATTAAGACTTACTAAGAGCTTCTACTAGGCCACACTTTGCTTATTCTGCTCTGTGACCAGTATACCCATCTGTGTGGCCAGATTTTAATCCTACTTGCCTAATCATTCCTCAGTTTCCTGTTTGTGTCAAATTAGTTTATCTGCTTGCATATGGATGATGAAGGGCCACTATTTAGTGGTTAAGTGGGTAATTGCAAAGTTTCTAAACCCATGTTAATCTCTCTATGTAATACCCTGGGGATTAATTTTTCTGCTCCTTGAAATTAACGAAAGTGTTGTTTCTTTACCAGTATCATTTAGTCATTTCACTAATCGAGGCTGCAATATTCCATTTCCCAAAGTTGTAAGGTTTGTGTTAATTATATCAGGTAATCCTTTAAAGCCCTTGAACAGTTACATAGGAGCAACTTGAAGTTGCCTTGATTTAGGTAGCATTCTGTCTAGTTTAAAATGCAAATATTCCTTTTGGGAAAAGGCCTCTGCTTTGGAGCAAAAATACTAGAACTAGTCATCTACTCTCTAGAAAGGAAATTTCTTCAGTTTCGAAGGCTCTAATGAGCCTTGTAAAACTTCACCTTTATGTTCCTGAGGCTTCACTTAGGAACTTCATGAGTAAACTGGGACATCACTTGGATAAAGTAACTTTGATTTTGTATCTGTTAGGTTTTTCTGTTAACATTGCGTGCAGGAGCACACTGTGTCTAGTCATTGCATCTAAGACTTGTTTCTTGGGTTCCATCTGGGTGTGCTGTCAAGTGGGATTTTTTTTCTCCAAAAATTAATAGGAAAGGAAACTGATACATTATCTGTCTGAGGATGAGTTAAGTTCATCTACAAGTTCAACTGATAAGTCAGATGGGGATTCCAGGGAAGGGTAAGTTCTCATTTTTTTCTCTTCTGTGGGAAACAATTTCTGTTTGATTTTATCCTAAATGTGCATTTACAATAGTATTCTGACCTGTAGTATTTTTACTGTCGTACATAACTAGAGCAAAAAAAAAAATCTCTTCTATGAACACAATACAATTTTTATTCAGAATTCTCAAAGAATATCTTCTTAGATCTACAAGTTTATAGTTTGCATCAAATTTGGAAAAGTTTTGTCTGTGATTTCTTCACAGATTTTTTTTTGGACTTTCTCTCATCCAAAGAGATGGGATTGTATTCACATATACATTAGACTGTTTACCATTGTTCAGAACCTCACCAATTCTCTGTTCATTTTTTTACTTTATTTTTGTTTCATTTTTCATAGATTCTATTTGTTGTATCTTTGAGTTCACTAATCTTTTTTCTGCAGTGTTTAATCTATTAACCATCTCCCATATATTTAGCACATTTTTCATCTCTCCAAATTTGATTTAGGTCTGCTTTATGTCTTGCATGCCTCTCTCCATATGTTCATGTTTTCTTCTACCTTGGTCTTATGGAGTATATTTATAATAACTACTTTAGTGTCCTCATCTACTAATTCTATCACTTGTGTCACTTTGGGGTCTATTTCTATTAGCTGGTTGTTTTATGCTCTTTCCAAGTAGGAGATTTTTTTTTTTTACTTCTTTGCATGTCTGGCATCCAATTTTTTTTCTTTTATTATTCGTATGTGCATACAAGGCTTGGGTCATTTCTCCCCCCTGCCCCCACCCCCTCCTTACTACCCACTCCGCCCCCTCCCTCTCTCCCCCACCCCCTCAATACCCAGCAGAAATATTTTGCCCTTATTTCTAATTTTGTTGTAGAGAGAGTATAAGCAATAATAGGAAGGAACAGGGTTTTTGCTGGTTGAGATAAGGATAGCTATACAGGGCATTGACTCACATTGATTTCCTGTGCGTGTGTGTTACCTTCTAGGTTAATTCTTTTTGATCTCACCTTTTCTCTAGTTCCTGGTCCCCTTTTCCTATTGGCCTCAGTTGCTTTTAATGTATCTGCTTTAGTTTCTCTGCGTTAAGGGCAACAAATGCTAGCTAATTTTTTATGTGTCTTACCTATCCTCACCCCTCCCTTGTGTGCTCTCGCTTTTATCATGCTGGCATCCAATTTTTGACTGGATGCCAAGACCCCCTGTGAATTTCATATCATTGTGGGCTGGTATTTTTATGTTTCTTTAAATATTCTTGAGATTTATCTTTGGGTATAGTCAAGTTACTGAGAAATGGTTGGACAGAATTTGTATACAGAATCAAGATGCTTCTTTTAGGTTCTGTCCTTTCCAGCATTTCTCTCTCATTTTCTATTGGCAGTGATTGTCTTGAACTCTGTTCCTTGATTTTGCAAGCCAGAAAGACTGTGAGTTTCCTCTTGTACTTGAGCTGCCTGTGGCCTGCCCTTAAGCTAATAAGTGTCTTTACATAGTTGATTTTTGCATTTTGCCAAGAGATTATAATTATTTGTGGAAGGGTCAGTCTTAATCTCTTACATGGGCAGAACTCCCTAAAGGTCATTTTGTATATATAACTTTTGATAAAAATTTTTCATGAAGCCAAATGAATAACAAGGGGAATTTTTTTTCAGGAAAAGTCATACAAGTGAAATGAGTGACTTGGTACAGTTGATGACTCAGACCCTTAAACTGGATTCTAAAGACAGTTGTGAAGACCTCCCAGTACAAAATCCAGTGTCAGAATTCAAACTTCATCGGAAGTACCGGGACACACTGGTACTTCATGGAAAAGTTGCTGAGGAGGCAGAGGAACTCCAGTTTAAAGAGCAGCCCTCAGGTGATCAATTTGTTCTTTTTTTATAGCAAACTGGAAAAGATACGTTTATTGGAAAAGATATGTTAAGCCAAAGAGCTAATATCTACAAATCGTTTTGGTTTTTTATATCCATAAAAGACATGTCTTATTTTATGCAATAGATATATTCCAAAAATTTCATGAAGATTGACTTTTAAAAATAAATGTAAATAGTGCTGGGATGTAGCTTGTTGGTAAAGTAATTGTTTATCATGTGAAAGCCCTGAGTCTGATCCTCAAAATCACAAAAAACATGTAAATAACTCAGTAATGGCCAGGCATGGTGGTGTACTGTAATACTAGCATGGAGAGGCTGAGGCAGGAGAATTGTGAGTTTGAGGCCAACCTGGGCTACGTAGCAAGTTCCAGGCCAGCCTCAGCCACATAGCAAGACACTGTCTCAAAAAAAGGAAAAGAATAATGCCTAATAACTTTTTTATAGCATTGTATAAAGTGTTTGGCCTTTTTTGTGTGAATTTTCCTCAAGTTAGACAGCTGTGATTTTTTTTTTTTTTTTAGACTTAGGAGATAGTAGTGAGACACGAAGCTTAAGTTCCTATATGTACTCATTAAAATATTAGGTTAGTAGCCAGGTAAGGTGGTGCCTGCCAATAACACCAGCACTTGAGAGGCTGAGGCAGGTAGTTTTTGAGTCTGAAACTAGCCTGGGCTGTGTAAAGAGTTCCAAGCTAGCTGAGCTACATAATGAGACCCTGTTACACATATATACATACATATGTTTTTATGTATGTATATGTGCATGTGTATATATGTACGTATATATACATGTACACATATATGTCTATATGTCTGTCTTAAAAGACATTAAATCATATTCTTTTAACAAGTTTTGTTTTTTTTTTTTTAACAAAAACTTTGTGTTGCTTAGTGCTGATGGCTCATGCATGTAATCCTAGCTACTTGCGAGGCTGAGATTGAGGGGATGGCAGTTCGAGACCAGCCCAGGCAAAAAGCAAGTCCCTGTCTCTAAAATAACCAGAGCAGAAAAGGGCTGGAGGTGTGGCTCAAGCGGTAGAGCACCTGTCTAGCAAGTGGGAAACTCTGAGTTCAAACTCTAGTCCTGCTAAAACAACAACAAAAACATTGTGTTCTTGCTGTAGTGGTGAAAATGTTTATTTTTTTCCCTGTTTTTGTTACTGCTTTTTTAGCTATCATGCCAGGTTCTGAAAAGATCAGGAGAATAGTTGAGGTCCTGAGAGCTGATGTCATCCGGGGACTGGGCATTCAGCTTTTAGAGCAAGTGTATGATCTTTTGGAAGAGGAAGATGAATTGCAGAGAGAGGTAAGTATGTCTCATTAGCTGTTGTCATGCTACTTATGTGATAGAATTTTTTTAGTAACTTTTCAAAATATATTTCACATACCGTACAATTTTCCCATTTAAAGTGTACATTTCAATGGTTTTTAACATATTCATAGTTACACAATCCTCACCACAATCAATGCTTGGACATTTCCATTACCCTCAAAGAAACCCTGTACCCATTAGTAATCATTCCCCTTGTCTCCTAAATTCCCAGCCCTAAGCAACCACAAACATTTCTCTCTATATAAATTTGCCTATTCTGGAAAACTCATGTAAATGGAGTCATAAAAAAAATGTTGTCTTTTGTGTCTTGCTTATTTCACTTAGTGTAATGTTTTCAAGATTCATCCCTGTTGTAGCATATATCAATAATTTATTCCTTTATGTGGCCAAATAATATTTTATTGTATGAATTTGTTTATTTTTCTGGTGGACATTTGGGTTGTATCCACTTTTTGAACATGCTTGTGGAAATTTTTGTGTGATTTTAATTTCCTAGGAGTGAAATTGGTGGGTTGTATAGTAACTCTATATTTAAATGTTTGAGGGATTTCCAGAATGTTTCCAAAATGGCTGTACCATTTTTCATTCCTACTAGCAGTGTAAGAAAAGAGGATACAATTTCTTCACATCCTTGACAACACTTATTAGTTATTTGATTATAGCCATTCTAGTGAGTGTAAAATGGTATTCACTGTAGATTTGATTTGCATTTTCCTGATGACTAATGATGTTGTACAACTTTTCATATATTCCTAGCCATTTGCATATTTTCTTTGGAAAAATATCTATTCAAGTCCTTTGCCTATTTTAAACTATTTATCTTTTAATTATTGAATTATAAGACTGTTTTGTGGCAGAGGGTACTGGGACTTGAACTCAAGGCATCATGCTTGCTAAGCAGGTGCTCTACTACTTGAGCCATTCTGCCCCAAGTAGAAGTTTTTTATCTCTTCTGGATCTAAGACTCTTTACAAGGTACATGATTTGCAAATATCTTCTCCAAATCTATGGAAATGGGAGAAAGTCTTTTCACTTTTTAAATAGTGTTCTTTGAAGTACAAAAATTGGTAATTTTAGTGAGGTACAATAAACTATTTTTATTTTGCTGCTTTCGTTTTGGTAAGAATCCTCTAAGTGTTTTATAGTTTTAGCCTTTACATTTAGATTTTTTGACACATTTCAAGTTGACTTTTGTTATTTTTTAATGACATGAAGTATAGTTCCAACTTCATTCTTATGTATGTGGCTGTCCTATTGTTCTACTACCACTTGTTAAAGACTGTTCTTTAATCATATCAAAAATCAGTTCACTATAGTCACATGGATTTATTTCTGGACTCTGTTCTATTACTCTATATATCTGACCTTAAGCCAGTACCACGTTGTCTTCTTTACTGTTGGTTTGGAGTAAGTTTTGAAATCAGGATGAGTGAGTCTTTCAATTTTGTTGTTTTTCAAGATCATTTTTGCTATTCAGGGTTGTATGCAATTCTCTGTGAGTTTTAGAATTTGCTTATGAGTTTCTACAGAGAAGTCAGCAGGGATTCTGATTAGGATTTTGTTGAATCTGTATATCAGTTGGTGGAGTATTGTCATGTTAGGAATATTAAGTTTTCTAATCCATGAACAATGCTTCATAATTTTCTAAGAAAGTTTTGCACTTCTTTTGTTAAATTTATTCCTAAATACTTTTTAGTCTTTTTGATGCTGCTATAACTTGGATTTTCTTGTATTCATTTTGAATTGTTCATTGCAAATGCATAAAACACATTTGAGTTTTAGAGATGTTGATCTTGTATCTTGCAATCATGTATTGGGTTTAATAGCCTTTTAATGGCTCACTTAGGATTTTCTAAGCTCATGTCACCCGAGAATAGAGTTAGTTTTACGTTCCAGTCTGAATGTTCTTTACTTCTTTTTCTTGCCTAATTGCCTTGGCTAGAACCTCCAGTCTGATGCTGAACAGAAGTGTTGAAAATGCACATCTTTGTCTTATTTGTTTCGACCTCAGAGGGAAAACATCCAGTCTTTCAGTATTAATTGTGATGTTCGCTGTGGGGTTTTCATAGATGCCCTTTATCAGGTTAAAGAAGTTCCTATCTAGTCCTGGTTTGCTGACTTTTTTTCCTTCTTCTCTCTCTTTTTTTTTTTTTTTTGGTGGTGGTGCTGGGACTCGAGCCCAGTGTCTTGTGTATGCTAAGCAAGTACTCTCACCAAGTTAAGCTAAGCTACATTCTAATTGTCTTGACTCTTATTTTTAATCATGTTTGTCAAATAGTTTATTTCTAATTATATGATTATGGGGTTTATGTTTTTATTGTATTGATATATGTTACATTAATTGATTTTTGGAAGTCAGTTTTGCATTTCTGAGATAAATCTTACTTGTTCATGATGTATACTTACTATGTGTTAGTGTACTCAGGTTTGTAGTATTCTGTTGAGGATTTTGAAATATTCATATGAAATATTGGTCTTCAGGTTTTTTTTTTTTTTTTTTTGCTTGTTTTGCAGTTCTAGGAGTTTAACTCAGGACCTTGCACTTGCTAGGCAGGCACACTACCACTTGAGCCATACTCCAGCCCTTTTTGCTTTGGTTATTTTTGACATAGGATCTCACTTTATTCCCTGGGCTGGCCAGGATCTCAATCCTCCTATTTGTGATCCCCACATAGACGGGGTGATAGGTGTGCAACACTCCACTCAGTCATTGGTCGAAATGAACTTTGTGTCCAGGCCTGCCTTGAGTTGCCACCTTCCCAATCTCTGCTTCTCAATTAGCTAGGATTATAGGTTTGGGCCACTGTGTCCAACTTTTTAGTTTTCTTTGCTTGGGATATTTTTTTCTGGTTTTGTTATCAAACCAATTGTGGCCTCATGGAATGAATTTGAGACTGTTTCCTCGTCTTCTAATTTTTGGAAGAGTTAGTGAAGAATTGATATTAATTCTTTAAATGTTTGATAGAATTCACTGTGATGGCATCTGGGCCTGGGCTTATGTATATGAGTAGTTTTCTTGACAATTTCAATTTCAGTTCCTATTCTTCCTCCTCCACTTCCTCTTTCTTATAGACAGGATCTCTATATGTAGATCAGGCTGGCCTCAAAGTCATGATCCTCCTGCCTCACCCTCCCAAGTGCTGGGATTACAGGCATGTATAATGACTCATGTCTTTACTTTCTATGTTCAGATTATCTGTTTCTTCTAGAGTCGGTTTGTATTGATTCTAGGAATTTGTCCACTTCATCTAAGTTATTTAATTGGCATATAATTGTTTCCTTTATAATATATTTTTATTTCTATAAGATTTGTTATTTAGGGATATGTGGGTTAATTCCACATAGTTGTAAGTTTCCCCAATTTCTTTCTGTTACTGGTTTCTAATTACATTCCACTGAGGTTGGAAAACATTCTTCCCTCCTCCCTCACCCCCTCCCTTACTCCCTTCCTTCCCTCCCTCCTTTCTGTACTGGGGTTTAAACTCAAGGCCTTGTGCTCTACCACTTGAACCAAAACATGTTCTGTTCTTTCAAGTTTACAGACTTTGTTTTATGGCTTCACATGTGGTCTAATCTGGTGTATATTCCATGTGCACTTGGAAGAATGTATATTCTACTGTCATTGAATAAAATGTTTTGTAGATGCATCTTGGTTCTAGTTTACTTCTAGTGTGGTTCAGATCTTCTGTTTCCTTGTTGATTTTCTGCCTAGTTGTTTTGCTCATTGTTAGAAGTGGGATGTAGATGTTTCCAGCTATTAGTGTTGAAATGCTAATTTCTCCCTCATTTCAGATTTTACTTCATGGATTTTGGTACTGTGATTAGGTGCATATATGTGTATGATTGCTATATATTTCTGATGGATGACCCTTTTTCATTATAAAGTGTTCTTCTTTATCTCTAGTAATAATTTTTGTTTGAAAATCTGTTTTGTCTGATATCAGTATAACCATCCCAGCTCTCTTGTAGTTGCAGTTTGTGATATATCCTTTTCCATTCTTTTATTTTCAGTCTATTTGAATCTAATGTCTCTTGTAGACAGTATATATAGTTGGATCTTATTTTCTTATCCTAATAATTATTGCTTTTTTTTTTCAATGGTACTTGAATTTGAACTCAAGGCCTTGTTCTTGCTAGGCAGACACTCTACCACTTGCCACATACCCACCCATATACAGTCATTGGCTTTTGATCAGATTGTTTAAACCATTTGTACTTTATGTTATTATTGATACAGCTGAATATATGTCTGCCACTTAAAAATTTTTTAAAATATTTGTTTATTTATTTATTTATTTCAGATAGGAGCTTGCTATGTGGCCCAGGCTAGCCTGGAACTCATGATCTTTCTGCCTCAGTCTCCTGAGTATTAAGATTATAGGCATATACCACTACACCAAACACATTTTACCCTTTTTTTGTGTGTGCCTTGTTTTTTGTTCTTGTATTTACAGTAAGTGAATGTTTTCTAATATAGCATGTTAATTAATTTCATGGTTTGTTCCACTATATATTTTTCTATTATTTACTTAGTGGTTGCTCTAAGGCTTATTGTATATATCTTAATTTACCAGAATCGGTTTCAAATTTATACTAACTGAATTCCAGTGAGATATAGAAATGTTATTACTATTTTCTTTTCCCTTTTAGTGTGATATTATTGTTATACATACTCCACCTGTAAATGTCATAAACTCATTACATTGTTATAACTATTACTTTATATAATTGTATCTATCTTAAAGAAGTTGAGAGCTATCTGCAGCTTTTGTTATTGTAACTTTCTTATTTATCATTTCTGGATTTCTTCTTCATTTATTTCTGTGGATTCAACTTACCATCAGAGTCATTTCCTTTGCCTACTTACACCTTTGTTTTCACTTACATCATTTGTTTTGTTAATGTCAAACATATTATATTTCCATATGTTATAGGATCAGCAATCAGTATATGCATAATATACATAATTAAAA